ATATTAGTCGCGGATATATCATAGGCTAGATAGAACTCTAGAATAGGTCTATATACTTTAATACTCACAGGTACAACTCGCTGATATCTTATTACCTTATTATACTTACAACATAGGAATATCACTAGTTCTAATATATTACTATTATTTCTATGTTACATAAGAGGATATAACAAAGTCAGTTTTATATAGTAGTAGTATATATAAAGTTACCTAGGTAGGTAGATGCTAAGGTACTTCATGTAGTAGTCTCGCCTAGCATAGCTCTATGATAGGTCAATTTACTTTAACTTACTTAGAAATACCGATCGCCGATATCTTATCAGCTTATCGCAATATATAACCAGGGAACCTCGCTAGCCTTAATATTTTAATATCTTTACCTTAACGTATATTCTTACTACTGCAGTTTTATTATACTCCTTTCTCATAGTTAATCAGATAGTTGTTCTAATACTTGGAAATAATAAGATTAAACAGATAAGCGTAGCTAATGCCTTTAAAGCCTTCATAAAAGAACCGAGACCGGCGTAGTTATAAAAGCTATCTCCAGCGTACTAATCCAACCCTTACGGAAAGGATTAAGACTATATATAATATACCACTCTTAAAGCTATATAGTATTATAGATACTACTCGTGATAAGCCTTCACTACATAATAAAGTCATATCTTTATATTTAAAACGAATATTAAAGCACCTTTCCCTAGACTAGGACCGTACCCCTCAGGAAGAGTAAGTATCTACTCTAAGAAAGCTAATATTTAATAAAGGAGACACTGTCTTAATTACCTATATAAGCTTTAGTAAGAGTATTATATTTCAATTATATTACGTTCTTACTCGGCTTATCTGCTTCTAGATAACTCTACTAAATCGACTCGGTGAAGAACACCTTTTTAATATTAAACTACTCGGAGTAACTAAACTATATCTCTTAATAAACGAGACTAAGCATAACGACGATTTGCTATTATAGTATATTACAGATAGTATATATAATTATATTCTGTTATCTCCTAAGCAAGCTATCTCTAAGGACTTCTATAAAATCCTGAAATTACCTAGCTTTAATAGCAGGGTTGGGCTTATAGCTATCGACGAGCTATATTTCGTCGAGTAATAGAAGGACTTCCGAGTATAATTTACTATATTAAGAGAGCTCTGATTAATACTACTTAAAAATACCGTGTAGTTTAGATATATAGCAACACTGCCTTTAAATATATTATATTAAACACTTTATGTGGCAGGCTTTAAGAAAGTCACTACAGAGCTATCGCTATACACGACTACTATTATTCGTACTTTAATCGATAGGCAGGATATATCCTTAGCAGTTATACCTATCCCGCGAAAGAAACTCACTATTTTCAACTAACTATACTACCTACTAGACTAGGCTATTAAAGTTAATACGTAAGAAATCATACCCGAGAAGATTCCTAAGACAATTATCTTTATTAATAGTATCAAGTAATGCGAGTAACTTACATATTAGCTATAGTACTACCTTATATTAAAGACAGCTACTTAGTTAGGAAGATATTATACGAACAATACCTTAGATAGTATTATTAAGATTATACAGACTTTCTACTCTTAGGTTTCTCGATTAGATAGAGATTTAAGATATAACACTTTTTATATCTTAGGTTCTACCTATAGACTTATAATCGCTATAACCTCGATAGGAACTAAGATAAATATTCCAGATATTAGATAAGTAGTGATATAGAAGTTACTAATTAATCTAACACTAAACGAGCTCTAGCAGCGAGTAGGACGTGGTAATCGAGGAGAAGGATAAACCTGCGAGGTATATATATTCGTACTATATTAGGTAATAGATAATAAAGGGAAATATCCAGAACTAAAGGCTACAGGTTCTAATACGGCTCTAAGTCCTAAGGTTTTATCATAAAAGCCGGTGTACTAAAACCTTCGTTATCTATTACCCGGGAATCGTATTATAATACAGACTTAATCCAGACTCAGAGAGACTACTTCTATCAGCGAGGTGCTAGATAATATATATCTAAGTGATATTAAATCAGTTAATAGTAATAAGAGTGCTACAAGTAATACTAATAAAGCTGAACCGACTAATACTATAGATAACAGCAAGAGGCTCAAAGTATAGACTCAGTCTGAAATAAGATCTAAAGATAACCTGCCTACTATATATAAAAAAGTATATAACACAGCGTATCAGCGGAACGTGTTACTAAAGCTCTTAGGTGAACATCTGCTCCTAATCGAGAAGAGAAACTATCCTTTAAAGTATAACTATTATATAGGGTATAACCCCGACTTAACCCCCCCTTCAACAGAGTTACTACCTAGGTCCTATATAAGACCAGACGTACCGAGGAAGAGCAGCTATAGAGCTTTCGCCCTCCAGATATTAAAAGAATAGTATACTAAGTGTACTCTTCTCTTCAACTCCTTATTCCCGAACAGTCGTTTTTATCTAAGGCCTGAGATATTTATACCGAGCTTTACTATTCTTATATTAGCCGCGGCATATACTAATCAGAAATCCAATTATAAGAAGCTCAGCTAATTAATATAGGATAAGTTAATTATAAAAGTTCCCCAGTTTAATAAGTGGGAATATAAAGAGAGCTGGAGAGTAAGCCTATTAAATAGGCTATTAACACTCTATAAAGTAGTTAAGGAGGAAGTATAAAAGGAAAGAATATTAAGAGCTATAAAGAAAAGAGCTAGTAAAGAGTATACTACCAAAAGTAATCGAACTAGCGATTCTCTTACACCTACTCCTAATATAACACAGTCTTCACAAGGTCCAGCGCTTACTGCGTTAAATAATAAAGTACTACCGCCCTCTTCTTATACTCTACGAACTCTATCCCGTTACTAATTAATATCACTAATCCCTCTACGACCGTCCCTATTAGTAAAGGATACAAATATAACGCTAATCCCAAGTCCGGGTAGGATTAATTAGTTACTAAGAGCATATTAATCGCGCTATTCGACTCCCTTACTAGAGCGCCCTTCAGTGTCGCTTATAAATAGCCTAATAATAAGATAAGCCGTTAAATAGCAAATACAGGTATCCCTAAGTGAAAGGTATATACAAGAAATACCGGAAAATAAATATCTAGCTAATACTAAGGGGGGACTTAAGAAGACCAGCGAACAGCTTAGTCCATTACACTGACATAATAAGAGACGCTAAGGAGGAAGTACTGGTTAGCGAGTAAATATAGTACCTAGGGAGTAAGTTGAAGTAAGTAAGCTAATCAGAGACTTAGATACGAGGAAAAGAAGCAAAGTAAGCCGACTATAATACTAATACTTAATATAAGTACTAAATATTAATACCTAGATAGTAATCCGAAGTAAATTAAAGTAAGTAGGCTAATAGGAGATAAGATAACATATAATATGATTTAATTAATACTAAAAAACTAGAGTACAGATAAGAAACCGAAATAAGTTAAAGTAAGTGAAATAGACATAAGGCAGTAGCTAGTATCTACCTCGACACTTGAACTTATACGACTCTTATAAGCAACGACTTATCAAATAAAAAGTAATATAATATTACTCGCTATAATTATCTTACCCTATCAAGAGGTCAGCAGTAATATCTAGGCGTGTAGTTAAGAAATAACAGAGGCGTTTCTAGCTGAAAAAGCGCGAACGTATAAGCACAGGAACACCTACTTAGCTATAACTTCATTAATTAACAAGCTATAATTAAAAGGACAACGTAGGGCGACTCTATATACCTTTCTTATCCTCAGATATTAATTCGTATTATATAAGAATACGTAGTTAAGAAATCGCAGAAGTGTTTCCGGCTAAAAAAAAGTAAGCGCAAAAGCACAGGAACGCCTACCTAGCTATAACTTCATCAACTAATAAGCTATAATTAAAAGGATAACGTAGGGCGACTCTATATACTTTTCTTATCCTCAGATATCAATTCGTATTATATAAGAATACGTGGTTAAGAAATCATAGAGGTATTTCCAGCTAAAAAAAGGCAAGAGTCTATATCAAGTAACGCCTACTTAGACATAACTTTATCAATTGATAAAATATCATAAAAAGAATAACAGGAGGTAATTAAGTATATCTTTCTAATCCTCAGAAGATATTCAGGTCTATATATAAAGGTATTATTAGAAAATACTAGGGAGGTTTCCGGTTAGACTATTCTGCTAAGTACGAGTAAGAAATTAACACCTTAGTCTTAGCACGTATACTTTACTCTTAAGGAAATCAATATAAGTAAAAATAAATATTTCATTAAATAGATAAATAGATTACCTACCGTCTATAGTATACCCGAAGTTATTTAAATAGTTATATGTTAAGTTATAGTAAAGTAACTAAAGAATTAAGGTCGGCTTGAAATTAATCTCCATACAAATCAGCACTATTTTCCCTCAGACGCTTCGTAGCGAGAAAACCTGCCCGGACCTACGCGTTACCTAATTAAGCAGTAGCATAGCGCTAAAGAGTAAGTTAAAGTAAATAAACTAATGAATAGTCTATGCGCAGTAAGTAGAGGTAAATAGACCAATAGCGATAATAGGTCTGTGCGCACCTAGGCGGGCGGTTTTCAAGCAAGAAGTGGCTATCTGAGATAAGGCTATGCAGCGATTGTTCAAAGTCTACCTAGTTCTCTAACTTGGTACACGTCCCTGCACCGATTTCTTGATTCATACTATTGGGGAGTTCCTGGCAGCCTACATAGTCGCGAACATCAAATATCAGAGTAAATGCACAAACTTTTAGGTACTTCATCTCCGCCACAACAAACAGGTATAGGGTAGTCACAATATACACGAGGATTGGGTAGCAAGTGTGCAAATTTCTGAGAATTTGGACTTGAAGTTCCACAAGTGCTTTTTCAGAATACATATCCCCAGATAGAGATGCAGGGTACGCATGCTCCATACAACGTCCTCCAACGAGCCAAGTTCAGTCTAGCAGCCAGACGAATATAACAGGTCAACTCTCTATATGCTTAGAGCCATAATAGAGTTGACTATATCATTGTCGTTCTCCTTCAATGCCTTGACAGCCTTGTTTCGTGAGACGCTAGCTTGGGTCATGACCAACTCAATATCCTTGTCCTCAAGTCCAGTAGCATCAACCTCCTCTCCATCATCCTCATCCTCATCCTTCTTGTCCTCACTGGTATCGATAGCTTTGCCCTTTCCGTGGTCGTGGGAGTGATCATGACCGGAGTGGTCGTGTCCAGCATGGTCGTGCGACTCAGCGGCGGCGAGCTGTTGGGCAGCAGATGCTTGAGCTTGAGAGTTCAGGTCCTCAATCTTGGCCTCACCGAAGACGCTGTATAATGTTAGACGGAGCTTGTGAGGTGTACCTCGGGGAAGCTTACATATAGGTGTTGGATGAAGGAGACTTGTAGACCTCGGGTTGGTTGATAACGAAGAGAATCTGAATAGGTAGGACATGGAGATTAGCAGAGTTCCCAATGCACAAGTCCCACGCTGAAGAACTTCCACGCTTCTGCGGCTCGTCCTTGTAGCCATGCTAGTAGACCACCCGGTGAAGAAAACAGAAAGCTTCGAGGCACCCCAGTGGTACTCACGTTCTTTGGTCGTCTCAAGGTAACACGGGTGATGCCTGGGACCTTGACAAGGCCGAGCTTCAAGATTGACTTGCGTGCCTTCTTCTCGTTGCGGGAATGGACGATTTGACCCTCGGCGGGGATGCCAGCCTCAGCAGCCTCTCCCTCGGAGTCAGAGCTATCGGATCCGTCATCCTCGGCGGTGACGTTCTTGGAGACGGGCTCATCATCTGGAAGCTCTTCAATGCGTGGGTTCGACATGTTGGGTGGTATGTCTGTTGTGGTAGCAGTTAGCAATTGAGGAACCAGTAGTTGATTTCCGAATTTTCTCGTGTGCGCCTGAACCCCGCAGAGCTTATAAACTGGCAGAGATGGACTAGAACACCTGCTTGCGTTCGGGGACGAGGAATGGAAGGGACTGACCTGGGGTATGGAGGGTGAAATGGAGGTGGTTGTTCGAATCTCGTTGATTGTCCAGATGGAGAAGCTTTTAGGGTTGCGAAATTCGCTAAGACCTTAGGTCACCGGAACGATGATCTGGAGAGTTGGGAGCATCAAAACAAGTAGGCAAGTTCAATTGCAGTTCTTTCAAGTCAATTTACTGTCAATCATTATTTAAGCTACATTTTTCGGTTCAAAAATTCAGATTCATGTTCAATCACTTTCCATGCTAAGCAAAAGCCACTGGAGAAATAACTTCCATCCCGAGGTATCTCTCTTTATCGTAGCAAATTATTCCTTGGAAAGTACTTCATTGTCTTTTTGAAGTCCCTATGCTCAGACGCCTGTCAAATTTGACGTAGGATACAAAGCTTCCCGGAAAGCAAAGGAATCCAGCAACCTAATGCAGTCATGATCGCAGCCCCAAACCAGCACAACCCTCTAAGCCGAAGCCTTAACCTTTGCCAACGACTTTCGGACCTCGAATCGCTGTTGCTTTCTCAATCTCATGACCTTGAATCTCTCGAAATCGGTAAGAGCCTTTCTGCGCTCCTTCTGGCTGCGCTTCTTGGCCCACGCGCTCTCCTGCCACTTTGCCTCAATACCAGCCTTCTCCCATTGCGCCTTGACAACACCGGTTCGGGCAGCTCTTGGAAGCTTCTCGAGGACGAGGGGTGTGAGGATGACCTTAGCCAGAGCGATCGATTGGCGTGGGACAGCGGTCTTGGTGTCTGTTGATGGCCCGTCGATAAGGACCTGTATTTCAATCAGTCCTTGCACTTTCACCTTCCAAATGCCCATCAGAGCTACATACACGCTTGTGGTCGATAATCTCAACGATAGCAGCCAACTTTCCCTCAGCAGGTCCCTCAGCGATGAGTACGACTCGGCCGACCTCTACCAGTCTCCACGACGAAGCCTTGATCTCTGCGTCTCCCATTTTAAAGTTTCTGAATGGCGCGTGTTAGTTGTTTGGCAGTGGTAGTGTTGCGGAAGGATTAGGATTTCGAGAAAACGTACTGGGCGATTTGTCGTGGGTGTCGATGTGATTGAAGTTGTCGCTGGTTCGGGAAGCGGAGTCTAAATTCAAAGAAATCGCTGGTGTGTAGCGAGCCCTAGATTTTGCTTAGCGCCTCAGGCAGGGATGCATTAGCTCGACAGCCGCCTTAGCGCGAAAAGTCGAGCTTGCGAACTTCAAAACCGCGAGAACTTCTTGAACCTCTTTAATTCTGTCAACCTCATCGATTCTCCCGGCTTTCGTTTGCACAACATGGACAGCTCCGGTATGGCGCGCAATCTTACTCCTGGATACCAGCGACAGCAATTGTAAGTGCAGCTATGCTTTCCATATCCCCATCACCCAATTACATGATGATATAATTTGCGATCGACGCCGAATTGTTGGGACCCTCGCCGGGGTTCTATAGCACTCGGAAGGATGAGATTTATTCTTACATATACTGAACAATCCATACAAACTTGCCATACTATCTGTCTTGTTGTTAAGGAGCAGCTGGCTAACTCGTTCAAGATCCTAGGATTTAGCGCCGAACACATCTATCCCTACACAAACATCCTACACAAACATCCTTTTGCTATACTTCATTGCGAGGACTAACAGCAGGCGCGAATGATGGATTGCAAGGCAGAACATATGGTAAGCACGAAATACTTTCTTCTGCGACTTCCTGTTTCACCCTTCCAGCAATGATTAAAAAAACGCACTGAAAATAGTGAACTCTTCCGAGTCATGAACGTTTCTAACCAAGATCACTGAGCTACACATGGACAAGTCATAAAATAGTTTAAATGATATTGTAAGACGTTTCACTGACTTGTCAAAAATAGGTCGTTCGAGCCGCTGAGCCACATACGTGGATGACCGCGCCGCATCGTGGTTGTGTCTCCAAGTGGAGGCATCTGAGCTTTTGTCCAGGCAGGGTAACTCTCAGTATCGAGTTTTCTTCAACAGCGCCATTTAGTCTTCAAATATATCTTCTTTTACACTTTGCATCTACATGATACATTCTTTTGTGATCTGCGGCCTCGGCATCTTGTACTACCTTAATACTCTACCCGATGGACATGTTACTGTCTTTCGATATCATGCATCCCCTAGAGCGCCAACCAAAATACACTCGATGAAAGCATGCACTAGGCTTTAAAGGCAACATCTATTAAGTTCAGGGCCCAGAGTTCTTCAATCTCAATCACTCAATCAACTCTGGTCCCTCAATTCCATCAGTCTTCTCCAAGTCCGCCTTGATGCTTCGAACAACACCTTTGCCACCACCGGCGGAACCGCATTTCCAATCTGCTTCTTGATATCGCTGCCTCGGAAGACATGAGCAGTCGGAAACCCTTGTAAACAAGCATACTCCCGCAACGTTAGCTCTCTTGTTCCAGACGGATGATAGTTTTGACCACCAAATGTGGTCATGGCCCGAGGTCAGATCTTCGATCCATCCCACGGTGGCATATGTCTATCTGGAACCCACACGACAGACTCGATGTCGTGATCTGCAGCTTCTGCCGGGATGGACTTGAGAATTTTGTTGGCGGAGACGAAGGGTGGAAGACTCAGTGCGGATTCGGAATCTGAACCAGAGTAGGTTGGGGGAGGGATTCTTGGCAGAACGTTCGCCAGGACTGATGGGTGTCAGTTTGAGTTGGTTACGAGAAACTGCATGAGATGTGCCTACCAGGAAGCAATCACAATCAATCTCTTCCGTCGTTGTGGGAGCCCCTGCTTCCAAGTGAGATACACATTTTATGCGGTCGTCGAATGGACGAGATAACGACATACCCATTGAGCCAACGGCACGATCGCCCATCTTACCGAGAAATCATGCGAAGTGAACATCTGAATCAGAGCATTGAAATAGAACCTGAATCTCGGACATGCAATTCCAAAAGTCTGCTCCAACGTAACAACTCTCGACCTCGAAACATCGATGACCATCTGCACCGCGAATAAACTTGCGACGTTCATCTCATCGTTCGGCCCATTTTTGGAGTGAGCTGGTGAGAAGAACTGATAAGGTGGAGACAAGTGAAGGATATCAACATTCATCATATTTGGGTGACCATTATCGGCTGCTCTCTGAGCTTGGTCGACGAATTCATGGGCTGCCATTTCGTGGCACTGTGATGAGGGAAAGTTAGCACGCCAGGAAAGACAGGCGTGTTTATTGAAGTCGAACCCCCATTTTAGGCGGAGGCCTGCCATTGTGGCGCCGCGAGATGAACCACCACCCCCCCAGAATGCGTCGCCGTATGTGTAGGTTTGGCCCGCGATTCTCGCTGTGGGGCCATTGGACTGTCGAAATGACGAGCAAGGTCTTTTGTAAGATTCTGGCTTTGATGGCTCTGACGATATGATATCAATTGTTGGAGGTAGGTTGGATGAGAGGTCTATCGTTGGAGGATTGCTTGTCTGGTGTGCTGGCGGTGGAAGATGATCAACTGCCATCGGACTCCGGCTAGCGGCAGTTTGCAAGTGAACTCTTGAGAACCCTTCTCGGGCCTCCTCGACTCCATCATTCTCCTGCCGGGCGCGCTTTGGTGTTGAATTCAATGCCTGACTTTCTGTAGATTTGACACTGATGGCACTGTATTTCCGTTTCTCTTTCTTATTCGGAGCAGTGCTTTCATATCAGAAGTTCGGCTTCTCGCCTTTCAGAATTCGGACATCCTTGGCAGAAGTCCATAAAAGACTGGTTGCATGCCTTCCTAGACCGTCTGGAGCAATAACCAAATCTTCATTTTCCGACGACGGTCGATACGCTCCCCCTGGCATAGTCTCCCCTCTCCAATGAGTACATCGCACTTTGTCCGAGATCTCGAACCCAGGAGTACATTCATCGGCTCTCAGCCTCTCCAATGACGTTTCCTTGTAGATATTATGATGTCTGTCGGCTGCATTCTCATACGTACATGTATACTTCCATCTGACAGTCAGTGCACCATCTAGAATAGCATGTTCCATACTTCGAAACTCCTTTGGATCGCAATTTCTCCCAAGCGGAAATTTCTCATTCGTGAAACGGAAGTTCCGAATCTTTTCGAAGTCATTGATACCAACTTCGACGGTTCTTTGCTCGACGGGTATGCGTGGATCGTCATGGTCAACTTCAAGACATAGAACGAGCTCGTTGAGTTTCTTCTCAAGGAGCCATTGAAATCACGAGCTCTTTGGAGGCGGTGACCACGGAGACGAACCTCTTGCGTTTGGCATGTTGTGGAGGATATCTTTGATGCGAAGGAAGCTTTGATTTTTCAGTTGGATCGTTTTCTTAGGTTTCAACATTGCGTCTTTTGCGCGGGCCGTTTCTATTCGCTGCCATGGGTCAAAGATACTCGGATTTCGGCGATCGTACCCGATGGAGGATTTCTTCCCACACTGCTTCTTTGCTTCGACCTCTTTCTCATAGATCTTCGGTGGCGAGAGATGGATGAACTGGAGATTCTGTGGTTTGCGCTTCGCTCGCTGTTGGACAATTGAGGACTGGAGGCTCGTTTTTGTATTCCCATGCTCACGTCAATGTCTTCGACTTCAACCCGGATTGGTCTTTTACTGCTGCCAGCTTCGCGCTGTCCAGTTCCCACTCCCATTCTCATCCACATCATAGCATCCTCATCCTCGAGATCAAACGGTTGTTGAGCACTCCCACCAAAGGATCTCGGACCAGAACTTGGTGACGAATACCCTGCAAGTGGTCGAGGTCCGAGGACAGACTCTGATCTATTTCGAGCAGACTTGATGGTCTTGGTTTGGCTTGTAGTCGTTGACTTTTATGCTTCAAAGCCCCAGTTGGGCTGATGAAATGTGGAGTTAGTCGGAGAAGCACTTCCATTTGGCTGTATTGGATCTGCTGATCGTGTGAATAGGGGCTCGGTTCGAGAGCTAACGGATGTTGACAATTCGAGGCCGGCAAATTTCGTGACCGATAAAGCGAGCTGCACCCGTAATAAGGGAAAAGCAATAATTCTCGATAACCAATTTATGAAATGACTTAAGATTAAAAGAGGATATCTAAGCTATAGTAATGTGCTTAAAACAAAATCTTGAAAAATATCATCAGGTTCTGTATTGCCTAGAAAGTATGAGGTGATATACGCTAACCCTCGCTTCATCGGTCACGAAATTTGCCAGCCTCGATTGGATGCTATCATCGCGCAGCCTGCGAGTACGGCAAAATTTGAAAGATACCGTGGCTGGAAAGTTTAGCTTCCAATAAAAAGTGATGGGCTCATCTATCTCGTTGATGTGCTTACCGGAGCATATGATCTCAATATCTCCATCATGGTCAAGATCCTCATCGCCATCTATTGTAATGAAAGCATCGTCCTCAATCACCACAACATCTTGGTCGCCAGCCATGGCGATGATGAAATCCCAGAAGCTCCTTAAGAGATGAGGCTAGTCGAGACCGGCTTTTTCGATTAGTGGTTGACGATTCTACAAGTTTCCTTCCGGAATCAATTGTGGGTGTTGTTGCTATAGTAGCAACGTCAGTCAGTATTGGTTGAGATGATGGCGCTTGCTAAAGCTTTGAAGTGTCCTGAGTCAAGATGGGGAGGGGAGTTGATACTTGATCTCGAATGCTCCCTCAAAAGGATAGACTGACCTGTCAGAATATCAGACAGTGAATGGAAAATACAGTCAATAACTGATGTGCCTGCTTCTGGATGTTCTCATTATTTTTAAGATTGATAACTTGGAACAATGATAGAGCTTAATAAATTTCCAGAGCTTTGTTCTCGCATCTCAACGCTTAACGAAGGACGCAAGATTCAACATCTTGTTGTCACTCCTTCAAAGCTTCAGGATCGTGGAGGAGAGAATAGTAAGACTTTCTAATAGTAAGTTCAAGAGTTCGGTATTCAAGATTGAACCTCTACGCTGTCCTTGGTGGGGACCATGGGTGTCTGCAGGAAATTACGAGGGTCTGGATGGGAGGCAATCATGTTGTAATTCGTATGCCTTTGTGCACCAATCAAGAATAGAAGATGTGGTTTGTTATTTGACCAATTCTGTGAATAACGCTTTAGATCTTTTCATGGCTTTTGCTTTGAGAGAATTTTCGCAATAGTAACCCAATTGGACGAGTTTCAGTCTTGAAAAGTTGTCATAAACGGGAGGAATCATTCACAGGCAAAAGTGCTGAACAAAGACTAAAGGGCAAACTTCCTAATACAGAACACTAACAACGGATAGGAATTGAGATGTGATAAATGTCACGGAGAATGGTCCATACTCCACTTGATTGGGTCCATAAATGATATCGTAGAATCACAGACTGGCCGTCAGGGATACGCAAGCACAAAATTCTCAAGTTGAAAAGCAGAAGGATTTGGGTATTTTTCTCAGAAGCATAGGATAACGAAGTTGGAGTTCTGAAAGGAAAGCTGCCTTTCCCCATCTGGTGAGATTTTCCTCGTCAGTTCTGAAGCTCAAATGATGAGTTCACAAGGAGTGAAAGGGCACAAAGAAAGGCAATACAGGGCAGGGTTACCACTTCTGAGTGGCTTATCAGCAGCACTACAGTGCATATGCAAGCTGCAAAGAAATGACCCTGTTTGCATATGAAGCAGTACACAATAATACCACGTATGTAAAGAAACAAAGGTTGCGCGCAGTACAATTCACACAATCACAATGATAGCTCGACAAACATTCACATCATAATTAGCAGCAAAGCAGCAACTTCCCAACACAGATGTCGCCCCATTTCCTGCCTTGCAGATCCCCAGACCAGTGGAACAACGCTCCGCAGCGGGCATCTGGATCCAGGACTCCAGGAGTTACGTAGGTCATGCCGGGGCTCAAAAGCTCCTGATCGAAATCGTCGGTGGGGATACAGAGAAACCTACCTAGGTATCCATATCTTGCTTTGGGACAGATGGCATGGGTGGACAGCAATGTGAGTGAAGGTGGCGGGGCCGACAGTTCACCCACCCTCTACCCCACAATATTCAGGAGGCTCGCTTATTCGTTATCAGTGCCCACCCGTTCCAACCAAAACAAGCCGGCGGGGGCGGGGGCGGGGGTGGGCAAGCGTTTTCGCTTACGGAGTCAACAGCACAGGTACCTGACGAAGAGGTACTCGAGGTCCTGCTCTTTCACTACCATTGCTTAGGCAACCTCGTTATTCGCTTTATCTTCTCAACATTTGCGGAGGTTGCACTTGAATACTGGTAGCAGCTCAGCTGCAGAACCAATGCTCAATATACAGATGTTATGTGTATCACTCAGCTGTATACTTTTGCTGCCGTACCTTGACCCGAGCATTGAACTTCTGTTTTACAAACCAAACCATGTCCAGGTCCCACTCCCGCTCCGGCTCAGACAAATCAAAGTTGAATTTGGAGAACAGCTGAAACGTCAACTTGCTGATCTCAAGCAAGCTGATATTCTTTCCAAGGCATGTTCGGGCACCGGCACCAAACTATCTCCGCCAATAGCTATTAGCAATTGTATTCCTTCTTTGTCTTTTCAGAGGCGCGACACAGGAACTCGTCGATTTCAAGTTTTAAAGTGAACACTTACAGTAAGCAAGCTAGATTCCATGGTTCTGGCACGTTCTGCATCTTCGAGCCACCTCTCGGGACGGAATTCATGAACATTCGAGCCAAAAATATTGGGATCGAAATGTATCAGCCACGGGCTTGTGCCAACTTCTACCTATTCGAGGCATCAGTCCTGCATTTTTATAGAAAACCAGATAATTGTGCTTTACCCCTTCAGGAAAGTGCTGGCCCGAAAGAATCGCGCCCCCAGGTGGGACGAGCCTAGACAACAGTTGGCCAGTGGCAGGGTGGATTCTCAATGTCTCCTTCAACACTGCCTGGAGATATGGCAACTTCTGGCATTCCTGGAAAGTCACTGGGCTGGACAACGTCCGCCCCGCTTCGAGCATATCAATCTCCCGCTGAAGCGTTTCTGCTTTATCCTTACTCCTTGCCAAGTAGTAAACGACTGTGCTCATTGTTACGCCTGTCGTATCGGAACCAGCGGCAATGTTTGCTCCCAAGGAATTGAATATGTCCGGATCACCCAGCTTCCCTTTCTCTCGTAAGTCTCTGAGCTTAGTGAGAAAGTCGTCTCGATCACTGTGAGCCAATCCAGTCTCCCTTGCCTCTCGCTGAGCATTGATGTAGGCGATAACGGCTTGAACTGGAGTGGGAAATCCAGCAATTGCAGCAATTTTGCAGATCACGGGGTGAAGACCGGGAAATAAACCCACGCGGGATCCGTAGACCATTGACTGGTGTATAGCTTCGAGAATGTTGTCGTGCTCCCTTTTCCCATCTAAAAATCCAAAGGACTGTCCGACCTGGAACATTCATGCATTAGCTAATTTCTTGTTTGCTTTGGTTGTAGACTGGCCTACTTACCGATATCTCTCCTATGACATCAAAAGCATAGAATTGCATCCATTGAGGCACGTCGAACGACACTTCATCAGCAGCAAAATTTGACAGCTTTTGGCAGAATGTAGCATTGCATTTGTCCACAAATGGTTCGTAGCTAAGTAGGGTTGTCATGGAGTACAGTGAGGCGACTTTTCGTCTTTTTGCCGCATGACGATTAGGATCTTGCTCCGAGAATAGATCAGCATGCACATAATCTGGGTTACCGAACGGCCCATAGAATGGAGCTTTGACGAATTTCGATCCATGACCATAGATCTGCTTGACAATTTCTGGATCTGAGAAGCTGTACTTGTTCGGCGCTAGGCGTACAATTTTCCCTGTAGACAGGAAAACTTAGAAGAATCGTGGATACTGCAGCGAGTACAAAACATACCGTACTTGTGGTGAAGTTCGAGATGCTGTTTCTGGAAATCACCTTGACGTGTAACCTTAAGCTCCCACAACCGACTGAGGCGGGCCGCGAATGGGCCGGGAATATGCTTGAGAGGATCAAAGAGTAATTTGTAAATGAAAGAACAGAGAATGAAAATGGTGGCCGTAAACAGAACGGTACTACCGGTGAGTACGGTGGATATTTGAGGGACGCGGTACATGGTCAAAATGATGGCTTCCAGGCCGGATATGAGAATTAAGACAATTTTTGAAAGCAGCCACTTTGTAGATGGAGTGGTTCATAACATTCGAGTCTGGCCAAGAGGGGGGTTTTGAAGTTCTAGCCGAGTGAAAGATGTCCACATGACCCGCTTCCCCCTCCCCCGCACGGGTTTGTTCAGTGATCCAGCGCCCACATTATTCTTAAAGAGGGTGGCCACAGATTTCCGAACCCTAGCTTTTGTGGAAAGTTAAAGATTTAGTACAGTACTGTAAATAAACAAAATCTCCAGATTTCAATAGTAAGGGCTCTAAATGTGGCTTATTTTAAAGGCTTCTATTAGAAGACTATTGCTCAGTCAACTAATTAGATCTGATTTAGAGTTTACTAAGGCGGAAGTAGCTAAAATCATCAAATCATATCTCTTAGATTAGAGACTAAGTTATAAAGCCTCTAAGCAACAGAATAGCAACAGGCGTCCAACGGGCGTCAAACCCTCGAGGGTTCGGAAATCTGTGGCCACCCTCTTTACTATCCCCCCCCCCCCCCGCCCCGTTTGAATGTTAAATGTGTAGAAAACTGGAGTCAGTGTGGGTAGCTTTCTAGGGTGTCTATCCAACAGAAATCGCTACTTCAAGCCCTTGTAGTCCTCTCGAACCTTCTACAGCTACCCTTACTTTTACAACAGACCTAATTCTGGCTCGTGCTCTAGCTTTATCCAGGGCCTCTGACCACTCAGCACTTGAAAGTCAGGCCTCTGACCCGCAAAAGTTCACATTTAACATTCAAACCGGGGGGTTGGGGGGGGGGATAGTAAATGAGACTCGAATATTCGTCGGTGCCGCACTACCCGCAAGCCACCCACTGGTGGTAGTTTGTAGAAATGATTAATCGCAAAGATTTGATTCGACATTCACTCGACACACATTAAGTCACAGCGTAGAGTGGCACCGGGGGATCTTGGTGCCCGGACCTGCACTTGCCACCGGGCCTCGTCCCAGAGCAGCCCTAGCTGTGGGGGGACTGTGGGACCGATACTTATGTCTTGAGGTCTGGAGGTACATGTATCTCGACGCCTATGTTAATTTTACCAAAAAATAATGTGAAACATAGCTGGGAAGCTTCTCAAATTGTGGTGTATGGCTCGTTGTTTACTTTAACCAGCAGCTTAAGCGAAGTTTTCGTTACAGTCGGGAAGTTTGGAGATGAGACGGGCACAGAGAATGAAACTACACTTGCTATTGGCTGTGGAACTTTGTCATCGATCTTAGTTGCTATTTGGAATACTTTCACGAATCCAACTTGATCAGCACTCCGTGTTCCATGGATAAAACCTTCGACCTAGTCTTTCGATGTACCCTCTCCGTGGCAGGCCCAGTATCGATCCTATACGGTTTTATAGCACTAGGCACGATCAGTAAACCAACCGTGTCGTCCACATTAAACATTTGGCTGAAGCTTACCTCTCGTCATGCAAGCACCAAATGATTGTTTTCGGTTCTTTCAGCCATTTGATTTCATCTACCGCAAACTCTGCAGCCGAGCCATCGTATGGTCGACCATTCAAGTTCCCACGACCGGCAATACCTAAGATTGCTAGATCTGGTTTCGGCTCCAGATTAACCATGATTTCCTTGTAGGCACCCAGGTGAGCACTCCAGAGTATCGTCTTGTCGCCCAAGAGAATATTGTACATCAGTTGGCCACCATCGTAGCCTGAAAAGACATTGCGTTTATCGGAAATGTAATCCACGAAGGATTGCACGCCTGCAACCATCGCATCTCGAGGCATCGAATTTCCCATGTTGAGAAGCCCATACTTCATACCACGATTGACATCAACTGTGCAGCTGTATGGACTGGCTTCGCCTGTGTACCTCTTCCCAGAGTCAATCACATCCGGGATATCCGTATGGCTTCCGGGCATCAGGCAATGAAGGGATGGCCAGACATGAACAGAAAAGGCAGCCAGTGAGTGATGTGGAACGGGTGGCGCTGCTGGAGGTCCTGGCTGAAGCTCTATTATTCCAGCGGCTGCGGCTTGACGAAAGCCTTTGGTGAAAAGAGGAATCCGCTCACCACCTGCGACGGGCATCAATTGTGCTTCTGGAACGCCCGCGGCTCTGAGATGAGATATTGCTTCGCAGTTCGCGATCACAATCGCCCCGGTCTTGATGGCAATGCGATCCGCGCCTGGGAGACTGCCATGGGTTAGTACAGGATGGAAGATATTGCCGAGTGTTCTTACTGATCAAAATGTGCGTGCGATATAAAGATATAGTCTGCTTCGGTGACATCGTTGACGGATAGGTATACTGGAAGAACCGAGGGTCTGTCCAGCCAGGTGTCCAGGAAGATGGTTACTCCTTTGCTACGCAACCGAAACGTAGTGGCACCTTGTAGAGGTCAGCCACTCAGGGACGTAAAAGAGAGAATGTACTAAGTTAGTTGAAGAAACAGAGGCCTACCAAACCACTCAAGTGTTGTTTCTTCAGACCTAATGTGGGCCATATCTAAACCTAAATATTGCAGGAACTATACAGAAAGAAGGTGTAGCTCGGGTGAAAATTGCTATCGAGTCGCGGCATGGGAATGGCACTTCTATAATAGATCACAAGATTGGGGCAATCCGCGGGTTCTCCTTCACATTTGTAGTTGGCATCGTCTCATTTTTGAGTTCAGGGAGTAAATGGCGCGGGTGGCCGGCAGTTCAGAGCTAGGTTAAGCTTTATGTGGGTGGAGATGGTGAGGGGGTGGAGCCGAAGTGATGTGCCCTGCACTGACGAGGATACAATCTCCACCGGACACGACACTCGTAGGATAGGACATGGGACTTCTGATTTGATATATAATGTAATGACACTGATCCTCAGGAGCTGGTTCAGACATTCGACTTCTGATTGACATTGTCCTTCGACAGCTTATCACACACTTCGAACTCTGGCTGTGTTCGGACCTCCATTATGCCCACTGAACAGGACAGAAGCTTTTTCAAAGTTATCATACTTGGTTCCGGTCTTGCTGGCAGTCTGTTGGCCAACGGGCTCATTCATAACAATGTCAACACCGTGGTCTACGAGAGAACAAAGCGACACGCCAAGCGGGAAGGATACCAGATAAGGCTGGGAGCACCAGCACTGGAAGGTATGCGTGCTTGCCTGAGCCAAGAGCAGATCAATACTATCGTATCAAAATTCGGGCGATCAGGCGGCATGAAGTCCAGCGCTCCGGTTTTCTACAGCGAGGATTTCCGCAAACTCATCGACCTGACTCGCTTTCCAGTCTACAGCAAGTCAGCACCAATCAACAGAGGAATTCTGCGTGATAGCCTCGCGGACCCTGTGTTTGCTGCGGGAATACTGCAGTACGAGCGCAGTTTTGAGCGCTATGAGATCCTCAACCCGGGCTCGACTCAAGAGCGTGTGCGGGTCTGGTTTGAAGACGGGGGCTCGGTTGACTGCGATGTTCTGATCGGAGCAGATGGTAGTCACTCAAAGGTACATATCTCCGTCAAATATGCAGAGAAACCAACTTCTTCGTATGAAGCACTTGCTGACACAGGTTCTGTTGTGCAGGTGAACCGCACCCTGGGCCTGAATAACATATCCCAAGTAGAGAGTCATATCAGCATGAGTGCCAAGAATGATCTTCCTACAAAGAACTACCTGTCTATGACACCAGCGCTTCGTGAAACCCCAATTATGGCTATGGCGGACAATATACCCCTGTACTTTTGTGGTGAGTCACGTATCCATACGCGGGGTCGTCATCACATACATGCTAAGCCTCGTCCAGCGTATCTACCAGACAAGTCAGGCGACGATGGCAAGATGGCTGTGGATGAGACTTTATCCTCCTCAATGTTCGGCATTCACATCCCAGCAGATGCTTGTCCTGCCGACATATGGGAAAAGAGTAATGAAGAAAAATGGGATATCATCAGTTGTGCGTTGCGCGGTTGGGCACCTGAGTAGTCAGTACAAGTTCTATTTGACCGGGAAGGTAGCTAACCTGGCTTGTCTACAGTCATGAAATCCTAAATCTAGTAAAGGGCTCAGACATCTACCTATATCGTGCTCGTGTGAGCAAGCGCCCAGCGAAAGATTGGCGAGCAAAAGTGAGGTCAGAGGAGTTCCCTGAACGAGGACATCCACGGGTCTGGCTTATGGGAGATGCTATGCATGCAATGCTCCCTACGAGGTAAGTTGCGAAATAGATGTGGCGATGAAGTAAAAACGGATAATAATCGAGTGCAAACAGAGGAATGGGCGGCAATCAGTCGATGCGAGATGCAGCAACTATTTTGCCACTCCTCGTCCGATTGCATACCGAAGCTGAGTCGAATAAAGGAACCTCGGTTGAAGCTATAGCAGCAGCTTGCAGAGAATATGAAGATGAAATGATTCCTCGTACGTTCGAGTGGGTTGCAAAAAGTGGAGGTTCGAACCTCATGGTATGTGGTAGTCTCGAGCTATATTCGGACAACTACTAACAACGTCAGCCCATTGACACCTCTACGCTTCTGGGAATGGTGTTCATGTTCATTGCTGCTCAAGTTATGAATCTGGCTTATGTCTGGTACAGCGTCAGAGACTTAATATCCAAGAAGAAGATCATGGATGACGCACCAGAACTGAAGGACTAGATATATGTCATGCAGATATCCTTTCTTCCCATGTTATAGCGCGTATAGAAGCTAGATTAAACAAACAAGAGGATACAGCTTGTGGAACGTCACTCTGGCTGACGTAAAGGTAACCCTCCGTTAATGATGCCCCTGATTGCAAATGCAATTCCTCCGCAGAGACCTGGCCATGCAGTCTGACCAAGTAACGATCTCTCAAGTTCTAACAAAAGACGTGAAATACTCTCTGAGCCATTCAATATGCCAACTTCTCTGATATATATGCGGGAGCTCCCTGACTCTCCCTTGATCCACTTCTCAACACGAGTAGGATCCTGAAGGCTGTCAAGTCGGACTGTATTCGTACGAGTGATGGTATCTGCCTTTAGTACGTTATAATGACTAAGTTTGTCGTACGCCCAAATATATATTGCCGCCACTAGCATACACAGAGGCGCATGGCAAGAAATATATGATTGGCTGCGTAGAGTGCTGAATCCCACCGCAGCATGCCACAGACATTCCCTGGCAGCTTCTTCATTACCCTGCATCCAGCTCTCGAGGGATTTTTCAGACTCTTCGATTTCCGCCGCATTAGTCTGCCAGCCAGAGAACGAGTAAAGTCTTCGTAGTGGTACCCTTCTCAGGATACTTATAATGTGAAATAGAGGCTCTGTCTTTGAGGCGAACCTGGATATATGCAATTCATTGTCAACGGCGGTGCTGAAGGGCGTAGCCAACTGTTGCAGTGACGGAACTGGTATGGGGAGACTGCTAGTCAACTTTGGCGGTAGGCTGGAACTGGGGCGAGAGAGAATGTTCAAATTGTCCAGGATAAACTTCTCCTGGGCATAAAGAGCCAAGGTAGGCACACTTTGCGTAACCGAGGATGGTAGTGTTTGCGGATTCTGTCGCGAGAGTTCCGACTGATCTAGCAAAAGCGTTAGATTGTGATTTGGCGTGATGACAAGAATCCAACCTTTTCGTGACCCAAATTCAGCTTCCCAGCTCGAAGCCTCTAGACAATCCCATAGCTTGTCGTCCGTAGAATTGCACATTGCGAGATCTCTCATGTTGCACATGGGGTAGAGATCAAACAGAACCATTTGAAGACAATCCAAGCCTACACATGTTAGCCTGTATCCTTGCGACCAACAGCAATGAAGCTTACTCACCAAAAACCGAGTACATCAGCCGAGTCATGGATTCGCTGCTTAACCAGGACTGCCAATCTCGATATTTGACTTGGGAATCACGACCATGTCTTAACGGGGTCTCTCGCGCAGCTGAAGTTTGGGCGATAGATCTACATAAAGTGACCAGCGTGTTTCTCTCGAACTGCACTTTTAATTGTTGCCTGTTCAACCCAGAAAATATCATTCGTGCATCTCTTAGAAACATACTCTGTACAAAGTCAAGGCTAGCTGTCTGCAGAGGATCTGGCATCTGCACCACTGTGAGACGAATGCGCCGAGAATGACAATTGAACATACCTCATGTCTGATTGCAAGTTTTAACATCTCGTGAAGAACATTGGAGATATCCGTCCCATGTTTCACACCAGAGTACTGACAGCCGATGGAACTCACGGCTAGAAGTAGAAGCCAGGAGAGGCCGTCTTCGCCCATCACCGAAGGATGTATGAAGGGGAATAAAGTGTCAAAGTACTCGAAATACAGTTGCACAAAGGAATGAAAGAACTCGATTGAGGGTATGTGCGAACTTCTGGGGTCAATATTATCATTCAAAAAGGAGCGTAGTTTGTGGTACGCGGGAGGACTTATGCTGTGGACATGACCAGAATCCTCTTTCTGGATAACATCGTAGTCTTCTGGGCTTGGTGGTGGGAAGTGCAACGGAGTATAGGTGTTTGAAGTTGGACGCAAGGCTGCGTTATTTTCATTGAGTCCAGGCTCCGTAGTATTTGCATCTAGACCGTGCTCTGACGGACGGGGAGATGGGATTGCATTGAAGCAACTTGTAGTTCGAGTTGCAGCTGGTGAAAACGATCTTCCAGTAAATGCTGTCACTTCCATTTGGTTATCAGTGCTATTGACTTCATCGAAGCCCCAGAATATGGGATCTAGCGAATATAGGTCATCCGCCTGCCAGAGTGAGCAGTCACCGAGAACGCTGCCGGGCGTCGCAACCATAAAATGACTTTCAGATGGAGGAAGGTCGTTCTGTACTGCTGTGACATTCGCAGTAGAAGCATTGCTTGGGAGACTGAGAGATGCCCGATAGTGAAGGTTCGGACTCGCTGGGGGAAGCGGCAACTCCAAAGATGGCAAGTCCATGTTTAATTGAGTGTTCGCTTGCTGAGTCTCATTAATGACGTTTGATACTGCGGTTCTGGGCCCCAACACTGATTCGTCCATGCTCGTGGTAGTGGATACGAGTGGAGTAACCTTCAGAGGCCGCGACCTGGGCTCAAATTGGCAAGAAAGGCCTCGACGAACGCACCTGTGGCAGGGCTGACCGCCGTGGCACCGGGATTTGGCCTTTGCGCACTCCTGGCAGGCCTGACATCCTCGGTGAGGCGCCAATGATTGTCTTCTTGACGCCTCTGGGCTGCGGAAAGATCCATGAACAATCTGATGTCGAGCAAGAGTGTCTCTACAATACACGCAGGGTAAGTAAGCTCGCGGGTCAAGCTTCTGAACATCAACAGTACACATCTTGGGCGGGGCTGGGTGAACGAAGGATGAGCATGAACATGTAGGGTAAGTCCAGCAAGTGAGGTGCAGTGTGGAAGAAAGACAGAAAGAAGCACACGAACCTCCTCGAGAATGATTTGTTGCAGACAGAGCATCGAAATGATCTTGTTCCAGAATGCCGGTGGAGGTGTCGATCCAGATGTTCCTTGCGGCTGAAGACTTGGCTACAATGAGGGCATGCCGCAGGGCCATATGTCGGCGGTCCAGTCAACGGTGGTAACTCCATCGCGAGGATTAGGATTAGGATGCTCGTACGACTGGAGGTAGGCAGGCACTCAAAGACGGCACAGTACCATAGCCAATCGTCGAGAGCTCTGGGCGAGCACTGTCTGCTCGATCTATATAGCTGCCGAGTCAGGTAAATAGGTAGGAGGTGCCCTGGAATGGAGGTAAGTGAAGGCCATGTAAATAGACACGGGAAGGTACGGTGGATCGCACAGTTCTTCTCCAGACCATTAAATTGAAATGGAAAGAAAAGAAACGAAAAGAAAAGAAAAGAAAAGACAACCGAACCTGCACCGACTGGAACGATCGTTTCTCCCCTTCTCCCCTGTTTTCGAGTCTTGAGCTCCAAACTGCAGCAAGTGTTAGCTGGAGAAATGGAAGACCGTGGGTTTCTCAAGTCATGTTGAGGGGGCCGGGGAAGTGTGGGGTGCAGGGTGCAGGATGCAGGGTGCAGGGCACTGAAGCTTGCCCGTGTTCCATGCATGGCCTGGGACGTCTTGGGTCAGGTCAGGTCAGGGATACTCTGACTGGATGACGGGTGCTTGTTGTTGTCGTTGTCGTTGTCGTTGTCGTTGTCGTTGTCGTTGTCGTTGTCGTTGTCGTTGTCGTTGTCGTTGTCGTTGTCGTTATGATTCAGGTTGGAGTAGGGAATACCGAGAAGACGGTTCTGACCAAGTCGAACCATTGGCCGTCTCGTCTCACGCTGTAAATTGGTTGTGAGGATAAATCATTCCTAAGGTTAACTAGACTGGTGGACGTAACACGAGCAAGTCCGCTCGGCTTGGCTCGGCTTGGCTCGGCTACTATACTTGATCGTAGTCACGTAGGTAGATGGGGAACGTCAACAGTAGCACTCCAACGTGCTCTTTCGTACCAATGTCGCGTCAAACAAACGTGTTCGTCGCTCATACATCCGCGAATCAATCAGACGCGAATCTGTCGTCATTTATTGCGTACCTGAGGACACTCCGAGAACCTCGCTGCGGGTGCCCACCCGTCGGCCCCACAAACTCAATCGCCAAATATGCCACCCTTCCTAGGTGGCTACCAACTTACTTGCTGAAGCTTACCCATCTAGCCGGGGGACCATCCTGATGTCCTTTCTTGCCATCCCCGCGTTTCCCATGCGTGGTGGAAAAGTCATTGGCCTCGGTAGGTATCTATTATCTAGAGGTTTCTTCATCAAGATGGACATTAGTCTGGCAGTCGATCCATATCCTCCTGGCCCTCCGGCGTTTCGCTTTCGTTCAAGATGAATTGGGTACAGTCGCTGGCGGGATTGAGAACGCTTTTGCTCTTGCAAATCATGGTCTTGCCAACTAGGGTCTCACCAATATCTGGGTTCCTGTTGGAAGAGAGATGACCTTTTCATGACAGGCCGGGCAGACGATGAGGTTGGAAACTGTTACCGATGAATATTACCTGGAAAAATGACAATCCGAGCATAATAGGAGATGGTACTGTTCTGTACGGGAATGGCCTCCGAGCGATGGACTGCCACGGACACATTCCCCGCTCTGCTACATTGGAGTCCTAATGGCAAACTGGAACGAACAAGTCTGTCCATTGGAAGCTTCAGAGGTTATCCAGAGAATCGGTTCGTCTTGACAAGTCTGCCTTTCAATACGGCAGATAACACCTCGTCACCAACTCCAATTCCGAGGAAAATTCTGTAATCCATTTCGCAAACGATAAGAAAGACCCGGAGCTGGTTTTACTCATAAGGTCGATCGGTAAACGGAACTGAGTGGATTCTCAAATTGTCGAACACAATGATAATATGGGTAGCTATGCGGTGGTCAGAAAACTCTACAAATATGGGCATACACTGTACCATTACAATATCCCATTCTCAGATCTTCCAAAGTACTTCGCCAGATGATTTCTCTCACCAGAACATATCCAAGTAGGATCAAATGGTAGTCTTCGAGCATCGCATAGAGCAGTCATACTTGAGCCAAGCCTAACCGATGGACAGAACTATGTGTGGCATGAGTCTGTTGTGAAGCTCCATCTCGCTCCAGAGAAAACTTGACACCCCTTCTCTTGTAAGATTGTCCAAGAACAAGAGGTTTTGCTTTGAAACTATAGTCTCTGCACTTTTGTGTTCGAGAACACAGCTTCGCCTTCAGTTTAGACCGCCGAAGACACAAGCTTCCCATGGCTCGAATTCTTGCACATGTGCGGTACTCTCAGACATTTCAGCCGAGTGCAACTGCAGACGGCGCGAGGGGCTATTATCTGTTCCCTTCCATAATTCAGTGCGCCGTTTATCATGACCAGCTGATTAAACATTGGGAGTTCCAATGACATCCCCCACCAGTATCTCTGATCCAACCCCACCATGGCTTGGCGCCGGTAAAGGGGCGACAAATAGCCGAAGTCGCAGACTTAAAAAAGTCCTTTCCGGAGTTTGCACTTGCAATAAAATAAACTTACAAAATGTGTTCGACGACCAAGACATTCCTGTCCTGCTCCCAAGCCTCGTCATCCAGTTGTCCTCGATCGAAGCCCAGATTCATTCTTGGGATCTATCCTCCTCCTGACTGAGAGTGCAGTTCGCCCTCTCTGCACCTTCAAAACTTCTCGGACGCGTTATCAGTGTCTTGTCCGTATCCTCGATTTCGAGCCAGCAATCCGTTTCCAAAGGCAGAGCTACGAATTGTGAGTTACCAGACGCGTTTCTCTTGCTGTTACTGCTCGTTGTTCATGTACTACCACTGGGTCATGATGAACACAAATTTTTAAGATGTTAGACTTCCTAGCAAATTCTGCGGATTAAAATTTCGACTGAACCCCACCTTCCCCATAGCTCCAATACTACAGCACTTCTGTTCTCGACCATGCTGACGGATTGTCGAAAGATTTTCGCATCAATATTCTGCACAGACTGTCAAAATGTGTGGTATTCTTGCCCTCATCCTCGGTGATATCGAGAGTCTTTCTGCGACAACTGCTGCTGCCGACCTCCACGACGCCCTGTATTACCTCCAACATCGCGGTCAAGATGCCTGCGGAATCGCGACCTGTGCCTCCGGAGGGCGCATATACCAGTGCAAAGGAAATGGAATGGCCGCGAAGGTCTTCCACGATGGATCGCGAGTCCAGGATCTGCCGGGTTTTATGGGCTTGGGCCATCTAAGATACCCCACTGCTGGTAGCAGCGCCAGCGCCGAAGCACAACCATTCTACGTGAATAGTCCCTACGGAATTACATTCGCACATAATGGAAACTTGATCAATGCCGAGCATCTCCGCATCATCCTTGATAGAGATGCCCACCGACATATCAACACCGACAGTGACAGTGAATTGATGCTGAATATCTTTGCCAACGAGCTCAATGAGACGGGCAAATTCCGTGTCAACGAGGAGGATATCTTCCAGAGTCTGACCCGGATGTACGGGAAGTGTGTCGGCGGTTGGGCCTGTACCGCCATGGTAGCAGGATTCGGTATCCTGGGTTTCCGAGATCCCCACGGTATTCGCCCATTGGTTCTCGGATCTCGACCATCTGCGACTCTGCATGGAACTACAGATTACATGATGGCTTCGGAGTCAATTGCCCTTCGCCAACTTGGTTTCTCTGATATCGTCGATATTCTTCCCGGACAAGCCGTAATCATTCGCAAGGGCTCGGTGCCAGTCTTCCGCCAAGTAGTCCCCCAGCTTGCTTATTCTCCAGATATCTTCGAATATGTTTATTTCGCAAGACCCGATACGATCATTGATGGAATTAGCGTCCACCGAAGCAGGCAGAATATGGGTCGGAAGCTCGCACAAACCATCCTGGACACACTGGGCGAAGAAGCTGTCAAAGAGATTGACGTGGTTATTCCCATCCCGGAAACTTCCAATACGTCAGCAGCAAGTCTGTCGGAGTTCTTGAAAATACCATATTGCCAAGGATTCGTCAAGAACAGATATGTCTTCAGGACTTTCATTATGCCTGGTCAAGGCGCGCGACAAAAATCGGTGCGCCGGAAATTGAGTGCTATTCCATCGGAGTTCAAGGATAAGGTCGTTCTCCTGGTCGACGACAGTATTGTACGTGGTACTACAAGTCGAGAAATCGTCACCATGGCCCGCGAAGCTGGTGCGAAGAAGGTAATCTGCGCGTCCTGCGCCCCGCCAATCACACATGCTCATATTTACGGCATTGATCTTGCTTCTCCGCTAGAGCTCGTAGCCCACAATCGCGACCGCAAAGCAATCGCCAGACATATCGGTGCCGAGGAAGTTATATATCAGACACTTGCAGACCTGAAAGCTGCGTGCGCCGAGGAATCGCCGCGCAAGGATCAGGAGTTTGAAGTTGGTGTTTTTTGTGGCAAATATGTTACTCCCGTCACAGACGGGTACTTTGAGCATCTTGAGCGCGTCCGAGGCGAATCCAAGAAGTTGAAAGTTCTGGAGAGTGCTAAGGAGGCTGTCCTCAACGGAGTTGCCAGCGACAAGGAGCTTGACCTGATCAAGAAGGGCGTCGCGGTCGATGCGCAAGGCAATATCATTCCTGCATCCGATGGCCCGGTTAATGGAAGCAAGGTCAATGGGATTGATCTCGCTGGCCATGAGAGACGGAAAAGAGAACGGGATGATTCGGGGACGCCTCCCGTCAGGGATCGCCATGATATCAGGTATGTTTGCCCTGCTCACAGCACACGTTTCCATTGCTAATGTTGAACAGCTTGCATAATTTCGCCACTGATCCACATAGGGGTTATGAATAGACTGGCTTGGGTATTATGTGGTTTGGGTACTGATGCATTGGGTATTCTTTATATTTGCATGGGGCGCAAGGATGGCTGTCTCGTTCCAAGTTATGGTTGTATCAAAACCAAATAGAGACTGTTGGGATCACTCCCTGTTCTCCTCAACATCTCCATTTCTTGAGTGAACTGTAATGGCACAAACACCTTCAAAGTCTGGTTCTTGTCACGCAAGTGCTCAAGGGGCATATTGTATGACATCCCAATGGTGTTGCTACATGCATGCCAGATAGGCCATGGGGAGCATACACCCTTTCCGAGATACCATTATGTGCTTCATCGTACGACCAGTATTATATTTGAAGGTTTTCAGAGTTTAATCCAATAGCTCTTGACCGTTGCCTCGGCTCCTTACTCTGTGTCCGTTTTCAGACGAGAATGACAATCTCCGTTCTCATATTTCTTTGCCAACCAGAACAAAACTCTCTCCATTTCAAAGTCCAATTTGTCAAGCTTCAAATCGATGGTTATTGATTGGAGTGCTTTTCCATGGTTAAGAGTCGATCAAATCGTAACTGCTCCAAAAGGGAAAAGTGGGTCCATGCGAGGCTAACAAATTGGTGGTAGCCTCGTTTCACTGGCGTCATCACTCTCCCTAGACGCCTCTTCCTTTTCTGACTTCACAATGGTCAACTCAATTGGAATCATCCAAATGTAAGAACTTCTCGATCAATCACTCCATTAGTCCTATGAGGCAGAAGTTCGGATGATAATCAATTGAGAATTATACAAATTTTGTTTTAGTCACTTGGTTCCCCTCTGCATTTATCACCGGAACATCTATATTCTCCTACTGTAGGGTCCTGGATCGTTATCATTCATCAGTTGATTCTTTTACATTGCATTTCATGGTCACTCCTGTTCTTACCTCACACAATGCCTGATGTAACTCGAAAGCCGAAGGCCAAACTCGAACCTATCGAAGATGCATCACTTCCTCACTCCCTCCGCTGGAAGCCCGATATTTCGAACTTTGAGGATTCGAAACCTACACGCAAGCGAGTCAAGCGATCACCAGATATCAAGTCTGAGGAACTGACTAAAACCCCAGTCAAACCACCAAGTCCTTCCAAGCCAGTCAGTTCGCCGAGTCTGAAGACCGCAGCTAAGAAGGCGAAGAAGTACCACTTCACGCCTGGTTCCACCCCGTATCCAGATCACAATATGCCTACACCTGAAGCCTGCGAGGAAGTCAATCGTATTTTATCTAAGGCGCACGGGAAAGTCGAAGCACCGAAAATCATCGCTACGCCATCAATGAAAGTTGCTGGCTGTGGCGAGGTTCCTGACCTTCTCGATGCACTCATCCGAACTCGTCTGAGCGCCACAACATCTTCTACTAACGCCAATCGTGCCCTAGAAGGGCTCCAGAAAGCATATGGTCTCCAGACCTCGGGTCCTGGGAAAGGAAGCATCAACTGGGATGCTGTTCGGAGATCTGATATCCCCAGTATCACAGAAGCGATCAAGCGAGGAGGGCACCAGAACGTCAAGTCGGTGGATATCAAGTCCATCCTTGATACTGTCTACGAGCAGAATGTTGCCCGCCTCGAATTCCTTCGCCACGGGGCGAAGTCTGAGGACCCCGAGAACGCTGTCCGAGAACAAGAACCTGCGTCCGAAGAGATGAGAAAGGACGAGATTGCTCTGCTAGAACGAAACATGCTCTCCCTCGACCGCATCACGCGCATGAAACCCTTCGAAGCCATGGAAGAAATGATGAAATTCAAAGGAATCGGGGTCAAAACCTCTTCCTGCGTTCTCCTCTTCTGCATGAAAGTCCCCAGCTTCGCAGTCGACACGCACGTCTGGCGGCACTGTAGATGGCTTGGTTGGGTTCCGGAGAAGGCCAATAGAGATCAGACGTATAGTCATTGCGAAGTTCGCGTGCCGGATCATTTGAAGTACTCGTTGCATCAGTTGCTTATTCTGCATGGGAAGAGGTGTTATAGGTGTAGGTCGAATACGTCGTGGGGGACGAAGAAGTGGGAGGAGACCGTTTGTCCGATTGAGCATCTTGTGGACCGGAAGGAGGGGAAGAAGAGGCCCGGGTTTGTGGCGTTGAAGAAAGAGGTTGGTGAGGGTAAGGGGGGTGTGAAGAGGAAGAAGGTTGTGAGGAAGAGGGTGAAGAAGGTAGATTCGGATTCTGATGAAGTAAGTGTATTTCAGTTGTATATTTGTGAAATTTTGCAAAGACTTGAAGGCTTTCAAAATAAGGTACTGACCAGAAAATGATAGGAATTAAGCGACTGCTCAGATTTCAGCGATAATTAAGTTGATGACGGGGGGCTGATGTTGATTGACACATTTTGGATATACTTATGATCCTTACGACTCAAATATCATTGCTATAGGTTTAGACTATCGGAGATCTGCTGGGGAGGATGCTACCTCGCTACTTGGACAATCCAGTGTTGATCAGCTGTGTACATGGCATATATGTGGAGTTTTGGAGGACAAGGCTTGGGTGCTGGCAATATAGTAATCCTGATACGTACAAAGACTCAAAGCATAGATTTATTTAGAGCAAATTTCTTGTACAATGTCCACGAAAACATATCTTTTTCAAATCATGGGATCAAATGCATACAACGAAGACACATTCACTGAGGATGATTAGATTTCTATTGGTTGGTAGTTTGCCCAAACCAATTCCAGCATCGTAAAAAGTCCAAAAAAGACAGCAAATGGGAGCCAAATAAGCAGTATCAAGATCCAGTTGTAACAATTCAATGCCACTCCAAGCCACCCCTTTGCAGCGAACGAATCTCCAGCCAAAAGAGGCATACGAGAGACGAGCCTCCCCGCGTCTCTGCGGACCGGCAGGAGAGTTCAGGCTAAAGTGACAGGAACGCTAGCAGGGGTCCTCCTTCCCCAGAATCCAAAATTCTGCGAACGCGTGAGGACAAAGAGAGGCCTGCAGGAGTGCGAGAGACGCCGACTTCCCATACAGCGCATTCTGCTTCTTCTGCTTCTGTTTCTGCTTCTGTTTTTCGCCTCTTGTTGGCTGCTACGGTGTCCTTACCAGCGATGCGATTTTCAGCATAAGAACTTGTCTGCTCGAATTTGGTTTTCTTTTCTCGCGACAGACGTCAATAAAAATCCGAGCTGCCCTGCCCCTGAATCGACGACAGGCTGCACAGCACTTGCACAAGGCTGAAGATTTCGAGTTGAGGATTTGATCGGCAACAACATCGACGTAATGGAGGCAGAGGTCCCGGTTCAGCGAGAGGGTTTTTACCTGGATGGCATGACTGATGATGAGGTGTAAGTGCTGGGCTCCTGCAAGGACTCTGCAGAGTTCCTCCGTTCGCACAACTGACAGTTGGTAGCTGGTGGTATCTGGTTATTTCCGTCAGCGGTGCATTGACGTTTGTGGCAGTTTGGATGTACTATGGGATCAAGTTCTTCACATGGTTGACATCGGAGGAGATCATAAAGTACCAGATTGAGGTTCCCAATCCTCCTGGCGATGGGAGGGTCATGGAGAACCCTTCAATCAAGGTACGAGCTACCCCTCCATACTGCAATTGACCTCCAGACTGACATATGGCAGGCTCCTGGTTCAACAGCAATCCAATGCTATGCACCAGCTACAGGCGAATTCCTAGGGCTCGTAAATCCTACTACCCCCGAAGGTATCGACCGAGCAATTGAGAAAGCGCAGACTTCGCAGGAGAAATGGAAGAATACAACGTTCGCGCAGCGCCGACAAGTCTTACGATGCTTGCTTCAACATATTCTAGACAATCAAGAGGAGATCTGCAGGGTTGCCTGTCTGGATTCGGGAAAGACAATGATTGATGCCACACTGGGAGAGATTCTGGTTACGGTTGAGAAGCTCCGTTGGACACTCAGACACGGCGAGAAAGCATTGAAGCCATCCAGCAGACCCACGAACCTCCTTATGATGTACAAGAAGAACAAGGTTGTCTACGAGCCTCTGGGTGTGGTTGCAGCATTGGTTTCTTGGAACTACCCTTTCCACAACCTGCTTGGTCCAATGATCTCTGCGATCTTTGCTGGAAACGGCATTGTTGTCAAGGCATCGGAGAATACTGCTTGGAGTTCCAATTACTTTTCGCTCATTGTCAAAGGCGCGCTTGCGGTCTGTGGACATAACACGAATTTGGTCCAGGTTGTTACTACATGGCCTCAGACTGCTAATTACCTCACTTCGCACCCTTCGATCTCCCATGTCACATTCATTGGTAGCAGACCTATTGCCAAACTCGTTGCAGCATCGGCCGCAAAGTCTCTGACGCCTGTGGTTGCTGAATTAGGAGGTAAAGATGCCGCTATCGTGTTGGACTCTGCGGTCAAGGACCTACCTCGCATTGTCGAGATTCTCCTCCGCGGTACCTTCCAAGCCGCTGGACAGAACTGCATTGGTATCGAACGTATCATCGCCACTCCCCTAGTGTACGACCAACTCGTCATGATGCTCGAGCCTAGAATCAAAGCCCTCCGGGTCGGCTCCGTGCTCGACGCCCCAAAAGAGTCTCAAGTTGACGTCGGCGCCATGATCTCAGACGCCTCGTTCGACCGCCTCGAGAATCTCATCTCCGCAGCCGTCAAAGACGGCGCTCAACTCCTCGCTGGTGGAGAACGCCTCAACCACCCAGTCCACCACTCAGGCCACTACTTTCAGCCTACTCTCCTCGTCGGTGTAACACCTGAGATGGCCATCGCGAACGAGGAATGCTTCGGTCCTATCTGCGTCGTCATGAAAGCCAAAGACGCAGAAGACTCCTGCCGTATCGCAAACGCACCTGACTTCGGTCTCGGCGCCTCAGTCTTTGGAAGCCCCGGCTTCACAGTCGATGCGGTTGTCCAGCATCTCAAGACTGGTATGGTAGCAATCAACGATTTTGCCGTGTACTACGCTGTTCAACTACCCTTTGGCGGACAGCGCGGTAGTGGATATGGACGGTTTGCAGGCGAGGAGGGGTTGAGGGGATTGTGTAATCTGAAGGCTGTTTGTGAGGATCGGTTCTTCTGGGCGGGTGTTAAGACGGCTATTCCTGAGCAGGTGAGGTATCCGATTGCGGATACGAAGAAGGGGTATGAGTTTACGAGGGCGGTGGTGGAGGTTGGGTATGGGGTTGGGCCGTGGCAGAAGGTCAAGGGATTGTTGAGGATGAGGAGGAATGCATAGATGACGGGGTGGAGAGGAAGGGGAGTACTTGTAAGTAGAGAGTCTTCTGGGGAGGGAAGGAGGCTGATAGAGTAGATATTTTAATTTTATGATATGAATATGTTTTGTTGTCGCCTTGTAGGTTGTAGCTTTTGGGGGTCTAAGTCGTGCTTAGGTACGATTTCTTACCACGAAGGTCTGGCTCAATGTGTAGTGGAGAGACGAATAAAGTAGACTTCTCCATACATATAGTAGCAAAAATCACCACCTACACTGTACATGGTCACTGTCAAGTGTCAAGTGTCAACACATCTCCTTCTCTTAGAAGCGTTTTGTTGCATATCGCAGCTCTATTTACTTCCAGTGAGTCATAGAGGCGTAGAAGTTAATTTATGCATACTAATAGGTAATGGAGGTGAATTGGATGGGGCTAGGCAAGCGAGGCGAATGAGGGAAATAGCAGGGTTTTGTTGCATTTCGCAGGTTTGTTTACTTTGAGTGAGTTAGGAGAGTGCTAAAGAAAGGTGAATCGTTGGTTGAGTGGTTGCTACATTGGCTGCCTGCTCGCTTGCTCGCGTAAACAAGAGGAACCTTACACTTTCTTCTGAGATAAGTTCTGGTGCAACTGTAATATCTAAATGTAATGGAAGTAAATTCAGTTTGTAAGATAATCGTTTAGTCATTTGTTACGTGGATTGAACGATCATGTAGTGGCACAGAACCTTTATTTATAGGATTGGAATCCATGGAGACTCTCGATTCAACCATTTAGGGATTCTCTAAAACTGATTTCCTCTGTACGACTGATACACGTCTTTAGGTTATTATTTCTCAAAGGTGTATCTATATAGCTACGCAAAGTCGTTTCTAGTATTACGGTGTCCTGTAAGTCACATCGTCAAGGGTTTAGCACGTGGCAATCGCAGCACAGAACCCCCGTATTTCTCGCTTAATATCACAACTTTTTATTTACTTTGGAGCATCACGACGTTAACGTACTACAACGCCTTCTCAAATCCCTCACTCCTAACATCCCACCCCTTAGGCCACCTACTCACCCCCACAGTACACCCATCCCAACCACCCGCAAGCATAGCCACAGCAAGCAACAGACCCCCACTACTCGGAAAGTACGGCGTCGGTACCCTCACCCCTCCCACGGGCATTCCCACATCATCAAACATCCACAAATCATCCAAAAGATACTTCACAGCCTGTTCACTATCCCCCAATCTGGCAGCATTCATAGCCAACATGGGGAAATCCCATCCGAAAAGATTTTCGAAATCCCAGATTTCTCGCACTTTCTCGGCTGTGTTGCGCATCACGGTGAGGTTGAGACCGGGTCCGGGAGGGAGGAGACCATAAATGCCAGTCATACCTGGGTGGTCGTAGTAAGTATTGGGGTCGATCCACATGTTGGGGATATCTTGATAGACTGCGTAGGTGTCATTTATGACCGGTAGAGGTGCGAGGTTGTCGTTGACGTGCGTCCATGTTGATCGGATTGACATGTTCTGCCGAGTCTTCCAGAGAGAGACGATATTGAGACCGAAGTGCCAGTAGGCGAGTTCGAAGGTTGGGTTTATGGTGGCATTTGGGTTGGTATTTTCGCTGACGGGGTACATTGGGGGCCCGAGATCGTAGTGCCCTAGGTCCTTGTCAATTTAACGGATCTTAAAGTAGCCTCTGACTGCCGAGATTCTGGAATGGATAGAAAACAGAAACGTCACAGAGACCTACCAGCCGTCTCATTCCACCAAGCAAAATCCGCCATGAACTCCGCACTCTTCGTCAACACCTCATCCCACTCCTTCAACGTTTTCCTCGTCGGGAACGCCCTCCACTCCAATTCCGCAAAATAAAACGGATGCGGCTGCTGCCATATCAACAACGAATTAATCTCCCCCGGCGCGCTCCTCCCCGTCGGATCACTCATCTTCCCCCACTTCGCCCCCTTCCACCCCATCTCCCTCGCTCTATCCAACGAGCTCGCCAAAAACCGCTCATATACACCCGGAATAGCTCGATTGAAAATCTCCCATTTTCCCCAGCGCGCCCATTGCGCAGAGTGCCAGAGGATCATCTCCATGTGGAATTTGCCGTACCAGCCGTTGTTGACGAGGCCGGATTCTTGGGGTGGGTCGTGTCCAGCTTCGTTGACGGCGAGGAGGTATTGGGAGAGGATTATGCGGCGTTGGAGTTCGGTTGCATTGGGGGATTTGGTGTGGGTCAGGTCGATGAAGGCGCCTGATTCCCAGTAGTTGGACCACCATTTTGCGGAAGATCTGGCGATTGATTTGGGACTGGGGATTGAGCGGGTGAGGTTTGGGGAGAATTTGACGCTGAGGGAGAGAGAGCTACCGGTCTTGGGAGAAGGTTGTAGAATGTAACGATGTGAGGATGGTAGGGGCCCGGTGATGGAGTCTTTTCCTTGCCATTTGATTGACGTGTAATATGTTGTTGAATCCATGTTGTGGGTGATTTGAGCTCTGTTTCCGCTCTGTTGAAGAGTAGTGGTATGTTTCGAAGTGGCGTTCCAAACACCTGCAAATGGAGCATCAAATTTCTGAGCAATGGGATAGGGATAGTCGAAGAAGATCCCTAAGTGGCCTGAGTCGATGAGGTTAGATTCAACTTGGACGGATATGGTATCCGAATCAGGATCGGATGAAGTTCTGACTCTGACTTGGGAGCCGAGGACAGTGAACTCTGAAGTGATGATTCCGGAGTAGAGGTCTAAAGTTTGTGATTTTTCTGATAAGCTAGCTTCAGTAATGTGCTGGCTGTCTTGGAACCAGAAACCAATTCTTCCCAAGTTGACTCGTTGCGGATTCTGGATGAGCCAATTCGAGATCAAAGGTTCTGCTGGGTTTGGTTGGTTGTAATTGACCAGTCTTCCATGTGTCCACCTATGTTCATTAGCCAAGGCTCTCGGACTGGAAACATCTGAGAAAATTTAAGTACCAATCTAGACCCGTGAAATCTGAAATCTTGGACTGTCCGGGAGCGGTCGGCAATGAGAAGTTGTGCCATCCCCAAGATGACATGATTGCAAACGGTTGGAATGTTTGCAGTCCTGTGATATCTGCTCCGAAAGCGAAGTTGCCATTACCGACTTGCATAGGGGTGGAGTTTGAACTGGCATGACGAATTGGATTAAATTGTCTTACGACTCGTTCACGATCTATTGAAGTCGAAGTTGCTAAATTTGTGAAAGTGAGGAGGGCAATAGAGGGGAGCTGCATCTTTTATCATCTGAAGTTGAAATTTGTTTCAGGCTGACTTCAACGTACGTTCTATAAATTTCAATGGCCCAGGAAATAGCATGAAAGATACTAGAAAAATGCCACAAGAAAACGAAAAGAAAGACTGTGATACGGAAGTAAATAATTTTCATTATCACGTCACTTTCACTCACCCCGCTGTATACCCACTAGAGCGCTGGGATACTCTCCCGGCTCCTGCAGCTACGTTTTGGTATTGAAGATCATCAACTTCCCGCCTAAGTTGCTCGGTATCTCGGTAGATTATTGAACCAGCATACGCAAAAGAGTCAGCGACACTAAAGGATAAGTATACTTGGTGGTAAAGACTCCGTGGAGTATGCCGATAACTCGGGATGATAAAGCGCGGGGTAATGGGGTAGTTTGGATGAAGGAGTGATGTTGTGACGGGTAAACGAGGATGGATAAATGGGATAGGTTGTCCGGGGGAAGTCCTCCCCGAGAATAAGCTAACATTTAGCGAACATCAAGGATATTCGGCAGCTGATGTAAACACTAGACACGAAAGACTTCCTGACAGGGAGCGTTGTAGAGTCTTCTCGTTTGACACATTTCTGCAGTGCTTTTAAAGTCGGCTTATGTATGAATGCTTCCATTTTAACTTGGAAGGGTAGTCACACGTATTCGGTTTTTATTTTGAGAAGAATTCTGAATTCCAAATCATACTAAACAATCAATAAAGGGTTAAATTCACTAAACGAGTATTTATAGAACAGACATGGAAACAGCAGCCTCGACACCCTAGTTTCCGCCTCCGGTCTTCGCCAACGAGGGAACTATGTTCCTTCTCATCCCCTATATCCTACTTCTTCTTCAACGACTTCTTACTCCCCTTCGGCGGCGGCTGGTTTTTGGCCGCCTTTCCCTTACCACCTGTAGTTACTGAAAACCTGGCCCTCTTCCTACTCGGTCCAGGTTCGGGCGCATCGTCTTCCTCATCCTCTTCGTCCTCTTCCTCATCGTCAATTGCTTTCCTCTTAGCACCTTTCTTAGTAGAACTCTTTGCTTTCTTGTTAATCACTTCAGGCTGTGACAGAGCCTCTTCTTCCTCCTCATCTTCATCCTTAACCGCCTTGTTTTTACCAGTTTCCCTAGCTGAAACCCTAGGCTTCTTCTTACTCGGCCCAGGCTGTGACACATCCTCTTCGTCCTCCTCTTCCTCGTCCGCATCCATCTTCCTCTTCCCAGCTTTCTTACCAGCTTTCTTAGCCGAAGCCTTCGCCTTCTTCTTACTTGGCTCGGGTGGTGACAAGTCGTCGTCGTCGTCATTCTCGTCCTCGCCAGTAACCGCCTTTCTCTTCCCAGTCTTCTTGGGTGAAGCCTGTTCTGATGCCTCTGTCTTCTTTGTTCTCTTACTCGCCTTCGGCATCGGTACTTCTTCAACCGCCTTTTCCTTTCCCTTCGCATTCTTCTTACTCGCAGCCTTCCCTTTCCCTCTCCCCTTCCCATCCTCCTCCACATCTTCTTCTCCATCCTCTTCTCCATTCTTCTGAAACCCCGTCGTCACAGTCAGCATTTTAAGTTTATTCTTCAACTCCACCTTATCAAACCTCAAACTAAAGGCCTCCGTAGCCCACCTCACCAACTGCTCCCCCCTCGCAACCGCAAATTCCCCATCAATATCATAAACACAGTACCTCCACTCCCCATCCTCCCCCAGACCTTCCAACCTCTCCGTAACAAGCACCACCTCCTCCTTCTCAAACCCATCAACCCCCTCAATATCACTCTCAAGCCTCGCAAGCGGAAGCATCATACCATGCGGATACGCCACAAGACGCTGGGTACTTTCCAGCCCCCAGGGCTTATTACAAACCCCCATAAACTTCCCAGTATTGTCAATCTCTCCCGTCTCTCCACCCTCAATACGGCGGACTTTTGGATGCAAGACTTTGAAGTCAGGTAGAACGTGAAAACATTCGCCGCGGGAGATGTTGAATTTCTTGATGATGGGGTAGCGTCCTCGTGCCCCTTTCGGAGGACCCTTTTTCACCAAGAGAATGCGGAAGTTGGGGATGCCGGGCTTGTATATGGGTGGTTCGATGGGCAGGCCGGTGTTAGGCGTGTATGATATGTGCTTTAGATCTGGGATTGCAATTTCGGCGTGTTGGCCGCCTAGGTCAACTACGGCTGTGCCTTCGGTGGGTGTGTCGGGCGGAGTAGGGACCAGGGTGGCGAAGTGGCCAGCGTATATCATCTCCATGTCGTTTTCATGTTCTAGTTCTATATTCTCTCGAATCATAGCTAGACCTTGGTCGACTAAGGCCCGTGTTTGAGCCTCGAGATTCCAGCGGTTGATTGCCTCGCGTGCCCGAGGATCAATTTTGGGTGTCATAGCTTCCCAATGACTGACGTCCGAAGAGTAGTATACGCCCTGCTCGTGGCTCTCTTTGATCTTGCCGGCGTTGTCGTTATGGAGCCAGATTGTAGGGCCGTAAGGGTATTGCTGCTGGAAGTATACTTCGTGCGGCTGGACGAAATCGGGGTTCCATATTCTGTCACCGGAGACGACTAATGGTGCGTTTGGATCGGAAAACACGGGCTCGTACCTCCCTCTGAATCCCTCAGTGATGAATCCGATATTGAATTTGGAGTCTAGTCGCGTATTGATCATTCGCATAAGCACACTTGGAGCATGTTAGTAAACAAGCCTTTGACATGGGCATGTCGTGAAAGACTTACATCAGCTGATGAATCCCAACTACATTCGCCTCAAGATAATCTTGAAGGTACTCCTCTAAAGGCTCATCTGTAGCCTCATCTACTTTTCCTATTTCCACAACAAGATTTCTCGCTTCCACTTCATAGCCGTGTCCTTCCAGCATCGCTCTTATATCCTCAACGATCAAATGATCGTCCAGTGGCGAATCATACTCCACAAGTAGACTCCTTACAGCCTCCAGACCGGTGGCTAATGCGTTGATACCACACATGTAGGCATCTTCCAGGAGACGTGGAGGTGGAGATTGAGGCGCGAACCCGAGCGCTAGATACGGAAGTAGACGTGATAAGTCTGGGTCCTCGCCGTTTCCAGATACGAAAGGGATTGGCTCATCGGATATCTCTGGCGACTGTCTGGAGTCGTCCTCGCTATCTCCTCTTCCTCTTCCTTTGGGCTTGAAAACAGGCTTTCCTCCAGGTGGGCGAGAAGGACCCCCATTAACATCATCGTTTAAGTATTTGACACGAATTTTATGTATTGGTGCTCCAAATGGTGGTGCCACGCTATAATTTTGAGCCATTTTTATCTCTGGTAGATATGATGTTCTTACAATGGAAGCTGCAGTCGTATGTCAAATTTTCCCTGCTGTGTAAGACAAAATGAAAGTATATCGTCAACGGGACCTACGAAAGAAAGGCTCGCGTAACACAATGGCTTCATTCTTTGTTCCCGTACTGAGTTGCTAATTAACTTAAAGTGCTCAAAGCATTGGCCGGATGAGGAATGACAGTTGAAGGAATAAAGAGAGAGATATTTGATATGAAAGTACTTAGTGATGCATGCGGAATCGGAAAACCAATGTAATTCCAACCACTAGGCTTCATGTCTTGACTTGGAGCTTCGTTGAGGAACTTGACGACTCACACAGCTGCTGCTGGAAAGCATTTGTAACCGGAAAAACCTGCAAAAGAAATAGCATAATGTGACAAATGCTCGTGATGGGAACTGAAGACACAAGAATGGCACAGCACCTTACGCCAGGCAAGCTGAGAAATAAAACCTCTTGATAGGTGCATGGATTCTAACTGCTTGTCCATTTGATATATACAGAAACTAGCCCCGCGGAACTCTATCTAGAATATCAAGGCACGTCAAGCAGAAATGAACACGCAGAAAGCTCAACACCGGGCAATTGGCACCGTAAAAAATGAAAGAGCGAAGCAAGATAGATGGCAAAATGAAGTTGAAGACTTTTGAATTCCAGGATATGCATGCACCGGCCCCATCTATGAACTCTTTAGTCAAGTGGGATCCCCTCGTACTCTGCAAAACCTAAGGCAAGGTTCATGTTTTCTGTTTGAGGAAGTCAGTTGGTGTTCTAGATGATTTGACATGTGATGTGGGATTGTGATTGTTGGATGCGAGATAGGATGGGATGAAAACAGGGAGCTTACGCAAACACTGAGTAGCAGCACCCTTCAATAAATTATCAATCGTCGCACAAACCACCACTCTCTTCCCTGAACTGTGAACACCGAAACCACCAATCTCCACACCATGCTTGCCACTGATGTTCTTCACGCTAGGGGCCTCACCGATCACCTTCACTAGTCTCTCACCTGCGTATCGCTCTTGGTACAAATTGCGGATATCTCTGCTGGTCATGGTCTGCTTCAGGGGCAGACTGATGGTGTGATGAATACCTTGGAACCAGACAGCGACGTGAGGAACAAATGCGACGTCAACACCAAGCTGGTTGCTGATCTCGCGCTCGTGGATGTGGTCTGTCAAGCTGTAAGGAATGATGTTACCGGTCAAGTTCTCAACGTCATTCTTTGGGCTGGGCTTGGTTCCTGCTCCAGAGTACCCAGACACACCAAATACAGTAGGTTGACCGCCGAGGAAAGGTACGAGAGGTGCGATACCGAGTTGTGCAGCTGTTGCGTAACAGCCTGGGTTGGAGATACGGGTAGCCTTGGCAATATCGGATCTATTAACAAGCTCTGGAAGACCATAAGTCCACTTGCTGTCGAATCTATAGTCTGCGGAAAGGTCAACGATGACGCTGTTTTGAGGTCCCTTTCCTTCGTTAACGGCATCGACGAAAGGCTTGCAGACACCGTTGGGAAGTGCCATGACCCAACAGTCGATCTCGCCTGCCTCCTCCATACGGCGAACATCCTCAGCTGAGAGGTTCTCGTAGGTGATATCTCTCTTCTCATAGCCCTTGAGCTTTTGGCCAGCAAGTTCACGCGAAGAAACGTGTCGGAGATCCATGTTTGGGTGTGCATTGAGAAGGTTGATAAGAGCTTGTCCGGTGTATCCTCGAGCACCAATCAGGGCAACCTTAGCTGGCTGGGTGTTAGATGAGTTTTTGGCCCCGAAAGGTGGGTTTGGGTTGGTGGTAGTGGCGTATCCACGTGATGAAGTAGCGAATGTTCGAGGAATGGTCGTACGGGTTGTGTTAGAAGCTGGGCGGGTGTTGGTTGAGAAAGCACGAGCTTGTTGTCGTTGTGGAGATCCGCTCTGTTGCATCGAGGCGCTCATGCCGCTGGCAGCTCTAGCGGCTCTGTGAAGACGCTCCTCCAAGTTGGCATCACCAAGCATGGCACGACCGTATTTGGAGAATTCGGTCATGAGCTCCTTAACCTCATCGCCGCTCTCAATACCGTACCAGAACATAACCTCTCCCTCCTTGGAAAGACTTCCGTCGGCCTTGTCAAAGAACCAGGTCAAGTTCTCGTCATCCTCCTTGACGGTCCAGACAAGCTTTGGGTGATCCTTCTTGATAGCAGCAAAGACGTTGTCGGCTACGTTTGTCAACCATCCAGACTTTGTAATTGTGAAGGTAGCCAAATTGGCGAGAGTGGTCTCGGAAGAAGGTGGTAGGACAATGGCGAGAGCGTCCATAGGCTCGTCAAAGTATGCCTTGAATTCGCGGTTCTTCAAGCCATCCACGTATCTATCAACAGTGGCTCTGGCATCGAGACCCTCGCGATCTCTAACAAGAACATCCTTAAGCTTCTCAAGATCCTCGAATTGCGAAATAGCAGTCGTAGTCGCAAGCTTGTTGCCTCTGCGGATGAGGGTTCCAGCACCAGTATCCGTGAATAACTCCTTCTGGAGATCTGCTGGGTGGATAATAGCAACACTGGATGTACGTGGTAGACCATCAAGCAACTGCTTAGTCTCCTTGATCTTCAGTCTCGTTCCGTATCTGCACCACCATTGTGACATCAAGTATTCGTATTCCTCATCCAAGTTGATAGCAGAGATCTTCTCGTTCGTATCGGCATTGAAAAGTCCTCCCTTCTCAGAAAGGTAGACAATTTTCAGCGGCTGAAGCTCCCGAGCAAGCTCTCCAGCAGCGACATCAGCGTTGACGTTCAACACCTGACCCTCTGGCGTCTCAGCCATAGAGGTCAAGATTGGCAGACATCCAGCATTGATAGCAGCCTCGATAGGGCCCTTATTGACCTTGTTGATCTTGCCAACCAAATTGTATTTGTCCTTGTCCAAGTACTCCGCTCCAAAAACACCAGAAGTGATCGGACGAGCACGAACTCCCAGTTCCTCGAGCTTCTCAACTAATTTCAAGTTCTCCTCCAAAAAGAGCTTGCGTGCTACTGCCAAAGTCTTGCCATCTGTGACCCGTATGCCCTCCTCAAACTGTGGTTCGACTCCCGCATCCTCTAAAAGCTTATTCAGTTGTGGCCCGGCACCGTGTACAACGACAGGGAAAAGTCCAACGTGGTTCAGGAATGCGAGGGCAGAGGTGAGGGATTCGAGATGCTCGGTAATGATAGCTCCTCCAACCTTAATGACAGCGAATTGCTGCGAAGAGACGGAGCTGAAGTGTGACAAGTATTGCTGAACTTCTCTCTTGGAGCCGATGTTGCTGAGCAATTGTACAACCGTCGACCGAGTTGACAAGCTGCTGGAAGGAGCAGAGTATTCCCTCCTGCTCGAGAGAGCAACTGCCGCAGAAGCCTTTGGCAGAGTACGAGCGACACTCAAGGGCAGACGGTTGGCAGCTGTTCGTGCCCTTCTGGCAACGGCACCAGCCGTGGAACGAATAGATAACATTTCGAATATGGGTTTGGAGTGGAGATTGAAGGATGGGAATCGACTGCTCTTTCCTCCAGCTCCTGCAGAGCAAACTGGTGGTGATCGGGATTCCCAAGCGCGAGTTCGTGCGTGGTTATCTCATGAGAAGGTGGGGATAAAGAGAGGGAGCTCCAAGATGGAAAATGGCTCAGACCTGAGGGGTCCAATAAAGTTAGTCACTGCGGCAGAAACGGCGGTTGGTGTTGCTTGTTGACGAGATAAGGAGCAAAGGAATCTGGCTTTGGCTAGGGAGAGGAACACCGCACCTCGAAAGTTCAATGGATTGTTGTTTGAAGACTATGAATTTTGAAAAGTCACATTCTCTATCTACTCTGCCGTTCGCATGGGCTGGGAAGCAAATCTGTGTGGGGTTCCGTGATCGGGATTGGCTCACAGCCGTCACAACCTTGCCACTAAGTTTTTGCCTGCACATGATGGCCACCTGCAGAAGCCAGAAAATTGTTTTTTTCTTTCCAAGTTCGCCGAGAGCCTATGGCAAGTTGCAAACCATGGGGAGAATTTGGCCAGCTGCATGAATTGCGCCCTGTCTGCCGCGCCATAAGACGCCATTTTGCTGAGCAGATTTTTGGCTCTGGCAAGGTCAGTCCTGCCAGACCCTCTAGAAATCCACCTGTGTACCTTAGATTGCCGTTATCTGATCTTATAAGTGGACCAAGTGTAGATAAGGCGGTTTGTCACTGTTCAAGTTTTGTCAAGATTATCCAGTATTGACTCTGGCTGTAAGTCGTAAGTCACAAGAGAGCCAGAGACAATGAACAGCTTGTCTAAACAGACCTAACCTGGTTCTCACAATATACACCAAGACTACTTTCAATGTCATGATATCTCAATTAGCTCCTCCAGGAATCCTACATGATACAGAGTGATGCCCCGAGACTCATCTGCCTCAATTCCAAGACAGGCGAACCCAAGTGACCCTCACGGTATGCTGCGCCGTCGAGAAAAAGGAAGAAACCGTCGTAAAACTCAAATGACAACTCCAAATCGCTAAACCTTCGTTGATCCTGTTTGCTCGTAGCCAGCGAGTGTAGTGTATCGCATGCAAACAGGACCAGAGAATCCCAGCGCTCGTAGGACTTATGTAACCGAACACATTCATGAGCCCCTCCCCTTCCTCTGAGAATCTACTCGGCCAACAGCTCAACCGTTCCTAAGTCGATTTAATGCTTAGTAGCAACAACTGTGGGGAGTTAGCTATATCCTTGGTACAGGGAATGATTCTGCATACCAGCTGGTACAATAATGACAATGAGCAAGATGATTATTCCAATAATCAAGCACATCCGCATCTTCATGTCTGCCACACCATTAGCTCCACCACTATCATTCAATAAGAAGCATTCCACATACCCTTCCACCACATCTGCTTGCGAACTCTGTTGGCACCGCGACGGAAACCTTGTGCTGATACAGCCAGGTTGTCGGTCTTATCTTGGAGGGAGTCGAGGCGTTCACCACGTTGGGAGACCTTGTTGATGTTCTCGCGCATTACACCAACAGTGTCATCGATTTGCTAAGAGAGGCATACTGTCAGCACGCATCCAGAAAAACTGATTGTTCGCCATTCGAGATGTCGTATGGGGAGAGTGCCAAGAGCGATGAAGTATCCTTCCGAAGTGATGATGGGCGCTGAAGTCCGCAAACGGATCCAGCAGCTCGACGCATGTTCTTTGCCTGGCCGATCTGACCATTTATTCCAGATATGCACGTAAATATCGCCCTTGTCTTCTTGTCGATGTGCGAACGCTGTCCTGCCGCTAAAAGACCCAGTGATTCTGAAACCAATCCGCGGCAGGTCCAGAATCGATGAAGCTATCCCCAGAAATCGCCTGATCAATTCGCAAGCCTTTTCAAATCCCCATTTCGTGTTTCGTAGTTATTTTTCTGGTGCGAGACGTGTCGTTGTTCGTTGGGCGAAGGCCGGTCATCCGTAATGCGTAATCATCACCATCGCATCGCTCTCGTCGTCCGTCGCAGGCAGGTTGCTCCATCATGTCTTGAACGACTCGAAATAATTGAGAATAGACTTACTGCTTGTAGCGCTGCTGTTCTCTGATTGCCTGGAGCAGCATTTCCACCTTGAGCTCCCCCCGCGGCCTCGTTGGGGATGTAAGGGTCATATGGGCGATCTCCAGCGCTGGCCATTGTGATTTTGTAGGAGGTTTGTTTAGATGAGAGTTGTAGGAAGGATTCGGTGTCGCTTGCAAATTTAATGTGTTCTTTGTTGGTTTGTTGGGGGTTGGTTGTAGGTTGTGGTTGGGAGAAGGATGATGGAGGAGCGTCGTCGTGGTTACAGTTTGGGTTTGGGATCTTAGGACCAGGAGGCGAGCCGATGTACTAGCAGCAGGATCAAAGCGGAGGCCGGAGATATTTTAAGAACAAAACACTTTGTGACTTGCATTCACTCTTTTTTGTTCAGTGAAGAAATGAGACACACTTATATGTATTAATCCTAATCATATATACGAGCACAGTCAGTTCTGTGTACCTACGGACATACGCAACACATCACCGCCACCCAAACGCACGTGAACCAGATCGTGGCAGTGTTTCTTGGGGAAGACGTGCCGATGCCAGGAACAAAGAGCAAAACACCGCCAGAAATGAGGTTGACTTTATGTCTGCACGGGAGACGCGATCTTACAATCAATATGCCTCTGGGTTGAAATGTTAAGACTTTTCAGCCTGTTCCGTTGGTTCAAGTGCCGGAATGAAGTCCTGTTACCCCTGTTGATCTCTCAGACTTCAGACAAACACTGGCTTGCGCTCATATTCTTTCAAGGCCTAGTATCATGATGCAGTCACACGTCTTTTAGATCTTCATTATACGATATCGCTAATTATGCCCATACCTCAACTGGTCTCTAGAAATGGACAGCAATGACCCGGATGTGATCACTAAGGTAGATACGGGGATGTTTCTGCAGGAAATCTCGAAGGGTTTGGTCGAATGTTATCTATTCTCTGTTTCATGTTTCGGCCGGGTAGAATCTCCATCCAGGGTTGCTCAGTCCTTGAGTTGTGATGATTTTGTTAATCGGCCAGCTACCAGGAGCCATTTGGATATGAGAATCGCGAGACATGACTAGGTCGGGTTGAGTCGTTGACTCATGGAGTGTTTGTTCGCTGAGAAAACAAGGAGGATTCCAATTCAAAATTGACCTGGGTGGACCTGGGAGAGAGTCAGAACGATCTACCTTGATAGTTCCAGCCTGCGGAGAAGTCCGCTTAGCTGAGTTCGCCAGGTTTTGAATGCGAAGCTCTAGGGCATCTAGATTCACATATGTCACCTATATACAACGCAAGAGCCAGAAGATTTAAAGTTACCAACAAAGTAGGTAGGTAGATATCTCGAAATGCAATGGCACGTGACTAGAACGTGACACAAAGTCTCCTCTCACCCTGCCATCCCTGTACTGCCAAGGACTTTATGAAATAAAGATGTCGCTGCATGATGGAAACCGAACTTCCCTTCCATACAAACAATACTCTCTTGAATCTTGGAAACAAATGATATCATGCTACACGGCATTGCAAGGACTTGCCTGCGCCGGCGTGAGCATCAAGCTCTCGAATCTTGAGATAGGCAAAGTTCCTTTCTCATCGTTCTTGTGCTGTCACAGCATACATACTCATGAACTTGCTTGCTTCTCCGTGATTCACAAGCTCGGAAAATGTAGGCCTTCCTTAGTTCCATCATTGCATTTACTGCTCCAGTTTCCTTTTTGATCGTTGGTTGGGTTTATTGCTTACCTCGGCTTGGTGTTCTTTCTGGAAGCATTCTTCAGTATGGCGCCGCCTCGGTGCTAAAAGTGCTTGTATTCATCGATCAAGTCACACCTTCCTTCCCAGTTCTACCCTCTCTTTCCTTCCTGCGATCCCTCAATCTTTCCTGTAATAACAGAGAGCATCTTCAGATTGGTTCTCGAGGAAACATTACCCTCATTTTTCAATCAGTCCGTTGCGTTTGACCTCACTTCACTTTGGTGACTTCATCAACCCCGCCTCGGCATTTGCACATTCGCTCTAGGAACCCCAGCCACACTCCCACGAACATCTCTCTCCGATTGGGGTCGTTGGGTCAATGGGACATTGATACTATCATTATTGAACGCGATATCCTTTTCGCTCAGCAGAGCTTGAGACACATTCGCTGTATCAGAATCATTCCTGGGAAGAACCTCGTCAAAGTGGCATCCGAAAGTACCGGGCATCCCTTGCGGGTCCTTCTGGCCCTTGTGGTACAGCTTCAGCTTCAAAATGAGGTTTTCGAGGAGGCCTTTGGGCAGTACCGCCATGGCCATATTGACTGGTAGCCAAGTCGCCAATTCCTTGACCGTCGATTTAAGCTCTCCTGGTAGGTTGTGTTCGCGGTCCACTCCAAGAGATCGAAGCCCCTTAGATGTCTTGGCTCACCTTGTACAGACTCGATTAAGTCTGTCGCAAGCACAATTGCTTTTGATATGATGAGCTACTATACTGGCAACCATACTGGGGATATTCCAGGGAATCTGCCAGCGCCATACTATTGGTATGAATTCTTGTCCCTAGATGTTCCAATCACTAATGACGACATGTAGGTGGGAAGCTGGAGCCATGTTTGGAGCCATGGTCGGTATGTATTACTTAATTTTCTATTTGCAAGATTCTATCAGAGCCTTCCAACACACTCCTGGGGACTATGGTCATGGAAGCTTACTCTAAACTTAGATTATTGGTATTATACTGGCGACTCAACATACAACGATGTCACGACAGAGGCTCTCCTTTGGCAAGTTGGACCCAATCGAGATTATATGACGCCCAACCAGACAAAAACCGAAGGAAACGATGACCAGGGGTTTTGGGGTTTGGCAGCCATGTCAGCTGCAGAAGTTAATTTCCCAAATCCTCCTCAGGAACAACCACAGTGGCTCGCTCTCGCTCAGGCAGTTTTCAATACACAAGCGCCGCGATGGGATCTGACTTCATGTGGCGGAGGCTTGAAGTGGCAGATATTTACCTTCAATAATGGCTACAATTACAAAAACTCTATTTCCAACGGTTGCTTCTTCAATCTCGGCGCTCGTCTTGCCAAGTATACCGGTAATGATACGTATTCTGACTGGGCAGAGAAGACTTACGTCTGGATGGAAGCTATTGGGCTCATCGACCAAAATTACTATGTCTTCGACGGTTCTGACGACTTAATCAACTGCACGAGGGTAAATCGTCTCCAGTGGACCTACAATGCTGGTGCCATGCTTCTTGGGGCTGCGAATATGTACAACCACACCAATGGATCGACAATATGGAAAACAAGACTTGACGGACTGATCAAAGGATTGGACGTGTTTTTCCCCAATGGTCAAAATGTCATGCAGGAAGTGGCCTGTGAAAACAATGGTCTGTGCAATGTGGATCAGCACTCGTTCAAAGCCTACCTGGCTCGCTGGATGGCAGCAACTACCAAGATGGCTCCGTACACTTATGATACCATCATGGCCAAACTCGCGCCAAGTGCGCAAGCAGCAGCAGCTCAATGTTGCGGTGGAGATAATGGGAGAACATGTGGCTTGAGATGGTCCATGGGGTCAACTTGGGACGGCAGCTATGGCGTCGGTCAGGAAATGGCTGCTCTGGAAGTCATTCAAAGTAACCTGATCTCCCAAGTGGCTGGACCCGTCACGAATGCTACAGGTGGAACTAGTGTTGGCGATCCTAACGCTGGCAGTACGACTGTCACTTACCTTCCAGTTGGTCCAGCAACATCAGCTGATAGAGGTGGTGCTGGCTTTTTGACCGCCCTTGTCCTTGTCTCGTTCATCGCCATGATTTGGTGGATGATAGTTGAGTAGCTGGACGAATCACTTCGACGCATTGAAGAAGCTGTATATATGCCTCTCTTCTGGGCAGGTTTTTGGAAATAATGCATGGTGTACCTAGGTAGGGCTGGTCAAGGTCATAGGTAGGGAGGCTACCATGACACAGGAGTTTGGTTGGTCTCTGGCGTAGATATCATGGGATGGATGGCTTGGAATGGTCAGGATTGATAATTTGTATACGGATAGGATGTAAATCGACCGATGGATATACGCTCCATAAACTTTCGTTAATGTTAGGAATGGAGCAAGTGGAGATGATTGTTGACTTAAGCTTCCCGTATAAGTATCGGATGCCCAACCGTTCTCGGCTACCCCTCCGTCAGCATCAACCGTAATGTAGGCACATGTTTACACCATTTCTCCATATAGAGCTCCCCGGCTTTCTCCACATTCAACATGCTGTTAATGTTGTACCGAATCTTAGACAATGTCTAGGTCAGCCTTCAAATCCCTGCGCTCTGCCGCCTCACTCGCTCCTACCAAGATCTCTCGACACTACGCCACCAGACGCGCCTCAACGCTCACCAAGCAAAACAAGCTCCCAGCTTCCTATTACCGCGGCGGCACCTCTCGAGCAATAATATTCAAGCAACAAGATCTGCCCACCGACCGCACGGCATGGCCGCCCATCTTCCGCGGCGCAATTGGCTCTCCTGACCCAAACGGCAGGCAGCTCGACGGCCTGGGCGGTGGGCTCTCTTCCCTCTCCAAAGTCTGCGTCGTAGGACCCTCCTCACATACAGAAGCCGATGTAGATTATACATTTGCCGCTCTGGGGATCAAGGACGAAGAGGTGGACTTTTCTAGTAATTGCGGGAACATGACGAGTGCGATTGGGCCATTTGCGATTGATTCTGGATTGGTAGAACCGCCGACTGTAGGGGAAGGAGAGGCCACAGTCAGGATACATAATACGAATACGGGGAAGATTATACATGCTACATTTCCGGTTGTCGAAGGTGAGGCTGCTGCGCATGGACAGTTTGCGATTGACGGCGTGTCGGGAACGGCTGCCAAAATCGAACTGGCGTTCATCAACCCAGCGTGAGCACCATATTCTTCTCCCTTGATAGGGATTCCCTTGATAGGGATGTCATTATTGATTGCTAGTTTTATTTTACAGAGGATCGAAGACGGGAAAGTTACTACCTACTGGAAATGTGGTAGATAACTTCGACGGCATCGAAGCGACATGTATCGATGCTGGGAATCCGTGTGTCTTCATCCAAGCCGACGATATGGGTGTAGATGGCACAATTCTACCAGATGATATCGATGTCCACCCTACACTCCTCACAAGACTGGATTCTATACGTCGACAAGCTTCGGTCGCAATGGGAATTAGCAAAGACGTCAAATCCACACCCGGCTCAATCCCAAAAATTGCTATGGTGTCTCCGCCCACTTCTCACAAACTCCTCTCGGGCGAGACGATACAAGGCGATACAGTAGACTTGGTAGTCAGGGCTCTATCTGTTGGCCAGCCGCATCGTGCGGTGCCTATCACAGTTGCAATGGCTATTGCTGCTGCTGCGAATCTAAAGGGGTCAATGGTCTATAGGAGTGTTGGCAGAGGAAGGGTGGACTTGGATGGGATTACTCTGGGGCATCCAAGTGGGAAGATACTGGTGGGGGCGAAGTTTGATGAAGACGGAGGTTTGACGAATGCTACAGTGTTCAGGACGGCGAGGAGGCTGATGGAGGGAATTGTTTATTGGAAGTGAGGGACGTTGTCTTGAAAAGAAGATCTTCAGCGCAGACCTGATGCTCTATGTCTAATCTTGAGCTGGAATTCTAAATGTTTTGAATTTTCAATGCGAATTTAGACGTTGGCATGCTTTCGATGCCTATTAGTCGCTACCAATGCCTCCCTGATATGATTTACAGCAACTACAAACCAACACTGATGTAGCAGACCATCTTCAGAAGCCACCCTTGCGTACCTACACTTGTTGGCAACACTCCGACTTCGCAGACGTGAAGCTTCCCCGCAAACCCCTCCTTTCAAGAAGCAAGTGAAGCGAAAAGAAGGGGCATTTGCCCCACGATTCGACCGGCTGACCTTCCTGTCCTGAACAAAGTGCTAGACAGCACATCCTCCAGCGCTGTCTTCCGGACCCGTCATCTCGTGGGTTTACAAATTTCGGAATACTGTTCTTCTTTTTTCGAAAGCTTGGTAAATCTCTGAGAAGATTTCCTGTGATTCGTAAACGGCTTTCGGATCTATTCAAACTTTGTAGTGGATAAAATTCTCTTCCCAACAACCTATTTCATCGGGTATGGCTTCCGAACAGACTTTATTGCAGTTATTGCAATCACGGACTATCGTAGATTGTGATACTATGGATGTGGAAGGTGGGGGAACTTCCTTCTTGCATCTCAGTCTACTAAATCCGACCAGTTCCCAAAGCTCTTGGTCCATTCGTTGATTGTACTTCAAATCAAGTGCGTTCTCAAACTCCTCCTACGTAGATAAATTATGCAAAATATATCACACATTTCTGACAAAGCATTCTCTGAAGGCAATCGCCTACAATGAACTTCAAAAGCCAGTTCACAAGTCTAAAATCGAGGATGCTATTTCTATGTCCAAGAAACTGGGTCAGAAATACCCTGAAGTTTCTACTCAAGAATTAGCTGTCGAGATTGTCGTATGTTCCGATTCCGTATTTGAGATGAATACTACTTGCTGAACAGAAGTCCAGATGGTTATTTTGCAACTGAAAATATCTCATCACGTCACAGGCTTCGTCCATGTCCAAACGAATCCGTATTATTCGTACGACACTGGAAAGACAGTGAAAAATGCTCGCCGTAAGTGTCTCCCACCCCGGGTCTTTCGCTTGGATCTTGTTGAAGCTTTGAAATATAGGAATCGTTGAACTGTTTCAGAACTTGGATTCGTCATTCGACCACACACGAGTATGTATCAAAATTCCCAGCACCTGGGAAGGTCTCCAAGCATGCCGAATCCTTGAAGCGAGCAAGACAACTACATTAGCTACAACATTGTTCACAATCGAGCAAGCTTCTCTCGCTGGAGAAGTAGGATGCCATTACATAGCGCCCTATGTCAATGAGCTGAAAGTGCATTTCGAAGCTGGGTATGTTTCCCCATTCATAACCATATCATTGGATCAGAAGACAGCTGCTAAAGCGAGACAGATTCATTGACCACAACAAAGCCCAAAAGCTCTGCGTACAATCACAGCGTTTCTACGAAGCCAACGGTATTAAGACGCAAGTCCTCCCCGCAAGTCTGACTTCCACGACCGAAATCATGGAGTTGGCTGGTGTGCACCACATCACCATCTCGCCTGGACTTCTTCAAGAACTTGCTTCCACTCCCGCTTCGGCCAATATGACAATCTCACTGTTTGATGAGGCTGCGATGGAGGCTGATATCCCGGCTTATGTAAAATATGCGGATGATCAGGCTAAGTACAGGATTGCTTTCACGAGGAGTAATGGGGGTGATGGTGAGGGGGAAAGGAAGTTGATACAGGTGAGTTTGAGCTGTACTTGATATCGATAGAGTCTACTAATCATGAGTGAAGGCAATCAATACGTTTTGTGATATGCAGGTTAAGTTGGAGAAGATTTTACAATAGTTCAAATACAGAAGTCAACAATCAAGCCACTCAATCACCATCCATCCAGCTCTTACCCTTCCACTACGGATCCTTTCAACCCCCTGTCTCATCAAGCCTCATTAATAGTGAAGCCCCTAGATTTTCAAATCAGTTCCATCACCCTAGAAGCACAAAGCCTCAAGTAAAAAAGGTCCACTTACCCATCAATTGGCAGGTTGGCCCCATTCACCAAGCTCATCCTCGGCCCACTCAGCAAAACCACCACATCACCGACCTCCTCGAACTTCGCAGCTCGGCCCTGTCTCGTTTCACACGCATCGTAGAACGCAGTTGGTACGACGGTCCCAATGACGGGTTTGAGAAGGTCTGTGAGGAAGAACCCAGGAGAGACTGCGTTTACGCGAATTCCTTGGGAGCGTGCTTCGAGTGCTGCCTATGAGGGGTAGGAGTTATTAGTTGTCGATTCCAGATTCTTGCACGTATGCGATGATAGATTATGGATATGAGGGGAGGTAAATTGAAGCGCAGACTGACTGTTCGTGTGATCCCCAAAACTGCGTGTTTGGCTGTTGTGTAGGGAAGCGTGCCTGGGAGAGCCATGCCGGAGTTGACGGATGCACAGTTGACGATTGAACCTCTTTGTTCAACTCGCCCTTCTTCACTATTCAATACAAATCATTAGTACACCGCTTTTGTAACATCTGAGTCCGTCTTTTTTTCGGAGGTCTCGAGGCAAGGAAAACTCACACTTCAATAGAATCCTGCTTCATCATCTGTCTGAGCTCATGCTTGGTGCTCAAGTAAACACCGGTACAGTTCACAGCCATGACCTTCTGGAAACCTTCGAGAGGCAACTCGGAGGTTTGATCCATTGGCCCGAGGATACCTGCGAAGTTGCTGGATTCCTCAGATGTTAGTTGTGCAGTTTGATACATGATATAAATGATGCTAGGAGAAAGGCGGGGAAGGAAGAGATGTCTCACGCAGCATAGTCAATCCTGCCGAATTCTTTCACAGCTTCTGCGACTGCTCGCTCGATGTCTTCTTCTTTTGTGACATCGGCTTGAATAGCTAGGCACTGCGAAACATACAAGTTAAGATTCAGGTTCTCATCCTTGATAACTCGTAAACCAGACCTTCGTCCCATAAGATTCAACGATCTTCTTCCCTTCATTCAAGGTTTCTTGATTGACATCCACAATTACCACACCTCTCGCACCATCTTTCGCAAATGAAACGGCGATGGCGTTGCCCAAACCTCGGGCACCGCCAGTTATGAATGCGATGCCCGGTGCTAGAGGTCCTGATCTCTTAGATTTTGATGATGTCTGTTCAATAGACGTGAGCCAAATATTTCTTTAAATGATGACGAAAGCTGTTCAAAGTTGAAGTGGCATACGAACTGTTGCGCTGGAACTGGCTTTGCTCTTCAACTGTACCCCGTCTATTTCCATCTCGGCTGACATTGTGAAAATCTAACTGTACACTTTCGACGGCGTTTGAAGACAATAAACAATTGTTCAAGTAAGGTTGTTTTCTTTTCAAGCCCAGCCTCTCTTTTCTGTGAAGACGCTTATATGTTTTGGTAGTGCTGATACTCTTGAAAGCAGTCTAGAGCAAGTCTTCCCCGCGTTCTCGCTCTGCGGGGTCTTCCAAAGGACCGAGGCGACCTAAGGAATTTCCGAAGGGCACGTCGTTAATTCCAACATTGTTATACATCATGAATTTGGAATAAAGCAACTATCGCATTGCTTCATGAATCAGACTGGAGCACTGTAGATTTGCGACCAACTTTGTTTTGGTACATAAAGAAAAGCTTTGGCTAACCTCCCCTTGTCCTTGCCTCGCAGGACTCCATCCTACCTGCACGATCCGCAGGGCCCAACTCTTTTCTCCGAATCACTGATATTATGCTTTGAAAAACAATCCTATTCATAGTTGCTCTTGCTCAAGTTCCTTTCCAAGACGTCATAATAGCCATCATCTTGGAAGCCATACGCTGGCAAAGTGTGGTTTATGGGAAGACTTTCTGACTTAACCAACCAAACATTCAGGAATAACTCCCGGGATTCGCCCCCAGAGCATCTTTTAAGATGGAAACTGTTCTTTATCACCATCAAGATTTAATTTCCTTTTTCACAGACTATGACTTCGGCAGTGCACTGTGTCAAATGCCGTTCAAGCCACCACGGAACGATCCTCCCGTCACCAACTGCAGATCCTGCATCAACACTTCACGATTCAAAACTGCAAGCCGAGAGTGTACAAAGATGTCAGTACATCCGTACCGACTTTGCAACAAGCATGTCTTATGTTTGGACTTGATTTTCAGCATATATCATGGCTTCAACACCACAGTCTCCAAGCCACGACGGCTTTCAAGAGAGTGGGATTAGATTGTCAAGCTGCTCAACCCCCTCAAACGATGAGGAGAAGGCTCTACCAGCAGCGGAAGTTGACCGTAGTAAAGAAAGAGACACAAATCTTGTTGGCTGGGACGGAGATCATGATCCAGAAAATCCGCTGAACTGGTCAGACGGATATAAGTGGTGGATAACTTTCCAACTATCAATGTTAGCCATGGCCGCAAGTTTGGGATCTAGCATTATTGCCCCAGCTGAAGCCGCTATCGCAGAATACGCGGGTGTCAGTAAAGAAGTCACTGTCTTGGTTATCTCCTTGTACATGTGAGCTCACCAATCTCCTTTCCAAAAGTATTCAAGCTACTGACTGTTTGAAGTATTGGCTTTGCTTTCGGACCCCTCTGTTGGGCACCCGTATCAGAACTTTGGGGTAGAAGAATGTCCCTTTTGCCAGCGATGGCCTGCTTAGGACTCTTCTCAATCGGAACAGCTGTAGGCAAGAATGCCGAAACAATCTTCGTAACTCGTTTCTTCGCTGGTCTCTTTGGATCTGCACCTGTTAGCAACGTTGCTGCTGCGCTGGGAGATATCTGGGAGCCCAAATCGCGCGGAATTGCTATCACCTTCTACGCAGTAGGTATGTAGACGTATATCTTAAGATGTACAGACTATCTGCTGACCTCTCCTAGCTGTTGTTGGCGGTCCGACTCTGGGTCCCACTATTGGGGCTGCACTCCTGGTCAATCCTCATCTCGGCTGGAGATGGACTGAATATATCCAGGCAATTTGGACCTTCGCCGCGACCGTCCTTGCCTTCTTCGCTCTCCCCGAGATATATTCGCCAGTAATTCTGAAGAAAAAGGCGCAGCGTCTGAGAAAAGAGACTGGCAACCGGTCTCTTCATCATCCGCATGAAGACATCAAGCTGTCTCCCAAAACGATCGTCACGAAACATCTCGGGCGACCTCTGAGAATGTTGTTGACAGAGCCGATGGTCGCTTGCATCGCATTCTACGCCTCGTTTGTGTTTGGACTTCTGTACCTGACCTTAGAAGTCTTCCCAATTGTCTTCCAGGAAGCTCGAGGTTGGGGTCCTGTCGTTGGATCCCTGCCCTTCCTCGCCTTATTCATTGGTGTCCTCTCAGCAGTCGTCATCAATCTTGGAAACCAGCCTCGATACGCACGAGCTCTCGATGCATCAAACGGAAAACCAGTGCCCGAAGCTCGACTGGCTCCTATGGCTATCGGCAGCTTCATTTTTGCCATAGGTCTCTGGTGGTTCGGTTGGACTGCAGCACCAAGTACATTTTGGCTTTCGCCAGTCTTTGCAGCTGTATTTATAGGTGCAGGCTTCAATATTATTTTCCAGCAATGTATCAACTTTCTCGTTGATACTTATGGACTTTATGCTGCTTCTGCTGTCTCGGCAAATACGTTTCTGAGAAGTGTGTTCGCGGCGGGACTTCCTCTTGCTGCCCAGCCAATGTTCCATAATCTTGGAATTGGTCCGGCCGTCTCGATCTTGGCTGCGGTTGCAACTGTTGCTATTCCAGTACCGTTCATCTTTATGAAGTATGGACTGAAGTTGAGGAAGATGTCACATTTTGCGCCTGTTGACGAAGATTGAAGGTCATGTAGATGAGAATATTAGCAGCTCTTGATGTAGCGAGAGTTCGATAACAAAAAGATAAATGCTCAAAGCAAGACAGTCCCACCAATAATGATCCAATCGTTGTGTACAAGAACTGGTGGTGGAGATGAGCAAGCAAATATCGAACGAGATCGTGTCGCTCGACTCAAAGCACGAGGTTGGTGGTTTGAAATTTAAGCTTTGCACCTTGGCGACTGGGAAGTATAGAAATGTGAGCATTGTTGCCCCACCCCTTTTCAAGAAGCTACCGAAACTCTCAAGGATAATTGTACGATCATACTATGTTCTCGAGTTTGGCATGATACCAACAGATTTCTCTTCTCACTGGCAAAGCTTTAACGTCCTCGAGCTCATAGCTGTCATAAATGCCGTCCTTCAATGTTTAAAAATTAAAACTAAGAGGGGTATGCTCTCGGGTTTGGCGTTGGTAATACAGATTACGTACTTCTGCGAACACTGCTTTTGCCAATGGTGTTTATCACTATTCATATGATTTGGAGGGGATGTACGTCTCGCTTGTTTACGCTCAGCTCGAATCACAACACATGCCAAGCTATACAAGTAAGGCTGGGTCTAATGCCATTAAACCTTCAATCTAGCCCACTAGACCTGTTTATATCCTGAGATTAATTTTAGTCTTTGTCATGGCGGCTCCTGTCGATTGATCGATGAGCTTCAAGCATTCCCCCCAACGCTTCGTCTACAGTAAGACCTTGCGAGTGGTGCCAGTGCGGATATCTCAGCTCCATGCCTATCCTTAACCCCAAAGCTAGAATCTATTCGTCGAAATGCAATGGTAGAGTCCGTCTCTGCATAGTTTCGAGATTTGGATGCTGTTTAAAGAAAGTAAGGGAACATTACTTTTCCACGTTGTCGAAGCTGAATGGTTAATGGTATTTGAAGAAATTCATGGGAGTTCCGACGACCCTGATAATTGCACGAAAAGAGAAACCATGAACGGACCCTGGTGGACCTTGTAATATCACAGAATCCCCAGACTATGCAACAAGGGACTGTAGCATCGCAGCTTACATCGAGGAGCCCTTCTAACCTAATTCGAAAGCTCTGAACCTCTTGAATGGGTGGCTCCTACGAGTACGTAGCCGCGCGCAGCATGCAACCCACTACCGTCGTCTTTCTAATACGTCCGCTCGGTTTGTCCTGCTGCCCTCTGCCGCTCTTGGCGCAGTAGTGTGAGGGCTATGGTAGAAAGATCGTCAAAGCATTGAGGATCGTGAATCACCGCACCGCACTATCTGGCCACGTTTTTGGTCGGAACCATCACTGGCTGACCGAGTGAGTACAAGGGTGTCAATGGCTCATATATGTGAGATAAAGCTGCTCAAAATCTGGACTTTTCCTGGTCTCATCAGCGCTTGTGGCGTTTAGATCAGGATTTTCAAGTCAACCCAGCCGCTGTAGCCAATGAGAGAGCGCTACTCCTCGTCAAGTAAGCTTTAAGCTAACAACATGTAAACATCGCCAGATGGAGCCGTATTTGCCAAGGTACAAAAGCCCCATCTGCATGCAAGTTTGTTGATCTTACTCTTGGCTTAGTGTTACCTTCTGAATTGGGTCGCGAGAGTCTGCAAATGGTTCATACGTCATCGTTTTTCGTTGACATAAATTTACAAATGCAGAATACGCCGCACGCAGCCAAGGCGCAAGGAAAACCCACCAGGACCTGAAGCTTACGAAGAAAGGATAATGATTCGTTGTGTCACTTGCCAGATGCTGTCCGGGTAAGCACGAGAATTAGCCTGTGAAGGACTGCCATGCTGTCTTAGGCGGGGAAGGGAAGGCAAGGTATGTTCTCACTCTCGCTAATGTCCTGTTTACTTGGCTGCTTAATTGGGTTGTATAGAACGTCCAGCCTAGGAAAGTCAACTGGTGTGCCTAATGATCCTGCTCTCAGTGTTCTTCAGCAGCTGCTGGCGTGATCTCCACATACTACTTTTCTTCAGCGGCCTGCCAATGGAACCATCCACATGGATGTACGGTGATCCATTGGTTCGTCAGAATTCCAATGTGGTGGACAGGGTCCATTGACAGACCTTTGAATAAACGGGTTTAGGTACATTTTGAGCTTCTTATTTTGGTAAGCTACCTTGAACAGCAGCCCCTACTTCACTTCATATATGGCCACGCTTCACAACGTGCTTCCAGAGAGACATCTCATTCGTTTGGAATTATATATTCACGAGACAGCTTTGCAAAGCCTTGTTGATCTTCCCCAGAACAATGTATGAGGCACAAACAGTGAAGGTTAAGTGTGCCGTAGCTTGTTGAGAATAATATGAGCGTGACGCGTAGAGCATACGAACTGCCTCTATCTTTGTTATATAGAGAGGGCAAGAGCTGTCCCAATAACTCACAATCCGGACCTCATTACATCTTCATTCCAATCTTTCTACTCTGTATCACAGCACCAGATACAATGACTGTCCTCCTTCCTCTATTTCTTTTTGCTCTAGCTGCGAAGGTTCATGCTGTTACCATAAAACTTTACGGCGCTACCGTGGTAGGACAAGGAGATTGCAATAACAACAACGTAATCCTCACCTGTACCGATATTGCAGAAGGAGATTGCTGCTATATTCCAAATACCATTTTCGGTTCAGCCAAATTCCTAGCCTTGCCCTTGCCCGCAGCGCAAGGTAAGTGCTGTACCTCCATGCTTGCGCAACTTTCAACACTAACACTGTCCTCAGGCCTTGTCTTTAACGACTTGAACCTTTATGGTTGCAATGGAAGAGCGACTAGTGTAGGGTATGGTTTGGATCTTTGTCTCGGCCCGGGCACAGGTGCACAATGGATCAACCCCGTCAAACAGACTGGGGATTGCGCCAAAACGGACGACCCTCTTGTAGGAGTCTGCAAACTGAGAGGCACCAATGCTCCATCACTAGACTGTGACTATGGATCGGTATGTATCAGCCAACTTTTCCCGTCTTCCATCAATACACATAATTAACGCGGGAGACACAGTGCCTTGATAACTCCGAGGCGAGCAATCCTCTTGGAGAATGCGACTATGATGGAAGCAAAGACGAGTTTACAGATGTCAACTGTCCCTCTGCAGACCGCAAGATGATCAGAGGCGAGAGAGCTAGACTGTGAGGTGATTGCATGTGAGTACAAGTCCGCTCCCCAATATCAACACTCTCCAAGAACACTAATACTAACTTGAGAAGGAATACTGTGCTTCCTGAAGAAGTATTTATGGAGAATTGATTGAACAGACTCCAAGTAAACGTGGGATGTCCCGAACGATTTCGCTAGTTTCGCTCTTCCTTTTGAGAAACCGAAGAATATGGAAATGCACATTACTATTTTGCGATTCCTTTTCAAAAATTTAGGATCAATTTCAATCACTGCTTTTTCAGCACCTCTTTCTGCTCTCACTTGACATCACCGGGTCTACTAAATACACGTCCTGATAACCATGCCCCTTCTAAATAAGTAACCCTCATAATAAAGATTATTGACAACTATGGTAGGTCGGTTGTACTGTAAGATTTGGGCCATATCGGAAACACATGTCGAGATAGATTTTCCCTCGATTTGCAAGAGGGAAGATGCTTTTGATCGCTCTACTTCACAGCCATGCTTGCATTGTTGAATCATGAGAGTCGACGTATGTATGAGATTCATGACGAATTCGCAATCAAGTCTGAAAGCCCGCGGAGTACTTCTTGCTGACTGTGCACCACTCGGGTGATCCAAGATCCCAAGGAGCTCCATTGTTGTCAGCTAATCAACATGACAAGGCGAGTTTGACATCGGAAGAGTAGCATGTCCCAGCAACGTTTTTGAGGTTAATGCTTGTCAAGTTCTTCCATAATGTCCTGCAGACATCTATCCAAAGTGCCAAACAGCTTCAAACCAGTCCTCCGACGACTGCTTCACCACTGAAAAGTCTTCTTCTGCTTCTTCAACACCAGACTCTCCTGCGATCCATGCAGGCGCTGTAAGTTGGTCATCCAAGTCAAATGATGTTCCTCGTCCGGGTCCTCATCATCTCGGTTCTGCTTTCTCTCAATCTTCTCGACCACCTCCACGGTATTCAGAGGCACCTCGGTAACCTTGCAATCACCACAGGGAACATGCTGACAGTATCGGCAGGTTTCGAAGAGTTTGTAGGGGAATGTGGGCTTGTTGCATTGTGAACATCCCAGTTTCTTGGCCCAGATGAGGCGTGGCATAGTTGAAGATGACTTTGACTTTGCAATGAGGTTGACAGTTGTGTTGCTATGTACTATTTGAGACCAGGGGTGCAGTAATGTGTTCTGAAAGGATAGGTTAAACAAACAAGGGCCAAGGTTACGAGATATACGGAGCAATATATAACTATTTGAACGCCGTACGATACCTGAACAGTCATGATCCAGTGATTTCGGTTGCTTCCAGTCACTTTTGGCCTACTTTGAATAACACAACACTGATTCAAAGCACAGTCATAAAATACGTGGCCTGTTTCGACGTGAAGTATCATTTTCGCCTGAATTCCGATGAGCCACTTGATGGTGATAAGGTCCACATCAAAACCTCTAGGACGAAGCCAAAAATCAACCAAAACATGATCATCCTGTCCGTGCTATTTAACTTCACCCACCGGTCTCATGTTTGCAACCCCTTCAGTAAATTGCCGGATTGCTACTAACAGTATAACTCGAGCAAGCCTGGTGGCTACACGAAACAGACTCCTTCTTACCGGTCGTTGAGCCTTGCTTTGTTTGCCATTTGGTGCCCTTGCACTGGGTTGGCACCTGTCCGTGTATGGTTCCTACAGTTGTGGTTCTGCATTTGCAGCACTCGAGGTCTTTATACCACACAATGGTCATGTCTGTGATTTATCTAAACCGGGCTATGCACTTGAGTTTGGATGCTCAGGCAAGAGGGTTTGAAAGTGTGGGGATCGATGAGCGACTTGAAGGTTTCTGCGATTTAGGCTTCTGGGCGGGGTTGAAAGCGATATGAAAGGAATTTATAGGAAGAAAGAACAATTTGGAAGGGAGATAGACAGATATAAATAACAGAGCCAGCCTTCACTCTGCCGCATCTCATGCTGAATGAAGCAGTGCCAACAACCATTACTGCATTCACTGCTAAACTGGAGAGACCAGAAAAAATTCAAGGGGAACAGCAGCTTAACTAACAGTTGTATATCTCTGAGTCTCTGGTTCTATCAAGCCTTCCCTGTGTCATTCATGCCGAGCAAACCCGCCTTGTCACCCCTCCGCTCCGACTCCACCTATTGATTGGTCATCTTGACCTGAGACCCTTTGGTCAATTTCTCTTCCAATCTATGTTAAGCCACTGATCGCTAATCCTCGACTACTCATGATTGCAGTAATCGCACGCATCTGGTTGCTGGAGTATCACAGTGTTGAAGCTATAGCAGCAACATAATATGTCCTCAACCATTTCCACTAACATGTTGTATTCAACTGATGATAGACTTCCAATTATGCATAGGATCTATTCTTTCTTTAATCTGAAATCAAAGTGATATCAAGAGAACAAATGTGCAGAGATAACTGAGGCCAAAGAACTTGATCCAGTATTTATGTGCCGAAAAGTGGAGATGCTTCAAACACTTAATTATATCCGCAGATTTCAGAGAGTTAACATGAATTTGAAGCTCCTCGCGTTCATAGAAACAGTCAAGGTTCGTTCGAATCGAATGGTTTTATAAAAGAAGATTGCTTGCGTTCTATATGACTCCTCTAAGTGGCATGTATATGTCCTCCCCCAAAATAGCCGAACATCAAAGTTTTCCCCCAATCCCATCATACATCTACCCCAACATCAACGACTCCACAATACTCCCTCCCATCATATCATCTTGCATCTCCATATGTATACCAATTCCAACGTCAATGGGCCATGCATCCCTTCGATCCCATTCCACCACTCTCAAAAAGCCATGCCACTCTCAATCCACCCTATCTTACACACTCCCTGTCAACCCCCTAGCGACCAACCCAATCCGAAATTCTCTCCCACCGGCTATACTGCCCACAAAGATCACACTGCCTATGACCACATCCATCGCAGTCATCAGGACGACTGAGAACCATGGTGTCGTGGTTGCACTTGCAGCATTGCATGTAGGGGACGTACTGATGAATTCGGGGCCTTGTTACTTGACTTTCTGGATCTTGGTTTTTGATTTTATGTATGGATTGGTGTAGTTTGGATAGTTTGGATGTTGAGTTGAGTTAAGATGTGTTTTAAGGCTGGGATGTGGTTGTATGTTTTGTATAGTGTTGATGTTTTGAATAGAGAAAGGGAAGGAGACGATGGAGGAGAAATTAGATGCTTTTATACTTGTGGTACAGGGTCCAAGTGTCGGTGGCTTTTGCAGGTGGTGGTTGGGATTGTAACAGCCTGCAAGTTTGCTGTGATTGTCCGAGTCGCCAAAGAAATTTAACAATTGCTGTTTCTCTACAGCATTCACGGAGAAGTCAGACGGGGCACTTCCTTGTTTTCAACTCGTAGATATTAATTCAATTGGCCAATGGCCATTCTAGCCTTCTTTATTGTACAAGGTCCTCAACAACATCCATGCAACGCCGCCGATCACCATACACGCCGGATGTCAACTCCAAGTCCCATTCAAAACCGCTCAAATGCGCTAATAAAATCCAGTAAGTCTCAAATCTCCCGAGCTAGCACCGATCCGAATGGTGATGGTGCCTTCGGTCGGCATTACCCAGTTCTGTCGTCCCACGTCCCAGTAACTCATATCTCGTCGAGTCAAGTTGAAATGTACTGTCTGCGTCTCGGCTGGTTTCAGCAAGACTTTCTCGAAGCCTCTCAGGACTTTGATAGGGAAGTCGACTTTGGCACCCACGCCGAATAGGACATCGTCGAAGCTGATGTAAAGTTGCACAACTTCTTTGCCTGCTACTTCGCCCGAATTGGTGATGTCGACTGACACATTGGCGTATGTGTTCCACAGATCAGGGTTGCCACCTTCATCTCCACCTGCTTGGGATGGCGTTTGCGTGACGTCGTATCCCACAGGATATGGATATTTGCCTGTCTTGATCTCGGACAGCTTGGTGATATATGGATAGACGAATTTCGAGAGCTTGCGGAATCCGGTTGGGAACAAAGCTTCTTTTGGATCTGGGATCTTATCGTCAAACTTCGGGGGCTCAATTCCATCTGGGCGCGGCGATGGCAGAATAGACTTTTCGCGGACTTTAGTGACCAGGAGATTTGAGTATTGGAATGTTGTATACGAGAGGCCAAATCCAAAGGGGAATGTTGGAGCAACGCCGAACTTGTCGAAATGGCGGTAATCAATGTAGAGGCCTTCGTCAAAGTTCTGTTGCGGGACAACGCCATTCGGAACGTAAAGAATCTTCGCACCTGGTCCGTAATCCTCGAGGGACTTTCCAACGGTGTAAGGTAGCTTTCCACTGGGATTGACGACACCTGTCAAGATGTCTGCAATAGCGTTACCGCTTTCTTGTCCTGGAAGATTGGCCATGATGACAGCTTTGATACTTGGATGGTCAATCCATTTGTCCACAATAACAGGACCCACTGAGTGAATGACAACGATTGTGCTGCCCTTGCCATCACCGCAACCGTCCGCCACGGATCGGATGAGCGCATCACCGCCTTTCTGCAGGAAAAGGTCGTTGCGATCTCCATTGATGCCATCGTTAGCCATATAACCTTCACCGGAATCGGCATTTGCAAAGACGATGCACACATCCTGATCCTTCAATATCTCCGGTGATGATTTGAATGGTGGAGTGTTCGTGGGGAAGTCGGTTACATATACTCGATCCTTGTTGAATGTCTCTTTCAATGCTGCGGCAGGAGATACGAGATATGGAAATTCAACAGCCCCGGATCCCCAACCAGACCCAAGAGTCCCCTGGTTACATCCACGGTCAACACACGCATTTGGACCTTTTCCAGAGCCAGAGTCTTCACCAAAGATTCCTATGCGCATGTTCATTTCATGACCCTCATCCGACCAGCCATCTTTGCTAAGGGGCAGCATCTTGTCGGTATTCTTGACCAACACCGTGCCTTCAGTTGCGACGTTACGAGCTATGATGGAGTGGGCATCATCGCCACTACCCTGAACATTGATGAACTTGTTCACAACCTTCTTGTCCTTGTCATCTGGACTGCCTGGATTAATGACTCCAATCTCCTCGTTGGTCCAAGACGAAAAATTGGGCCCTTCACCGTCGAATTTGGCTTTGTCATCCTGGCCCATTTGATACCACGAGGCTACAACTCTAGTAACCATATCATTCAGGCGTGAAACAGGAAGAGAGCCATTCAGAACAGCTTTGCTTAGCTCGTGACCCCATAAGGAGTTTCCAGCAGCCCATCGTAGACCATCACCAGGCATCGACATATCCAAACCAGCGAGAGCACTTGCAACACCACTTCTTTGTGCCAGCCAGTCGCTTTGCACAAAACCTTGGAATCCCAACTCATCTTTCAGAATGCCGTTCATTAGCTTCGAGTTTCCGCAAGAATACGAGTTGTTGAGCATTTGGTAACTGCACATAACACTGGCAACGCCAGCCTTGACGGCATCTGCGAATGGCCATCCGTACATTTCGTGAAGAGTTCGGTCATCGATGTTTGAAGACATGGCATTTGGTAGGCCCCACTCCCACGACTGACGGAAGTGCTCCTGTTCGTTGCCAATAAAGTGCTTGATCGTGGCAATCACACCCTCTTCTTGAATTCCCTTGATCGTTTGCGCTGCAGCAATGCCTTGTAGAACTGGATCCGCACCAAATCCTTCCCAGTTTCTTCCACCAGCTGGCATTCTTCCGAGAGGTCCAACGCAGGGTCCCAGAAGGATATTGATTCCCTTCAAGCGCGCTTCCTTTCCATGTGCCTTTCCACGCTGATACATCAGCTCTTTGTTCCAGGTCGCTCCAACAGTGATACCCGCAGGGAATGCTGTCGCGTTATCTGCAAATCTCAAACCCAACGGACCATCTTGTAGCGCCAGACCTGGAAACCCAACGTTGATTGCTGGGCCAGTATTTCCAACCGCAAGTCCCATGCTCCAACCCGTTCCAGTTGTAATGTTGACCTTCTCTGGCAGAGTCATTTTTGCAACCAACGCCTCCGCTTTCTTGTAACTCTCGGCCCACTGTGAAACTGTCCCTCCAGGTGGTGTTGGATACCATGGCGGCGATTGACCATCCGCTGGCTTCTTCTTGTACAGGAAGAACCCCCCTCCGGCAATTATGGACCAGAATACCACCAGTACCGCAAGGACGATCAACAAGCATTTTGAACGGCGTGCGAATGTTCGTTTCAAGTTGGAGAATTGCATGCCCCGCGCATAGGAAGGGGTGGCAGACTTGGAAGTTGGTTCGTGGGAGGGATCTCTGTCGAGGTACTCCGTCGCGTCGATGTCAGAGTCGCTGTCTGAACGATATGCATCCTCAAGAGATTTTCGCATCGGGATACTCTCCACATCGTAGGCTCGGAGGAGACCCTCGCGGCTTTGCCCTGCTTCTGCCTGCCGATTCATTGTGATTGAGGTTTTGGTTTGGAACAAGCGCAAATTGATAGGTATCGATGAGCTCCAGATAGCTCCTTTACATCGCAGAAATCATTCGAAGGTGAGGCCGAAACTGTTCGACGGATAGCGGTAAAGAACGTCGTATGCAGGTCGGAAGAGAAAAGACTGGTCACAGAATTGAGAGCACAAAAAGGAAGTTGGATTCGATATCTGGAGCCACGATCAGCTCTCCGGGGAAGATCTTCGAGGACCCGCCCACCAATGATGTTGGATCCAGGTACGGCAAGGTGCATCAGCCTACGGAGTACGGAGTACTTCTCTCAACCTCAAATCCCAGAACACTCCTTTTTCTGTTGTTAAAGTAACATACGAAAAATACTATTTCACACGATTTAAACACTTCTTTTATGTCAAATTTGCTGTGAGGTGAGTTGCTATTTGCTTCAGATAAGAATATTGAGGCGATTGACTTTACCCCTGAATGCAGCCTAAGTGGGTTAGAGTTTCTCAAGAGGACTTGGCTAAAAGTATTGTCAGGTTTCCAGTCTTTGGATAATCTTTGCTTCTGGAATTGATCGGGAATGCTCGAGGCAAGGCTCATGTCGTGAGGAATCCCCTCTCATTCGATCTTCGTGCAAAGCATCAGTATCTAGGTACTCAAGTCTGTTGCAACGAATTGGTTGTCCTGGTCCTCTTGCCTTTTCATTGCTACCTATGGAGGTGCTCTAGCTTCCAATACGAATCAGTTCGATGACGCCGTGGTGGATTTATGGCAATCATTCGTTGCTTGTAGAAATCTTCATTGTGTGGATCGTCCCAGGTATTGGAAAATCTTGAGAGATCCGATTGCGTAGCCAGCCTACCAAGCGTCGACCTAAGAGTCAGGATCTGGTGGACCTTCATCATGGCAATTCGTCACGAACCCATCATCCCTCGCAATCGCATACGCGTTTTCCAGAGGCCCATCGGATGAAGGATTTCCCGAAGCTTGTTTTTGCAATCTTGCATATCCCAAATATGCAAACTATCTTGTTCGCTTAGGCAAAAAGACAGTCGAATGCTGGGAATATCTGGGTGACCAATCTGTGTAGCATACATACTCGCGCCACGAAATGGTGACAATGCAATGTGGCTAGTTTTTGAGCGATGGAGACCGATCACTTCTCGGGACCGAGAAAGAATCATCGGTTGCAAACAATTTAAGTGAATGTCTTCGTCTACGAGTAAATGGGTGAGGAGGATCTCTCGTTTGTTGTGAAGCATTTCGGGACTGAGATTGGAGACTCAAACAACTTGTTTATAATGCTTTGAATCTGGCAGAAACAGTCTCTCATCAGGCTCAGCTGTTTATACACTGTGGTTTTTCTGTTCCAGCACTTTAAATTTCCTTCTCCTAGCATTTCATCTGCCTTTCTTTTTTTTTATCAAAAAGATGCGTCAATCTTTGCGGGCATCTGCCACAGCCGCTCTTGTAGCAGGAGCCAGTGCTTCGAACTCAATTCTTGCAACCCTTTGCACAGTTTCGAACCTTCAAGCGGCTCTTCCTACCAATGGAACTTTGAGAGGCATCGATCTTATCCCATCTTCTGTCACAGCGAATGCAATCTACAATGGCACTCTTTCTATGGGTATGGGCTCGACAGCCGACAGCACTGCTTACGACTATTGTAACATCACTGTCAGCTATTTTCATTAGGAAAGAGTGGTACCATTGTTCTTGGGTACACGTTACCTAGTCCCGACACTTTTGCAAACCGCTTCTATGTCAGTGGTGGTGGTGGATATGCGCTGAGTACTACTTCGCAGGAGGCTTAGCATACGGTGCTGCTACTGGTGCTACAAATGCAGGTTACGATGGAAATTAAGATGCCAATGCTTTAGCAGGCAATGAGTCACTCATTTATGACAACATGCACAGTAAGTCTCAGGTCCCATCCTATTTTCAAAGTCATTCAAAAAGGCATCATGCTTAGTAACTCGGCAGTGTTTGGATACAAGGCTTTGGGGGAGATGACCATTATTGGCAAAGCCCTCACTCGATCATTATACGGTATTGCTTCTGACACCAAGGTCTACACCTACTACGAGGGATGTTCTGATGGTGGAAGAGAGGGATGGAGTCAAGTTCAACGCTGGGGTGAGGAGTACGATGGTGTCATTGTAGGAGCTCCTGCTTTTCGCTATGCTCAGCAGCAAATTGTAAGTCGTCTCTCACTGTCTGCCGTGTCCAGGATTTTCAAGAGTGGACCACGATACTGATACAGAGGGGCACAGAACCATTTGACTTCAAACGTTATTGAGCAGACACTTGGTTACTACCCACCACCGTGCGAGATGAGCAAGATTGTCAACCTCACAATCACAGCTTGTGATGCTCTGATGGAAGAGCCGACGGTGTTGTGTCACGCACGGATCTCTGCAAACTCAACTTCAATCTCAACTCTACTATCAGCGAGCCCTACTACTGTGCAGCATCTAGCTCCAGCTCTCTTGGATTTGCTTTCGGCCAACGTAAGAGGCAAGCCGATAACTCCACCACATCAATAATCACCCCAGCCCAGAACGGTACCGTCACTGCTGAAGGTGTTGCTGTTGCTCAACAGGTTCTGGAAGGTCTCTTCGACTCTGAGGGCAAGCAAGCGTACTTGCCTTGGCAATTCGCCTCTTCGTTCGAAGATGCTAGTACGACTTAAAACTCGACTACCGACTCATTCGAGTTGGATATCAAGTCCACTGGAGGAGAGTTTGTTACCAAGTTGGTCCAACTAGTCGACATTGACAATTTATCCTCCCTCGATAATGTAATGTATGACACCCTCATCGAATGGATGAACATAGCCATGATCCGATGCGCCAACACCCTCCAAACCATCTTTCCTGGCCTGACTTCTTTCCAATCCTCGGGAGGAAAGATCATCCACTACCAGGGTGAGAACGATGACAGCGTCCCAGCCGCATCATCAATCCATTAATACGACTCTGTCCGCACCATCATGAACCCCGGCCTGAGCTACAATGAGAGTGTCGAATCTCTGAACGACTGGTACCGTCTCTTCCTCGTCCCAGGAGCAGCTCACTGCTCGACCAACACACTACAGCCAGGTCCTTACCCTCAAGTCAACATGGCTACCATGATCGACTGGGGCGAGAACGGCGTGGAGCCAACTACCCTCAATGCGACTGTTACCTCTGGCTCTTATACTGGCGAGATGCAGAATCTGTGCTCATGGCCTCTTCTTCCATATTGGTCTGGTAATAATTCCATGGAATGTCAGTATGATCAGGCTTCTATCGACAGCTGGACTTACACATTAGATGCGTTCAAGCGTCCAGTTTATTAGATGTGCTTTGATGAGTCGGCGACGGCCACCTGTTTGTGAGGTCACAATGTCATGGCAACATGGATTACTGATTCAATAATATTGATCGCTCAGAAAGGAATTCTCCATAGAACCATATGCACTAACGTGAACTTCGCTCTCCTGCCACCGGAGATACCATCATTGAACTTAGTCGGGGTCTTAGCTGTAACACTTCTCTGTAACATCGCGACTAAAACCCGAGAAGGGAAGAAATGTAGATCCAACATACAAGTGTCCCCCAGAAGTCAAGTTTAACGGAGCAATAGTTTGGGGAGAACTTGTATTGCAGTAGGTAGGTACCAGGGTCAACAATACCCCTCATCTTAAGCGAGCGTGGCAGAATTTACCCCTCGCTTGACAACAAACCATACTCCATACTCAAAATGCTACACAAATTTCGCACATGAAAGCAAATCTAATCATGTACTCATCAATAATACACACGTTCACAACAATCCTTATCGCCAAGTCACCTGTCCTTCAATATCACCAGCCCAGCTGTGCGTACTGTGTCCAGTTGCCACAAGGCCTACATGACACTGAATCGTGCTGACTGTATTCAATCACAAAGTCAATCCAGACCCAATGTGAAGATCGCGAATCTTGAGTGCTTCACGACGGCTATGAGTAGCCTTGGTAGTATTTTCAGAAGGAGTGATGAGGTTTGCAGCATCAGCGATCAACTTCGAAATAGCCATGACCTGGTCAAGCGTAATCGGCGAGGCTTGCTTGACGAAGCCAAGCTCGGTTGGAAGACGTTCATTCTCTATTGGAAAGGATGATTAGCAAAACCCCTGTCTATGTAAATGGCAGGTATACTTGATCAACTTACCGAAGAAAGAGACGATCTGCGCGCGGTCACATGTACCTGCTGCGATATCTCCGAAGATCAAAATAGGAGCAGCGATTTCACCAAGTGAGAAGTTCTCAACTGTGGAGGTGAACCTGTACTCGGGGTTCGTAGACTTAGATACTACCTAGCGGAAAACTTTCCCCATGGCGATCTGGTTGGCATCTAGAGTTTTCTTGGTCCAGAAGGCTGTCGTGGTGTCGAAGACTGTTTGGTTGAAGACGTGGTTGTTGCCAAAGAATGCATCTGAACGACTGCGCATCGTGTTAGCACTATATTCCTCAGACATATGGGTATGACTGAGATAATTCTTACCCAATACTGGCATCGTGCTCCAAGACATTATGGACATTCAGCTGATCGAGTGTGAAGAATGTAGCGTTCGGCTCAGGGTTGATGAAGATCGCCTGCTCCCACATGATGTTTGCAACTACAGGGTCGAAGTTGAGAGCAGTCGTCAAGCCGCGAACGACATTATCCCTTGTCAGATTATCTCCATTTCGGGGAATGAAGCCGTGGTTTGCGAGAGTGTTCATCATAGGGCAAGGTCCGCGGACTGTGAAGGTCAGTTATACAGGCCTGGAGTTGGAACTGGCAAAGTACTCACAGTCATTAGGGCCTCCAGGAATCCAATCTCCCTCTGTAGGAGTCTCTGTAGGATACTGTCTCTCATAATGAGGCATTGCGGAGACCATACTGTATGCCAAGCCAGTGGAAAGGAGAGTGAGCTTCATGTTGGACGTCGTGGGCTTGAGAACAGGTAGATAGTTCAATTGTTTATTAGTGTCAGTTACCTCTGAATGATCAGATGGCGAAGAACTGGAAGTGTTGGCGGATCCAGTGTACTTATATACCCTGACAATCATCCCCTTTGTGCTCCATATTCTTGCCATCTTCCTGAGTGCTATAATCAGCGGGTGTAATAACTGCAGACCTGCGCTGCTCGTACCCTATCACTGCATCATCCGAGTCATCTGGTTGAGTATCTCGTAATTCTGGTGTAGTCCAGAGGGGTATTTTAGCTTTCACTCAATCATATCATGACTCTTCACAAGGAGTGCCTGCACAACATCACCAGGATCCACATTTGATCTCCCGGAGCATTTCTTCTCGCGGGATACACATCTACCGTTCCGGCACTCAATAACATAAGCATAGCCAATGAAGAAAGAGGTGATTACCTCTTTCCCCTTTTCTGATTTCATTTTCCAGCATCTCGAAACATTGCATAGCCACTAGGTGGTGAAACGGGGATGCCTAGTGGCGCGAGTCCGAATGCTACGAGTACGAAGGAGGAAGCGAGTCCGATGCCAAACGAGCCCCAGTAACATCAACGACGTCTGATGATCAGAGAAATGTAGTTGTCAAGGTGGTCGGCTTGTAAAGTTAATCACTGAATCAGAATAAAGTCAACGGTCCAAAAGACAATGTCAAGCAGGGCCAAGCCACGATCGGACATAAGCTTAAAAGTGCAAGGAGTTTATGGTGATGCCACACGGTCTTGAATAAAATTAAGCAACAGACCACCCGTGAAGAGAGAAGCCGTTGTTACGATTTCTGTTTCTCACGAAAGGGAATACTGTACCTTGTAGCTGTCCCTACGATGAAGTCGAACTGCCGCCTCCTGATTTTGGACCAAAATACCGATGATGAGCCAACGGACAAGTTACGAAGAGCGAGGGCCAGGCTTCAAAGATGATGATCCATGTTCAATCCAGCGTATAGCCAAAGAAATAGCTCTGATGAAGTGTTGATGACGTTGACCTGGTCTTGGCCAAGCCAGGTTCTGCGATGTTGATAAGTCGTTGGCTGGTCTCAGTCCGTACATATCCCCCGTATCTCTGACGTTCAGGTTTGGAATGTGCCGGGGGCTTTGACTGCAGCCATAGGAACATGCTTAACTAGTCCGAGATTGCACAAGACGGATTACAGAAAATCGGTCTTCAACGAATAAATTTCATGAATTGAGTAGGAGAAGGCAAATATACGTCCAAAGTCATGTTGAGCTAACGAGGATAGAGGACATCAAGCAAACGGAAAAAGAAACCTGCCATAGGATGACGGTTACAGATACAAAGGCAGGGGTAAACGACATCTTGGATCAGACGGATTTAAACTCGGCCACATTTGTACTTGCATATCAATGCTTGTAAACAAGGACATGGTTCTACCGTCCCGAGAAGCAGACGGACACCGTGCCGCCTCGAGGTATGAATGAGCGAAAATGCTTGGCTTGACTCAATCACAGAACGCGAAATCCCCTTGGCTCAGCTTTCGCCCCGAACAAGTCATGGGCAATAATCTTGTTTCTGGATAGAACAGGGTCCCAAATGCTACGAGACAAATGACCGAACTAATAAGCAAGCAAGGAGATTGGTTCACAAAAAGCAGAGCCAGGTGAAGAATGGGCCTGCTCGACTTCACTCTCGAATATTTCAGACTTCGACGAGTGCTGCTTTTTGCACCAAATAGATATCTCGGCTACGATGACCTCGCGAAGCGATCGACAGGGCAGGCATGTACCTACCTAGGTAAACAAAGGCAAGCGAAGCGAGCAGCGTCCTCCTATTCCCCAGCAATTCTTCGAGGACTACTAGCCTTTCCAATATATCCGAAGCACCCAACAACAAAGCAGTACCAGGAGAAGCAGCCAAGATAGACTTGAAGTTCCAAGCATTACATTAAGACGATCGATAGATCGGTTATTTATTGAAATTCCCCGATCGCCTCTCCCAACTAAGCTCTTTCATGGTACCAATCTATATATGCCCTTTCCCCATTCTCCCCAAATCCTTTAGGAAGTCCAACCAAAGTAAAGAGGACATAGCATAAAAGGTATTTACCAACTCCAAAGTCGCGCATAGCCCCAAAAAAAGCAACCCGACCGGCTTTTTCTTTCTTCCCCGCTCCAACTCGAACAAGAACCTCAAATCATGACCATCCACAATAAAATATACCACAAAGAGAAACACCTTTCATGATCAAATTTACTCAAATTTAAAGCATCATCACCGCCCCTCCAAGCGCAGCCATCAACCCCGCCTTCCCCACACCCACCATCCCCGTCTCCCTCGCCATCGCAACCCCCAACGCAGAACTACTACTCGTCGTAAACGGATTGCCGCTCCCCGCTGTCGTCGTAGCTCTCGCAGTCGCCGTCTCGCTCCCGCTCCCGCTCCCACTCGTGCTGCTCACCGGACAAGACTCCGTACACGGAATCGCAGTCGTGAACGGCAGATTCGTGACCGAGCTCGCTGACGCGAACGCAGGAACTTGAGTAGGGAGGTCAGGGTTCGGCATTGCGCCGGGACCTTCAGGGTTGAGCACGTTGTCGAGTACGTGGAGGACGCCGTTGGCGAGGAGGATGTCGGGGTTGAGCAGTTGGGAGCTGTCGACGAAGACGTTGTTGCCGGAGTGGCGGATGGTGATGTTACCGCCTTGCTTAGTGGTCCATGTTGTGCCGTTTTTGAGGGAGGTGGAGAATGTGACTTGGTTGGGGAGGACGTGGAAGTTCATGACTGAGCTGAGGTCTTCCACTGACATGGAAGAGATGGCTGAGCCGAGCGCTTGGAAAGCTGCGTTATTGGGCGCAAAGAGAGTGTAGTTTGGTGTGTCTGTGAAGTTTTTGATTTGCTCGCTGGCGTACAGAGCACCTTGATAGGATGTAAGGTTGAAAGCCGTAGTTGTCATTGTTAAGTTTGTGGGTGGTATGAGGAGGGAGTCGATCACTTGGACGACGCCGCCAGAGAAGGGGAGGTCCTGCTTGAGTTAGCCATGTCCTTTCATTTCTTGACCTGTGTTGGGACATACGGCTTGTGTGAGCGTAGCTCTGCTTCCCTGTCCACTGACAAATACCACCACATCTCCAGCCTGCTTTACATTCTCCACGTATTGACCTCCTGTAACATTACTCCACTTCGCATCGCTGAGCAGCGTGGGTAGGAAAACAGGTGTGCCCGGGACCAATTGAGCTGCCATCTTCTGCCCTTGTAGGATATGGTAACTGAGAACATTGACGATCGTATCCTGGTCGTTATTCTGGAAAGCAGAATTGAGTTGGGTGTATGGGATCTTGTCGAAAGCATCGTTGTTCGGCGCGAGGATCTGCAAACTGTTACTGTCCTGGTTCTGTTACAATTGACTTTTGAAGATGGGAACTTGCCGTGACACCGGATTGGGAGGGTAGTTTGAGCAGAATATCTGGATATTTCTACATCTCACTTAGCATTTACTCTCTTAAGTCCTCCAACGTTCTGCTACTCAGGAACATACTTTTATTAACGAGTAGAAAGTCGTCAAATTCTTCTGATCTGCCAGCAGTGATCCCAAATCCTGCAAGCTCCCAGTCTGCGCTTCAACTCCAGCAAACAACCCCACAGCCGCCACGGCCAAAGCTCTCCACGATTGAGTCCTCATACTTTCGGCTTTTCAATCCTTCTCTGCCTCCAATTGTCGAGAAAACCGGCGAAATGGATCGGTGGGAAACGAGCGACTGGTCGAGATATCTCGGGTTAGAGCGAGTGTACTGAAGGTGTACCAATGTATGTAGCGACAGACTTCAGTCAAGAAAGCAGGTACAAAACGCAGTAGAAACAATTGAAAGACACACAGCAGAAATTGCCTTCTGACGAAACGAAAGTTCCCGAACGGCGCACTGCGAGACAAGAGACGTGGTTGGGGTGTTTTCGTACCAAGATCCATTGCCGCGCTATCAGTCCGGCCCATATTATTTTCGGGGGTTCTGCCCAGACTTGGCACAGGGAGGGGACGGAGCGCTTGCTCAGCATCAAGACCCCTGGAAATGCGCTACACGAGAGATCTACAGGCTCACTGCCGCTGTGGATACATGATGGGTATGCCTAAACACCCTGTAATAATACAGTACTGTAGCACCACAGCGGAACCGCTGATAGCCATTCCGCACTCTGGGTTCAGGCCTTGGTTTGCGCTGGTGGGCTTTGGGCTTGGAGACTGGAGTCCGGAGGGAGGGGCGGGCCATGATAACGATCAGCAGCCAACGACGAGCCAGTGAACGGGCCATCGAACTGCAACGCCCAAAAGGAATACGAACTGGTCCTATTTTGCTCTGGTCGTCTTGCATGAATGGGTATCATTGGATGGTACTGTAGTGCTCTTTGAAATTGGTATGAAAGGAAGGCGTTGAGATAGCTGCATTTTGCTCTGTTGGCATAGATGATGATGAGGATCATCATTTTGGAGATTTCAGTTCGGGTTCTTCTCTTGTCCGTGCTTTATTTACTTTCTGATTTCATTTCTTCATGATAAGGGAGGTTCTCGCTTCATATTCATATTCTGTGTCAACGATGAAGCCGTCCTAACTAGGATTTGTCGTCCTACTTACTCCTCCATCAAACTACTTTTGAAGTAGCCCAACAAACTCCACAACCGCGTCTAAACATCCACCAAAGAGACTCCAAAGAAATAAGCTCAACTCTACTCCACTTAGTCTTGAACCATCTAAATCGCATCGCACCAGTATGCTATTTCCAGTTCATCGATGCACCAAAACTAGAAACCACACCGTTCGTTACCTGTAAAATAACGGCCTTGTACACACCTGAACGATGCTACGTAGCACGGAATCCTCACATTTAGATCTGTGGCCAGAATCCACCCAATTCTGTGCTAAAGTGCTTGACGTCGGGGAAGTGTGCTCGACTAAAGAAGACAGCCTTGTTTCTAGCTTCTACATTGTAGGATTTTGCAGACGATCTCCTCGACTGTAAAGAAGGATTTCGTCACTGGAAACCTCCTACGTACCCACAATGCGCTCACTGCTTAGGAAGGTCACAGCCCATCAACACCACGTCTTGGCATCCATGGTCCCTTATGGATCTCACGATGTTCACATTTTCACACTTTCAATCACACTACCCACCGTACCACTGTTCTAGAATCTTTCAATTTTCCATAATGCAGTCATACCTGCATCATCGCACTATCTTCATCCTCAGCCTGAAGTCATACCTCCATACCCTCAATCAATCTTCTGCCTCTGTGGCGAAACCCCCACTTCATTCCTCTTGCCTGCCATCAAATTCGCTGGCAGCATTCTTCCTTCTGTAGAACCTCACAATCCATCCTTATCGGTCCGGCCCATCTACAATCTACCTATCTCTTCATGATTTTACTTGCATCACATTACCACAGCATGACGCTATCGATTCTACCACATAACGTGCAAGAAAATGCCACCATTCCCAGCTCACCGGTGCTCTCCTCCCACACTCTCCCCCAATCAATCACTCAATCAATCAGCCCTCAAAGCCGTCAGTTTTCTTCTCGAATCTAGATGCCTTCCTTCCTTGTCTTCTGTATGACAGCATACCGTATGCGAACGTCTCACATACCAACACGCAGCTATTTTCCATCTAGCCCTCCAATCCAATGCAATAAATCAATAGACACGCAAATCTACCGTGTTATCCGTCTCATCTTCCATACCCCCCTTCCAGCCACTTCAATTCTCTTATCCATCCTTATCAACAAATGAAGCTATTCCCACCTCGCGTAAACGTGCATGTTTCGACTGCCTAGGTAAATTTATCAATCTGCTTCGTATTAGCTGCATCGTGCATCACTGCAGCACTGCACACTGCCCACTGCACAATCTATGCATGCACGTAGCACAGCTGAGGCACATAGAACCAACACATCCTCGTCTCGTCACAACACCTAGCTCCTCAACACTTCACTGGCTCGATCGCTTCCACGCTCTTATCCTCGTATACATTTTTTTTTCTTTGGTGTTTTTCAGCCGAGGATGTTTGCAGTGAGTGATTGTCGCACACCGAGAATCGAGGTGCAGCGCATGCGTGAGTCAAACTCCACTACCTAGACATGTGAGGCACATCCAGCACGAAACACCTCACCCGTACAGCGAGTATCCATTCCAGCTACCTAACTACCGAGGGAAGGACATTCTCAAGCAGGAAGTAAAACAAAATCAATGATTAATCTTGAATACCCTAATCATCTATTCCTTCCTAATCAATCACCACAAGGAAGAATGGCGTCCAGGCTGCATAGCAAGTACGCCAAGGCTCGTTGGATAAACCTATTCGCCTCATGACGGCCTTGTGAAACCACAATTATTGCATCTATTGGGACGAACTATGGTCTGCCTTCGAGCATTCAACACTACAGTCCCTTCTTACATTCTAAAGCTGGCCACTAATCGTACTGCTTCTCAATCCCTTCGCGCCACGTATGTCCACGCGCCTGCCAACCTACCGTCCATTTTCGGCGGTCGAGGTCGCCGGCGCCTCGGGACGCAGTCGTCTCCTCTGCCCGAATTGCTCCCGATCGGTCTTCCCGTTAATGAAGAGAACGTCCCCGGCTACAGGCCCGAATTCTTCTACCCTGCGAATCCTGGCGACGTGTTGAACTTCAGGTACGAACTGAAAGCTAAGATCGGCTGGGGCTCATCGTCAACTGTCTGGCTTGCACGTGACATCCGGAGGTGAGTTGACATTCTCTCCTTCCTGTCCCTTTGCTTCTGGATCCGTTCATATTCAGAGCGATATTTTATCGTGCTCTAACATGCTATTTCTAGAGGAGGTTGGTTAGAACCAAACAAGTATGTTGTCATCAAAATTTGCGCTTGCAATTCGGCGAAGGAAGAGGATATAAGACATGAGTTGGATATGTCCATCCATATCTCTGCCAACTCCAAACACCGTGGACGTGCCATCATTGCCACAGCCATCGAGAGCTTCGGCCTCGATTCACCTACGGGATCTACACATCTCTCTCTAGTTTTCGAGCCGATGCGAGAACCACTCTGGTTACTCAGGAGACGACTCGCTGGCGAGGACAGGGTTACTCGTCCATCATTGCCTTTGCTCAAGACCTATCTCCAAATCCTGCTAGAAGGCCTGGATTACTTACATTCAGAACGCCACGTCATTCACACAGGTATTTCATTATCAGCACTCAAAGCTTTCCCTCTGTGGATCTCGTACTAAGTTGCTTCGTTTAGATCTAAAATTGGACAATATCCTGGTGACATTCGAGGATCAGTCGACTATTGAAGCCTTTGTCCAAGGACAGGCCATGCATCCTATGGCCCGGAAGCGGATTGGTAATCAGACAGTGTACCGATGCCATAACGACTTTGGGCACATCAACGGCGACGACGCTTTGAAGAAGATGTATCCAAAGATCACAGACTTTGGTCTTGCATAGCGGGGTGATCGGCCTGGACCGCTTGTCCACCCGATACAACCTAACGATTGTCACTCCCCAGAAGTTTTGCTGGGTACTGGATGGTCGTATAGCGCTGATATATGGAATTTCGGTGTTATGGTGAGCACTCCTCGGTTTCCAACCTAACTTTGCTTATTTTGTATCTATTGTAGGTTTGGGATCTTCTCCAGGGGCAGAGTTTATTCCAGCAAGTAAACCCGCACTCTTACTCTGCAGTACAACACCTAGCAGATATGATCGCACTACTCGGCCCCGTACCAGCTGTACTAATCCAGCGCGAGAGAGATATGCGGCACTGGCGATGGAGTCCTGAAGCGCTAAACCCTGAAGGTAGATTGTGCAACAATGCTGCAGAATTTTATGGTGGTCCTTTTTTTGATGATAATGGTGCGTCGAATTGAGATATTGTCTCCTGTCTTAACTGCTACTAATCTCGACATTTAGGTACATTTGTACGTCAAGATTTGATACCTTGTACGCGGAGTTGGAGGAGCGAGATGCCCGCGTGTATCCCGGAGGAGGAAGCGGATCGTTTCTTCAAGTTCATGAAGAGGATGCTTTGCTGGCTCCCGGAGGATCGGGCGACGGCCAGGGAGTTAAAGAACGATCCGTGGTTCGACCGTATCATGTGAATATCAAAGTATTAAGAGGCTATTTCTGCCATGGTCCTGCTGCTACTGGAAGGGCAGTAGTTTTCAAAAGCCGCACACATCTCGTCTCCAATACGAGTTGTGTTATATTCATAGATGTCCACTAACAAGTGATAACAATATACAGTATGTTCAGCACATAAACTATTCGCTGACTTGTCCACCGTGGAGAGGCTGCTGTTGTGAAGTGCCCTGCTCCGCTGCTGTTCTTGTCACGTGGACTTCTACTTTAAGGACTTACCTAAGATACCTACCTACCCTGCTACCTATCTCAAGTTAGCATAGCAAAAGCGGCCCTTAATACAGGAGGCCTCTTCTCCTCTGTATTTCCTTGTCTTTCCCCTCTCCATACCCTACTCATAGGTACTCACCGCACATCACAACCATACCCCCCACCTTCCCCTTACCCCATACCTTCCCTCACAGCACACACACACACACCATCTAACCGTCTCACTTCACATCTCCCCCAATCCATCCCCCAATCCATCCCCCATCCCCCAATCCATCCCCCATCCCCCATTCCCCATCCCCCATCCCCCATCCCCGAGCCTCCCTCCCTCCCTCCCTCCTCCCTCGAGTCACACTTCACAAACAGATCCTCACCCCCTCCCCCTCCTCACCCCACCCATCTCAAATCAGACAGACTATCGAACTCAAAAAAACGCGGGCGCGGGCGGCGATCAGGGGAAAAGCAAACAAAGGGACGGACACTCTGAAGGAAAGGAAAAAGGAAAAATGGCAAATGTCTCAGTCTCAGTCTCGCTGACGGAGCTGAATTACTTCTATCGATTAGATAGCCTTCCTGCCTCGCCTGCCTACCTTATCGCTTACTTCCTCGCTTGCTATCTGAATGCTTGGTCGAGATCTCAATTCAATTCAATTCAATTCAATTCAATTCAGGACGAGATAGTGGTTGGTGTCTCTTCGAAGGAGAAGAGAGGAGAGGAGGGGATAGTTTGCATCATGTTGAAATATCAAAAGTCCAGTCCAGTCCAGTCCATTCCCAAACGGTCGGTCAGTGATCGAATAATCTGGACCCTAATCCTAATCTCCTACATCCAGTAAAGGAAGCCCAGTCTGTGATACCCGTTTAAACACGAAACTCAATTCATAAATTCACTAGCGATCTGCTTAAACGATAGTTGCGTATGCAAAGATGCTTTGTATTTTTCTTCTTTCTTTCTTTCATTTGCATTAACAATTAAATGTAGCTTAGGCCATCAAAGGAACGAACAAACGAACGATCATCATCAACCAGCCATCCAGCCAATTATCTCTCCCATCTTGTCTGTCTCCCTTCTGAACCCTCATATACCTAGCCCCATATCATCCAATCCATACCTAGGTATTCCACCCATCCATCCACCCATCCCATGCCACTCCCATACATACAACACTACCAATAGTGAAAAAGGGTGGGAAAACCCATTTGGTGCCCTCATATACAACCCAAACCAGGGAATGCCATTCTATAAACGTTTCATTTACTCCGCTTCTGAAAAAAAAAAAAAGTGCATCGACAAAAGCAACTATGTGTTCGCATCTCTTCCAACCAATCTACATGCCACCTTAACGCCCACTGCAAAGAACAAAAGGAAATATCTACCATGAGAACGTCATGAGCGCAGGGTTGAGCGCCAGAGGTAGTAGTAGATGAGATGCAGTAATAGTGGCCATTGGTAGAATGGCAACGAAATCGGTAATCATCCAGTCATATGGGACGAATGATTTGCCGACAGCGAGGACGATCATACCCGCAATGCCGAGAATAGAGAAGGCCATTGAGAACTTGAACTTCTTCAAGACCTTTGGAACTTCGATGAAGAAGTTGGAGAACTCGGCTTCCTTTGCGGTGGCACCCCATGTCATGTCGATCTCGAACATGTGTGCGAGGAGTGCTTGTGAAACGTGGAGGGACAGACCACCCAAGAAGATGGCGAGCATGATAGTCCACTTGAAGTTCTCGAAAAGAGCAAACAGGAGACTGCGTTCGCCAATACGGTAACGCATGACTGCAAGAGCAATGTTCCCGAGGCCGTTGAAGACGATGATGATAGAGAACCAAACTTTCCAGGAGTCGACGTAGTATTTGTCCAGGTAACCGTTGAACCATCCGATTGCGAAGTAGTTGACAGTTGTCATGATCCAAGCGGCTCCGATAGCGTAGTAGGTTCCGATGTAAGAGATGATGGTGATCTTGGAGGTGAATCGGATGTTGGAGAACAAGAAAGTGCGGAACAGAGGGGTAAATGGACCCTTGTAGATCCACTTGCGGATAGGGTGGAACAGAAGCTCGTTGCAACCATAGGCATATTTCTCCCAACGAGCCAATTCATCGTAAACGGTCAAAGACACGCCCTCCTTGAATCCCTCACCAGCCCAAGCAGCTAACCGAATAGTGTAGCCGTTGCACTGAAGACGCAGAGACATATCGAAATCTTCAGACACGTGAGATTCAGACCAGAACTTTTCATATCCGTCCTCGTCTTCGTAAGAAACCTGTTGGATAGCTGACCAGCGGAGAATAGCGTTGTGGCCGACGAATGGAGCGACATCACCGTTGGCAACGGTGTATCGAATAGCAGTGTAAATGAGGTTGGTGAAGAAAGTGATACCGTTCTCGAAGTAGGTGTTGACAACTTGCATGACACCGGATGAAAATTGCATGATTCCGACTTCAGGGGATTGTTCCATTTCAGAGCAAGCATCCAAGAGACAGTCTTGAGGGACTCGGGTATCGGAGTCAACTATATATTGTTAACTTTGCCAAATCTGGGGAAATTCGAACAACGTACTCAGCAAGATATAATCTCCAACACGGATATTTCCATCGGCCCAGGCACGTCCATTGTCCTCAAGAGCCTCCTTCAAGCATCGTTCGTAGGCTTGAGCCTCATCAGCTTGGGTCCAGTCGACAGGTCGTTGAATTAAGGCGAGCTTCTCCTCAACCATGCACGAAATATGCAGGCCAAAGTTCATGTTCGAAGCCTAAATTGGTAAAGATCGTCAGTATTCAGCTCAAACTTTTAAGAATGGTGGAGGGTGATGGCTCAAGGCCATAGGGTGAATCAGATCTGAGGCTGAGGAATGTGGGACCACTGGGCCAAACCACATTTTGTGGATCACCAGACTAAGCTGGCCATTTAATTGGGGGAAATCGCTTACTTTCTTGACTGTGTAATTGTCAGCTGAGTAACATCAAAGATAAGAGGGTGAACGTACATTTTCCTCGTCTGGTGAAGTTGTCTCCATGCTTTGGTCTGGCAGTCCATCCGATGCTGTGATCCGCATAAAATTCGATTCTGGCGCGACGTTCCTCCTCATCAATAATTTGAAGACCATCATCGTTGATGAACATGTTGGCAGATCCACCTTGAAGTTCGTAAGTGGAGATGGCTTGCTTGATGGACTTGACGGTTGGCGCAATGACAGAGCTCAAGCCCTCCTTGTATACTGGGCACTGGATGGTGATGTGGGGAAGGGTAGCGGACTGAATCCGAGGAGGAGCACGAGCGGAGTAGAACTTGGAGTTGATGGTCATCTGTCGGACGGGACCGAACAGCTGAGCCAAACATCCCATGATGACCTGGGAGAAGAAGAGAGTGAAGAAGACCTGCACAGGTGTCAAGGCGAGAAGGGCAAGGCGAATGTAGCTGCCGTCAACTTCGACTTCGATGGCAAGTTGCCTGGCACCGGCTCCCAAGAACGTAATGACCAAGATCAAGGTCAGGGCGACCAAGACGGTGTTTTGCAAGTGCAGTGGACGCTTCTCTGGGACAATCTCGCCGCTTTCCTCATCAATCTCATAGATGGCGATGTTGGGATCCTTCTTTTCTCCATCGTCGCCTTCCGAGGGGCCATTCTTCCAGACAAGCTCCATCAATTCCGACTCGATCGATTTCGCACGTTGAACGAGATGCAACGCATCGTCATCCCAAACTACTAGAAGGGCTTCTGATGCAACGAAGGCAGCGAACTGATGCTTTCTCGCCCGGGGAAGATCCTCAATCGTAGGAAGAATTTGGATGCGGAGACCATTAAGTAAAGGGACGTCAACCGCATCTGGGGACCATTGCAGGAAAGTTTTGATGACTCTCGAGTTGACAGTCATTGCACACTGCTTTGGTTAGCGATCGTTTCGGGATTCGGGGAACTTCCTCACTTGGACATTAAGAGCAGCACAAGAAGATGCAAAAGCAGAGTTGCCCAATTGTGGCGGGCACGCCATGTAAGTGTTCTTGGACTTCCTGAGCAGAACACCTTCGATCTCTCCACTGCCATCGCTGACCCAGAGATGTGAACATTGCTGTTGGTAGAGGTAGTTTACCATGACCTCATGCTTGATATCATCGAGGAAAGTCGAACTCTGTGTTGATCGATTCGATATCGAGTTTCTCGACGAGCCAAACCTCGATTGAGGCGGTTGGAGCTCCATATTAAAGCTGTTATGAGGTGATGGCGAGGACGCCGGCTTCTCTGTCATGATCACAGCTGCTGGAGGGGCAGGCTGTTTCGCCTTGAAGTAACTTCCCAAACCCATGGGAACGGTGTTGTTCTTGCTTCTTGATTAGGATTTTGGTCGGCGAGACAGCAAGATGTCTCGTTGGATCCTAGAAATCCCTCGACGATTTCAAGCGCGGACACGATACTGTTGAGCGAGTGACTGTGGGTGAGGATATATATATATAAAATATATATCAGAGGCAACTCATATATGCAAGAGTTGCTCGGTCGGCGGGCCTGAGCGTGTTTCCAATCAGTCAAGGACTCGATTTATGAGATCGAAGAGTTCCTTACGAATGATCAGTTGGAGGATGTATCTACCTCGACAACAAGATCAAGTCGGTCGATGGGCGAGCGAATGTCGTTGACGGCGGACACCTGAGCGAATTGAACGATTGTTGGACAACGAGTGTGAAAGATGTGCGGCGCCCCAGGGTGTATATTGTGCGAGCTAGACGGAGATCGAGGGAAGTAGGTGAGGCAAGCAGGGTGGAGAGGATGAGGGTGTCTGGCCTGCTATCAGACCGATGAGGGCAAGCGCGTGGATAGAACCTGGCGAAAGTTGGGTTGACTTTCCGGCTCCTAGTCAGCCAAGCTGGGACCTTTGCAAGGGTGGAATGAGTGGTCCTCGAGCGCGGATGGTGAGACTATTCGCACAGGCGCAAGGCCGGAGCCAGGAGAGTGAGGGAGGGGGGTTGGTTTGCCCTGACCCTTCACGGAAAGCTGGCTCGAAGGAGGCGTTTGATAGTGTCGAAGGGGAGACACTAGCCACACGGCAAAAATATGTGTCCTGAACAGGATAAGGGAGAGACAAGAGAGCCGTGGTATTACTCGTATGGGCCTGGTAAGGGGTGGAGGGCGAGGGTATTTGGAAAGACACCAGCCGATAAGAGGGCAGTCTGGATCATCTGCGTGGATGAGACTCGAGATTGCGAGTGGATCAACGAACAGTGCACTTGGGAATCGGTAAGTAGCGGTACTCGTAGCGGTCGTGCCGGATTCTCTGGCCCACAGCGACTGCACTTGCAGTAGCGGAGAAAAATGTTGATATCGCAGACCGCGTTGGTGTTCCTTGGTTCGGGTTGGTAGAGTGCAGTGCAGCGCAGTACGTGTTGGCTCTGCAGGAAGTGAAGAAAATGTACGAAAGAAAGAAAGAAAGAAAGAAAGAGACAACGAGCTTGGAATAGGCCAGGATTCCCAGATAAGTACGGCGTGATGATCAATACGGCCGGTGTGATTGTCTGTGTCTGCCAACAGACAATCAGTGGCCTGGAGGGAAGCTATTGTGGTGCTCGTGTACCAATTCCAACTGCAAGCGTTGCACAGCACAGGCGGAGTGAAGAAAGTCAGAAGTGACGGAAAGCGCGCTGCTGAACACACAATCCAGTCCCCAACCATCAACGACCAGGCGCTGAAGTCATCCACTGTCCTGACAGACTCTACCGCACAGAGTCAAGAGTCTGAAATGCCCGCGAGCCATAGGTTGAAGCCGTCCATGATGCCCTCTTGAGTGTGATTCGGGTCTATTAATTTACCACTGCACTGCACTGCAGATTACCAGACTCTGACTCTCGTGTTCGTGGCTTGGCGGTCAGGGGAAGGTGCGTGCCGTGTGTCTTAGATTAGCGCGCTCTATCGCTGCACTGCCGTCGAAATAGGCAGCTGTGATTAACCCCCCTGTCGCCTAGCCGAGACATTGAAAAAAGCTGGGAGAGTCGTGGTCTAGCCTGGAATGACCCAGCTGTCTTGAAGACCTTCTCTTTCTCTGACCCCTAAGATACTGGGCACACCTGGTGACAATAATAACCAGCCAAGCGCGAAAAGATCAGATTGTGAGGAAATTGTGAAAGCAGCGTCTCGGAGCTTTCACAGCCCTTCTCACCCAGGGTCCCCTGAAGACAACGAATCTGCACCTGTGTTGGCCAACAATCAGCTTCTATCAGTATCGCTGATAGCGCTCCTATCCAGCCTCAGCTATCAGTGTCCCCGCCTGTCGATCAACAATAGTTTATTTCAGGGTATTAGCGCCTTCACCACAGGAGGCTCTGAAGTGCACAGCGTGTACGAATGATATCATTCCCCGATACGCCTCTCCTCTTTTCGAGCTGGCGTGAAATTTTTGACTTGAATCCAACACTCATCGGATCCAAACATCAGCAAAACCCAACCGTGTAGCTGTCAAGAATCTTGGCTGCCCCGATCATTGACCAAATAATGTCGATGGCGGCATGATGGAGAGGGGTAGAAACGAAACAGCGGCAAAGACCGCACAGTTCTGGAACCCCCATACTACTGAACCAGAAACCGGATCCGTCGCTCGTCCTTCAGGGTGCCATTGTCGAAGTGGGGGCTTGGAATAGGGCATCTCATGTGGAAATGAGTTGGTGGGTGACCTGTGCTCAATTTCACTTCCCGATCAGGCCGCATTGTCGGCAGTGAACGATTGTCTACGATGCCGAGTATGCAATGCTGTACTCGTAAGCATAAGCATAAGGCACCTTCGGAGAAACCTCCTCCTTGTTATTATTATTCAGTGCATTATTATTACTTGACCAGAAATCCAATACGAAGCACAAGATTGGAAACCAGGAGCTGCCCTGGGAGGAGGATGCCGCGGCCCACAAGGCTTACGGCTACTGTAGCAGCAAAGTATAAAGTCACGTAGCGAAGGGTTCGGACGAACCTTAAGGTAACCAACCCAGCCGGAAGTCCCCAAGTCTCCAGCCACGTGCGGATCTGAAATTACCTTACCAGCCAAGAATGAAAGACCCGCCAGGCTCGAAACAAACGACATCATCGACTTTGACCCCAGCTCTACCTCTACGTATCCCAACAGTAAGGTAGGTAATTCTCCATAACATAAGTTAACATTTGCAAAGTTCAACTCTTGGAACTTGAACGGGCCGAGATAGAGGGCAGGCAAGATCGGCTAGACCTTGGCCTTTTCTTGTATTGCATCGCACCCGCGTATTTTTCTCGCTTCCCCTGTCGATCTTCTCTTCGTTTGTCGATCTCCGTGCCATAAATAAATACAACGCGGGACGGCAATCGGATTATCGGAAGAACGTTATAGCGGGGAACGGCATGATTCCTCCAATCACTGTCTTGCTGTTTGCCTTTACTCATTTCAGCGTGCGCCCAATATACGAAGTTTAGACTCCCTGTAAACCATAACGTGCAGCCTCTCGGACACAAGTCTACCTACACAATTACACAATTACAACTGGCTGTTCTCCCGTATGACGAGGCCGATAAAAAAAAAATCCAGGAGCATGAGTGCAGGCGCAATCAAGCATTACGCCGCCACGGCTCGGTCTCGCTCGTTCGTTTCGGCTTCCATGTCCCACGAGCTTCGAGCCTCTGTTACATTGAGAACCAAAAGAGGAACGAAACCGCCTCTCTGACTCCCAAAAAGTATTTTAGCACGAACTTCATGGGTCCGGGCTACAGACTCACTTGAAAAATTCTTCCTGACTTCAGCTCCCCACTTCAGTGAGGCTCATCGAGTCTCGATGGGCTTTTCACACTGTTTTCTTGTCGTTCCGAGATTACATGAAGTTTGGTCTCTCGACCAAGCACTAGAAAGCGCGTCAAGGCAAAATCTAGCGCGCCATCAGCTGCCAAAAGTTTGGCAGCTTGGCTTAGAGGCTGAAGCCGGCGGCGAAAGTCGACTCCAGGGCTCAAACCAGACCAAACTGGAACATAGTGGTGGAGATGTTCACCAATTCTTAGTGCAGAATTACGTCTCAATTCCAATGTCCTGTGCCTCAAGTGCACTACAACCGCACGGACACTTATCAAGATTATCGAAATCACAGGCCTGTGGACCAAAACAGCAGAGCATGACAGAGGCACGAGGATACGGTAGTCTGTAAGCACCCAGAGCCTGAGAGCCTCAACATCAAACCATTCGTTTCGCGGAGACCATACTAGAAACAAGCTGCCCTCCAGAGCCTCTGCTTCAATGTTCATGTCACGTAATCCAGAGTGCCACTGTCACTCTTCTTCAGCAATTCGAAATATCTACAAGGTTACATCCAACATCATAGCCACACAAAACGTCCGAGTTCCAACGCAATGCGATGCTGGAAAGACCCGACCACCCATATCACACGGAATATGACAACAGTCTCCATCTTGGCGAGTCGCAATTCCAACTCATTGGGACCCTACTCCGATCCAAGCGTCTCTGGGGCGATCCAAATGTCTAGGGGGATGCCCTACCAGGGTCAAGATATCGAAACAAAAAACCGCTGCAGAAAGCGGAAAGAAAAGCTGACATAAGAGCCGGATCAAACGCCGTGAATTTTGGCGAAATCCACAGCTACGTAGTGAAATTTTCAGCAGAAACCCACTCTGAGAATTCCAGAGAGTCGGTACCGTAGTGCTGTCTCGGTGTATCCGACCTCTTGGCTTGAAGTTGAGACATTATTACCAGCAAAAGCACATCGGGCCGTACTCCATCTCTTCAGTGGACTGCCCAGTGGAGACTAACCAGAACCAGGGAAAGGTGATTAATTGGTTTCTTCCAGAAGACTCAGAGTGTCATCGACCCATATGGTGTATGCTCCACTGTTAGTCCAATGGGGAAACGGAGTAAAAACATCTCGTCCACGTGTCATACCCCAAAAACTTAGTTGAGCCACAAGAAAATTATGGAACAAAAATCAAGGAAAAGAAGGCTGGACCCTGAAGAAAACAATTGGACCCTTACCAACAAAGACCCGACATTATCCAAACACCCATCACACACACACCAGATGCGGTTGAGTGGCACACCACATCTTTCCAACACCAAAAAACCAGCCCTTATCTCTTATCCGCCACCATGCAAGCAGGCTCCACCACCACACCGAGCACCATCACCAATTTCCTTCTGCACCCAACGTCACTTTGGCGCCTCTATTTCCAGCCCGACTACAGTCTGCAACCTGCAATGCAGACATCCCTCCCATACATATGTACACACAACCTGCTGTCGTAGTCGGAGCAACCTATCAAACACCAAAGAAAAGAAAAAGTAAACCCTTCGCTTCCAACTTTCCTGCAGCAACACCCCCACCGCTCACAACAAATCGGAAAGCGACGTCCCCTGGGTGGCGAAACTCGGAAACCCTGCCTTGACCCTTGACTTCAGTTCAAGCTTTGACTGCTGACAGTTGGTGAGCCATGCACTGCTTACGACAAGGGCCTTATCTCGACCCTTGTCTGTCTGTCCTGTTCTTCCTCGTTTATACTATTCACGTGAAGCGAGAGCGAGCTCAAGATCGAAGCAGTGGTACCTAGGCGATGCGATGCCATGCCATGCCATGCGGTGCAGTGTTGTGCAACACCATCCACCGCACATTGAGATACCGGCATGAGACCCATTTCTCAATACTTCCAAGTTCCAGGTAGGCAGAACAAAAATTCTCCTCCCTCCCTACATTTGGCAAAACCGAAGTCTTGCACCATACCAGTCCGCTGGTGACACAATCCTACGATCTCAGCCCTCACATCACAACACAATCACACAGTTGCGTCTCACAAGTCCTTCTACCTCCTCGCACCACTTCATTCCAGCTTTTCCCAGCCACCGAACAAGTATCGGTGAGTACCGGTACTTCCTTCGCTCCTGCACATTACAAGCACCTTGTGCTGCCTTACATATGTACTCATTACATTACATACGGAGATTTGACGAGGACCCTGCCTAGGACGATCAGATCCGGTAAGGTAAAGTACATGTATGATGTGCTGTCAATATTGATTGATGGGAACAGTCAGCATTAATATTAGTAGCTGAGATATTGCTGCTGTGTTTCCAAGCTTCGTGCTCGTGTAGTGCTACAAGTTTGCGTCCAGCAGAAGTGAGATCTCACTGCTTGCTGCAAATGTTGGGATATGTGAGATGTCGATGGTGCAATAATACAGTACCAGGATGAATGAATACAGCATTGTCTGTATATTTACTCGGGAAACGGTTCGATGGCTAGACCTTCACTCCACGCCACTGCTCCTGCTTGCTGCTGTGACAGCGAACTAGATATCAGGCTTCAACCTCAAAAGGAAGGAAGCCAAAGTCTAGAACAATCAAGCTTCAACAACCCAAATCTCCAGCTTTAAAAAAACCCAACGGAAAGCTTATGTTATGCCATGCCACGCACGATCTACATAGTGCTTTGTGTTGCAGAGAAAAGACGGCTGGTCGTCCTTTCCTGGAATTATTCTGCAGCGCGCTTCTGCCAGAACTATTGGACACACACATTTGTGTATCTCTTCCCGCTCAGTCAAGCCTCAAGCCTCAAGCCACCTCTCTTGCGGTATCTTTCGGTCTGTAGGTTAATTCAGGTCTGGACTCGCACAGCTAGGCAGACTAGTAAGTTCATCAAAGCAGACCGGCATGGTTTCCACGTTGCCATTGCCATTCTTGTTACCTTCTGTGCACTTCTCAGATACAACGTATTTATTTGTACGACAATGCCTTCCAGAAACATCCCAGAGGGCTACCTCATCTAGCTATATATGGTTTCCTGTCCACGTAAGCAAGTCGTGCAAAGAACGTATCCAGCTTTGCAAACCAAGAAGTCAATCAGTCTGCTAGGCAGGCTACTGGCGAGACAGCAGCACAAACCGATTTGCTTTCTCGACGTCTCCATATCTCTATCTTCTGTAGGCATCTAGCTTTGACTGACTTGTTCCTTACCTGAATACCCTCAATCTTTTCACTTACCCGTAACGTCAACTAGACGAGCCTGGAGCACACAAGCCTCATCAGGCTCAGCTCGGTCCATACAGCCAGCCAGCATCTAGCATCGACAGTCCATACCCAAAACAACTTGTACTTCACCCTGAACCAGGAGCCCTAGCGAACCTCTCTCGAAATCTCTCCAATACCCCAATGCTTTCCCGATCCCTGATCTTCATCCCACCCCAACCCAACCCAAGCCAAAACCAAACATCCAATCCATAAACCCATGTCCAAATCCTCACACCTCCTCAAACGTCAGATCTCAGCCTCAAAATAGTACCTCCGACCCAGGAACCCCAAACAAGACCAACCTTTTCCATCCTTCTCCAAAACGCAGCGTCAACACTCAGACCACTTCAACATCCGTCCCCACCATGGCCAGTCAGTCAGGCAGTAAAACGATCTCTCCTGTCAAGAGCTCAAGCCAACCATCGCTCAGCCTCCTCTCGGCCGTCTCACCACTCAGCCCAAAGCCGAAGGAGTGCATATGTACCGCTATTCCCCTATCGGCATATCGAAACGAGAAGGCCTAGGGAGGGAGGAGCTTGGTCAAGGCCACTAGCCAGGAACAGAGTCAAACAAGCTGAGAAGAGAAAGAGAGGCCTGGGCCGGGAGAATCGGATTTGCCCAGAGTCAGGGGGATTGGCGATAATGATGTTTGAAAACCAGTAGTAAACATAGGAATACGATAAAGGTTAAATCTGTATTTTCAGTATCCAAATGTCTGACTTTGACTCGCCAAGTCTCGCAACCGCGACAACAAAAACAAACCAATCAGAAATCCCCCTCGCGTAAAATATTCCGGTCCAACCACTTCACCACACCCCTTTATTCTTGCCATACATCCCATCTGATCTCATCTCAACGGTCTCTCCAGATTTCAAAAATCTGACATCTGACAGCTGCCAACTGCCAACCCATTTGGCGAATAATAATAAATCAACCAATTGCAAGCAACCGAGCTGGGAAATACTCACCTGACATCCAATCCCATCCCATCCCAGAAACTTACCCCTGCCAAGGCCTCCTCGTTTTCAAGCTTCCGCTTCCTCTTCCGCTTCCACCTGTCAGCTAAATTTACCAAATCAACATACTCAAACTGGGAACATCCCAGCCCAAACTCAAATCGCTTTTAGGAAAAAATCCTCTACGAGTACTCCTCAATACCCTCCAACCCAGAAAAAAATCCAAGACACAAACTCCAAAAACCCAGCCTCGTAAAACCCAACCCAAGCCCAAACATCCAAAAAAACTAAGAAAAAATTCCCGAGACTTTTAAACTTCAATGGTCCCGCCCCCCTTCCCTTCCCTTCCCCTAACCCAACAAAAGTAAGGAGGCGCGCGGTACGAAAGGGGGTGGCATCAGCCGCATCGCATCAGTGGAAATTACGGGCTGGTCCTTTCACGAGGAGGGCGCTCGCTATGAGCCGCGTTGCCTTTTTTAGAGAAGAGAAGAAGAGAAGAGAAGAGTCGAGACTACTGTATGGCAGATGCTGCCGCTGCTGCTGTTGCGGTATCGATGTTGACACAGATGCCGAGAGCAATTCATGCAGGGGGGGGGGGGGGGGGGGGGGCATTGGGGAATATGCCACGATTTTGCATTATGTACCGTATCTCACGGAATAAAATATCTCGAACGAGCTTCATGTATCCGGGAAATTCGGGAAAGAGGAGGCCGGGGGGAAGAGGAGGTTCAAGCTGCGTACATATACTTCCATGCATGACATGACAGCGTCACAATACAATATGATGGCAAATTTACTCCTCTCGCATTCAAATCCAAATCCAAATCCAAATCTAAATGAATGAACAACATCCATAACTGTACAGGACGGAAGCTTCGGGAAGTGTAAATTTACTTGCGTATCGTATCGTGTCGTAATTTAAATATAGAGTACTCGCGTCGTCGACTGCCAGCGTGGTATTTTAGAATACCAGAATAATACGATATCAGACCAAGGCAGAGAGAAATGAAGCAGACCAATTAATACCAAGGAATCAAGATAACAGAGCAACACACCAAGAGTACGAAGAAGCGCAAGATAGAACACCTCACCACAAAGCTTAACCCACGCCACCTCCCTGCCAATCGTCAGCCCAAGTGAAGTCAACAAAACACGGCGTTTTTGTCTTTTCTGATACGATATGATATGATATGATAGATATGATAGATATGATGCGCAGCCGTTAGACTTTCCTTGGAGTTTTCTGGAATCAGAAATTGGAAAAGAGCGTGGCATGACATGACATCACAGTCTTGGCTACCTGTTTCGCAGGGCACAGTTGCATGTCGCTCCAAATTGTTGTTGTCCGTCTCAAAATCTCCAGGGACCGTGATGTGAAGCACCGTCAAGAGAGAGAATTGAAGATATACCTTACCTCACCTCACCACATCCATCCATCATCCCTTCACACAGTCGAGATCAAGGGACTGTTAACTTGCCGTCTAGCCGAGTCCCGAGTCCCAAGTCTCAGGAACTCAGGGTCTCAACTCAGGGTCTTAGGGTCTCAGTCACTTACTCCCAGCGTAAAATATGATATGAGTGACTGACATATGACCCCTCACATCTCAAATCCTTATCTGCGTCCTCCTCCCTTCCGCGAACTCTTTCCATCTCACACCCGTTGATACCTAGAGATGTGTTCTTATCCTGGTTATCGGGAAGGCACATACATACATACATACATGCCATGCCATGCCACGCCATGCCTGCGCTCTTCCGTGGATTGGTTCCTCTAGATTGAAGGGTCGAGGCAGAAGACACAAAGACCCGAGTACACCAGCTGTTCGCCCTACAGAATAAATTCGAAGCAGAGAAAGCGAGCAAGAGAATATCCAAGTAGAAAAGAAATAATGTAAACTTTTGAAAGATTATATTGTTATATCCTCATTAGAACCCCCTTCTCGGGGAAACTTTGTTTGCCTTTGTGCTTGCTGTATTTATAGTGTTGCATCATCTGCTCCACACAGAGAAGAGGAAGAGCGAACATAAAAAGAGGAAAAACGAAAGAGATAGAGCATCGCCATCGCCTGCCTGCATTCCTGCCAAACCATACCCCCATACATCCATCCATCCATCCATCCATATTCTACCCAGACATGTCGTGAACCCCTTCCGCTCACTGGAGTATCGTCCATTGACTGCAGACCAACGACCAGCTAGAATGCCAAAAAAAATGCCACAAACCAACAACAAAACATGACAAAGCAAATAGTCTATATCCGGTCCAAGTGCCAAGTTCCCGTTTCGCCAAAATACATCAATCCCACAAAAACTCAAGGGTGTAGTTATCAACAATCGAAACGGCCTATCGTATATGCTCTACAGATCACAACGCCATGCGTACCAATCCAGTTGAAGGACGTCTATTCATTGTCCTCATTGCCATCGCACTGCTTCCACATCTCCACCTTGCTGACCTCCATCTGGCCCGCTCCTTCCTTCTGCCATGTTGGGTACCAGACGTTACGTTGAGACCAGAAGTCCCGCTTGGCAGTGGTTGAACCATCGAGCCATGGCTTGCCACTCTTTCCATCCTCGAACCAACCGTTGGTTCCTCCAACGGCGACGTTGATTATGAGGTAGAATTCCTGGTCAAAAGGCGTCTGGTAGCGGCCGGTTTCACTCCATACATCTTGAAGACGAGTTCCGTTGCTGTCGGAAAGAGGGAATCCTCCACGCTCCCAGAGAGGCTTGTTGAAATTGGTGTAGAGGACCTGGAGGAGACGTGTGTTGACATAGGTGAAGAGGTACTTTTGAGACCACTCAAGACCGAAAGTGTGTTCTGTCTTGGCATAAGTGGTGTGAAGAGCGCTTCGCTTGACGTTGGTGCGCCACCAGGCATCGTTGGCTGGATCAGGACCCCAGTGAAGAGCGGACGAGACAATGTTATTTCCTCCCTGTGCATAGGTATGGTTGTTTCCGCGAGATTCGACAATATCGATCTCTCCAGACAATGGCCAGGGGCCGTAGGTCTCGTTAACTGGCAACATCCAGATTGCAGGCCAGAGCCAATCACCCTCTGGCATCTTGGCGGTAACCTCAACTCGACCATACTTGATGGTTGCTCCTTTCTTAGTGTTGACACGTCCGGAAAGAACAGGTGGGACGATAGATCCAGTGGTCAAGTTAGTTTGCGAAACACAGTTCTTGATGACGGTGGACGAGCAGGTTCCATCGGCTGTCAGGTTGATGACACTATTGGAATCAATGAGATCCGCATTTTGAAGGGTCGGCTTGATAATGAGCTTGCCGCCTGAGACGAAGACATTCGTGTCGTCCAAAGTCGTTTGCTCGAATTGGCCATTGCTAAATATTGTCAGACTGGCACGTTGAAAATTTAGATGAAATGCTTACCCGTATCCACCGACTTCAGCTTCTTTGGTCCAAATATTCGTATTCAGACCTTGGGAGAAGTCATCCGACATGACAGGGCAGTACTTGTGGTGTACGACAGATGACAGACCATCGTAAATCAAGAAACCTGCGACGCCGAATCCAAGCAACAATCCAACGAGAGGAATGATCGTGACCCATTTTTCCTTGGGGTCCTTCTTTGCCATCCAGGGCTTCTCTACCTCTCCCTTATGTACTCTCCTCGAATGGAAATATCTGGATGGGAGAGCTCTGACAGCGGAGGAAGAACCGAAAGACGAGGCGGGTCTCGAATTGAAGGGCGAAGCGAATGGGTTTGATCGAGGCGCGGGGGAGATGTCATCGCTGAATGGATTACTCCTGCTTTCTGGAGTTCCTGGACGCATTGGTGTGGTCGCAGCAGAGATGCCAGAGATGGCACTCCCTCTGTATGTCGATTGATTCTCCATGACGTGCTCCCAAACGAGGGAAGGAACACGATCGAGGATATGTATTAGATATTAAATTGTATCGAGTGTTGAAGAACTGTAAGCCACAGTCGATGGGCGGTGGTGATCGAAAACGAGTGTCGATGGTGAAGTTTTGTGGGAGGGAGGATAGGCTTGGAGGAGAAGCGGGAGGTAGGTAGAGGAGAGGGCGCAGTGACGAACAGGGTGTATTGTGTGGGAGCAGCGCAGTGGCTAGAGCTTGCCGATGGGGGTCGAGACGATAGGAGTGGAGTGGAGTGGAGTGGGTTTTCGTTTGGCGGTAGGGGCTCTACTGCGTATTGTAAGGTCGTGGGAATCCACCTTGAACACGGGCCGTCGATCTTCAGCTTAGAGGATGGAGGCCGATAGGAGACCCAGAAGAACAGGGCAGAGGCTCCGAACTCTATTCGATTCCGAATGGTGCGTTGAGGCTGAGAAGCTAGCAGACGTCGGAGAGAAGTCGATCGATAGTGACTGTCCGGATGATGGAATGATCGGAAGACGAGGTTTCTCGTTCAATAGAGTTGGGACGATAATAGAGGTGAATTCTCAGGGTGACTACAATATTGGCTCATCTGGAATCTGTGGCAGAGAAGAGCTTGGTCAGTGAAAGTTCTTGGTGCCCTCTACGCAGTACTGCTCTGCACCACGGGTTGGAAATGGAATGGCTTGTCCAGAGCGCTAACAGACGAATTCTCTCACGCACCAAGAAGAGACAAGGCGCCGGATTACCAAAACGAATATTGGACGGATTGTTGCTTGGGACGGTAAGGCCAAATTGAGCGGACAGATAGCGCGGAGCGGTTGGGAATAGTGTTGTCCTACGCGTGCGGAACTGAGCCCAGACTAGCTGTTCTTACTGTAAAGAGCAAGGCAAGAAGCATGCAGGTTGAGACGCCAGAGAAGAGGGAGGAGCAGTTGCGCAGGACAGGAGGGATCAGATCATCGGAATAATAATAGAGACAGGGACAGAACAGCAGAGGGAGGAAGTCTGAGTTTGAGTTTGAGTCTGACTACTACTGTACTGAGTCTGTGTTCACTGCAAGGCAGGGGTTGAGGGTGTCATCGAGGAAAGGAAAACGGACGTTGACGATGTTCGGATAGGAAGAGTCGGCCCAGAGGACCCTTGTCGGCGTAGGATCGGGTATCCCTGTGCTGCCGAGCCCTGAGGCGCATGCTGCCCCTGACTGCCAAACTCAATATGGCGCTACTGCCGAACTACGCCCGAAAGAGGCAGTTCGCTACCACGAGCCTTAGCCTTGGACGCCGCGGCCGGGCTACCCAGAGATAGGGGTACGGCAGAGGGCATGTTAGATGTATTCTTCCATGCCCCAGACCTGCACACGCTCTTGGGACGTGGGGATTTAAAATTGGAACGAGAAATGGCATCACTAACATCCCGGCCCGGTTCGCTCGGCCTCACACTATTGATATTACCGTACTGCGATAAGGGGAGAGAGGAACGAGGAGCGAAGGGAAGGGAAGGGAAGGGCAGATCACCATGCCAAAACTATCGGCTTTGGAGCACTCCGTGTCTGGAAGAGACCGAAATGTTACGCTGTGGATCATCCATGATCAGAATCATGGTTTATCATCCAGGTTGATCCATCGCGAGAATCATTTCTTTGTCTGACTGGTACGTCAGAAGCTTCTTCGCAGCGGCTCAGGCCAAGCTTCTGACAACGGTGGGCACTAAGTACTACACAGCAGTGCTGGAGGCGCTGAGGACGCCTGACTTTGGGTTCACTAATTTCAGAAGACACTGATATCCACAGTTCGGCCAGAGTCCATGACGGGTACCCAACAGCATTTTCAAATTCATTGTCGTCATTTTGATAGAATTCTGCCTCGTCTTTTTCTCAGCACACTCTAGCATTACGAGATCATTATGTACTTCCTACAGTAGTTCTCTGCAGGTAATAAGCCCATCGAATTTTCCCTTTTATCCAAGGCCATCGTTCTCCTCTAGTCAAGATTCAAAATCCCACCAGTCAATTCCAAGACTTCGTACTGCAGCTTCCAGCATTTCCAAGATTCTGCAGGTTCAGGACATAGCTTCATGTAGCCCGTCCCAACAACTGCAACCTGCTTTTCTACGGCGGAGGCTTTCGGAACCCAGCTCTGATCCTTCGCTTGGAAATGCGGAAGGAAACCCCCCTCTGGTGGTTGTTATCTCCAAGGAATATTTCTCGCCTCATTGAATCTGTTCTCCACTTCTCTTACCATGGAAATGGCACTTGGCCTTGATAATATCTACAGGGCTGAAGGCCCGACTTTTCCTCCTTTCTCTCTGCAGCTTTCATGGAGAGCGGGGCATCAGACCCATTCCCGTACAGTATTATTCTCTTATCTGAAATTCAGCTTCATAAACGAAACCGACTTCTCACTCGAGTCCTCGACCTATCTTGAACACCTTTTCCCATCCCAGTCCTTGCATCAAGCCAGCTCACAGAGCCCTATGTAAGACCTCGTATTCCCAGCCTCCCCCCCAGTCACGTCAAAGAGACAGGAGAACTTAAAACACTTCCCTTCCAATCATCAGCACGTTCTCGCAAAGATACCTGGTTGTACTATTTTCCCGTTTATATCTGAAGTTTTGACCCCTCCCAAGCACCAAACTCACCCCACCCCACCTTGAAGCACATGTCAGACGGACGGAAGGCTCCCCGACCGCACTGGCAAAACACAACCACTGCCTTCCATCCTGTCCCTGAACCAAGCAACTTTCATCCCGCCTCAAACGCAAGACTGACCTCAAGGTGCTTAAGTTCAAGACGACGAGCAAGTCAAGTCGTCTCCTCAACCAATCCTCTAACCGACATCTATTTTTACCCCCTCCACTCACATCTTTGTGAGATGTCGCCACACCGTTAGTCCCGCGCGCCACAGACTTCAACACGCAATAGATAGGCTCTCAACCAATCACTTCTCTCACAAACTGAGAAGTCGATATGCAATATGCAACACCAGCAGTAGAAACCAAGTTGTGAGGCCAGTCAGGCCAGTCAGTATCTGTGGCTTACTACTGCTGTACTTACCAGTACTAGGTAAGTACTGCACTGCAAAAAGATCAGTAGGAGCTGAAGTCCACGAGATCTTGGAATGTCACAGCAGGACTGCATCTACACCAACCTCACCGCCAAGGTACTCTGCAAAACACGAGGTATTCAGACAAACCAAAACCGCTACAAATCGCCCACTCGCTGCAGACACTCTCGATGCATTGCCACATCATTGGCAAATACTTTACAGACTTCCCACAAACATGCAGACCAAAATCGTGAAACCACCCCCTCCATCCCAACCCATCCCATCCCATGCCACACCGAACCTAACTAAACCTTGTGTTTGTTCATGTTTCCGCCCTTCCTCTCATCCCAGCTTGTTTTTATCCGTTCTATGGGATATGTGCTGTCCTGTCTATCGTTTCTCGATCCCGCAAGAACACCACCTCACCGCAACCACCCTCTCGTGTGCGCCTATCTTGCATAAGGTTATAGCAAAGAAGCAAGTGGGTGGGTGGCTCACGCTCGCGCTGGAGAGTCTATCTACAAACAAGCACAAGCACAAACACAAACCAAATCATCCACTCAGATCCCCAAGGCATTGGATTGAGGCATCGTAGATATCTGCAAGTCCCGCATATCTTCTCTATTACGGAGTATACTTTTTAATTTCTATATCTTCTTGCATTTTAAAGTCTTGTTCTTGTTAGCCTATTCTACATTAATCTACCCTCTAATCCTTTATCCTTACCTTCCCTCCAGAACAATACACATCTCTCTCTCTCCAGCATCGCAGGATTTCATCCCTCCTTGGATCTTCTCTACCACATCTCCAGCTCCTCCCTGGTGTGTACTGTACTTCAAGATGTTGGGTCTCTCATGTACTATGAATTTACAGTTCCTGGGTGTTGGGTGTGGTGCTGATCTGATCGCTTGATCTGCATGCATGTGTGCGGCGTCGTTACCACCTCGTCCACACGCACTTTCTATCGGCAGTACAGTACGAGTTTGGAAGGTAACTAACTAACTTCTTTACCTCACCACTGTACGAATTGGTGGGTAGATGGGTCGGATAGTATGTTTGCTTGCTTGCTGCATGCATGCATGCAGATATCCACATCCACACCCCAATTCAGCAGCCCACCATCTTACTTACTACCCACCTACTCTATATAAACAGTGCAGTGCAGTGCGTTGCAGTACAGTCACGAGATCTCCTTCCCCTCCTTCCCCCCCAAACCAACCGAAGCGAACCCCTCCATTTTTTTTGCTTCCTCAAGTTGGAAGCCCGTTCTTGTTCCATGCATATACCCGGGATATTGCAGTTGCGCCATGGAGAGCACAGCAGATCTTGGGTCTTGGGAGATGCAGGGCTGTTGACTGTTGGCTGTTGGCTGCTATAGATTGAGAGCAGAATGCGGGGTTGTTGGGTTGGAATGGGGATGGGAGGGGAGGGAGGGGTGGATGTTGGTGTTGGGAATTGGGAATTGAGAGTTGAGAGTTCGGGATTTTGGGGATGATGGCGGAGAGGGGTGTGTGTGTCTAGGATGGGAAACGAAACAAAATTCTTTTTTGGAGAAACTTTTGATTGAGAGATTCTTCTTTTTCTCTTTTTTTTTGGTGATCAACTGGTTGATTGATTGATTGATATCTAGAAAGTACCTAGGTAGATGTCAAATGTCAGTCGTCTCCCTCGCCTTCTGAGTTTGGGATGGGTGGTGTGATTAGAGATTGATGAGCAAGGCTGAAGAGGCTCGGTTACTAATATTAATATATGGGATTTGAGTCTTTCCAGTCACTCATCTACCTCCATGACTCTGTTTCTTGATTGTTTACGTCGTTCCTCGCCTAGAGTTGTGAGAGGACATCAGTCCAAGTCGTGTCAACAAAATGGAGAAGAGAGCTTCCGTATCTCATTCCATGTCATCAAATGTATTTTCACGTCTTTCATTCACTGTTTTAGCTATAGTGAAACCA